GACATGTATTTGATATTCATAATAACTCCACAATAGCTACACAATGGCGACAAAACGGTACCAGCATCACAGATATCTATTTAATTACTTTTAAGTTAAATCATGTATCTAAATAGTAAATTAGAAGGATTAAAAATATACACTTTCGACATTTTTCGGGTTTTTTTTCGTTTGGAGAGAGGAGTAGTGACAGTAGTGACTGGTATCTGATGGGTGCAACAGGTGTCGAGTGGCTGTCTCAGATGGCTCTAATTTCGTAGCTCTAAAGATCACGACGGCGATACAGACCGTGATGTAGTTTGTCTCACAGTCCCTGAACCATATTATTTTCCCTTCCGCCCAGGCCTTACTGCAATGCTGTAGCCCCAAATGAAACAAGCCTAGATGTTCAACGGGTTCAGGCTGAAATTTCTATCTCACTTGGGCTCCTTTTAAATTTAAATATAGTTTCTCGTTTTAACCAAAATAATGTATTTTCAGAGACTAAGTGTTTGTCTAACCGTGAAGTACAACTATCCAAAAGATCCCATGCATGTCTATATTTCTTCAGACAGACTCTCCATGTTCATATCTATATGTATCAAAAGACAAATGAATTAAATATTACAGCACTGGTGAATAGTTTATATGCGCATGTAAGCGTCGATCTACAATATCCTTTGCGCAAAATACATATATACTGATGAATTAACGTAGTAACACTACGCAAATATATGCCCAGATGTATACATAAGTTTCATCTCGTGATCTTTATTCGTGCTTTTAGCTCTTTTTCTACATTATATTATGGGGTGTTACATCACACCAGAAAGCCAGGTCCAAATTCAAGTCATAATTTCATGGTCCGTCTTGTATGTTGGAAACCAATATCGCAACATGGCTGAATATTGCTAAACGTGGTATTTACCCGATTACTCACATAATTATTCTATTTTCTTCGCGCACGTTCTACAATCATCTACGATCACTATCTATAAGGAGGTATATCTATATTCATCCAAATGAACATACATATATGTCCACATACATATGTATTAAGCAAGTCCCACATTCTTCCTTAAAAGATAAATGCTAAGCATTTCCTCTGTATGTATTTATATATGTAAAAATCGTTTTTATGTCAACGCTGATGCAGTGAACGTGCCACAGACCTGATGCTAGAATAACATCTACTCTCTGAAATGAACATATTTTACAGAAAAAACCCAGTTGTTAAACAATAGTTATAAAGTATAACAAAAAAGGAGCCAAGAGACTTTCTTCATTTTGCCAAATTTTGGGCTGTATTGGACACATTTGTTTCGTTGTCTGTATGACAGACACACTTATTCTTTAAAGTATAAAGATAAGTACATGTAAGTATAGATGTGGTATATATTCAAATATGTTTGTGATTAACCCGACCTTGAAAAATATTGGAGGGTGAGTGGTAACTATTTATGTCATTATTTCGAATTAGAATGATAGCACATCAGAAAAGCATGGCACTTTAATATACCTATCTTGTTAGCCCAATAGTGTTTTAAGTAAGAGCAACATGTATATCGAGAGTATAGGTTTGGTGCGTGACTTACCCCACATTACTGTCAGAAAGTGTGCATGCTCTGTTTATCGGGAATAAATGACATAAGGCGAATCATGCGGGTAAATACGATCTACTTCAGAACTAGTATAGATTACTTTAGGTTAGGAGAAAATGTAAGCAAGCTTCGTGCTCAGGGGGTTGTTTGGGCGGGCTTAAAGGATTCGGGTCCTGGCTTGGTCTTTGTATAGGACGTGTAGCTGGCAAATCCAGGTTTGACGTATCAATGACCAAAATGATGTCTGATGCAATTCTCTATTTTGAGTTGTACCGTGTGTTTCCGTGCCTTTTCGGGTGAACAATTGGCTTGGCTTTACATGTGTTTGTAGCGGGTGCCACTAGTGGATCGGGATGAGCTCGCCTTTTTGCGAGCACCCAGTGTCATCATTTTATAAGGTGAATAATGAAACATGCATGCTCCTTGTGTTGTCGGAATCGTGCAGTTGGCGCTACTTTTGGCAAGGGTTTCTTGTGATGATGGAACGGCTTATGTCGTTTTTGTCATCTGTGATATAATGTCAGGGTATATGGTCATGTAATTAAGAAACAAACCGCAAGTGGGAGTTGTTTATTGTACGATAAACAACGACCACGACTCGTTTATTTCTTATATGAGATATCAACATTACGTACGACCGCGGCAATGCCAGATAAATCCATTTTATGAACAGGAGGGTTTGAATTTGGTCTTTCCCGCATATTCTCACAATTTTCTCGTCTGTACCTTTTCTCCCAATACCGATTAACATTTCGCTCTCACTTTCTGATGCGTTTGTTCGGGCATTGCATTTATCTACCTTCCCCTGCTACATCTATAAGGAACAACTCACTGGACACTTCCCTCTCACAAATAAAATCAAAGTTACGACGTCCTCAAGTTGCGAGTGCATGTTCGAATCTCCATAAATGATAGAACAAGGTTTTATCGTGAAATAAATATCGCTTCCTTCTTCTTTGTTCTTGGCGATTTATCGCGTAGCTGTCTTATATCATCAAATGTCAATTTTTCATTGCTTTATCATGACGTATCCGTGTCATAACCAATCATCTAGCAATAGCAAACATACATATAGTTGACTTCGACATAGAATAGTGTCATGATATATAATTATCCTTTGGTGTGCAATATTTCCGGTTGATAAATCTAACATATGCTTACTTTTAAGAATAGCGACTATACATTTTTATATTACTTTATAAGGTCTCTGTAACATATGCAAAATAAAACAAATTTAATAATACAACTGAACCTAAATGTATGTTGTAATATCCTTAAGTTGCTGAGTGCGGCATGAGACCATAAACAAAACATAATAACCTCAAGAATTATTTTAATAATGTCGATGCTAAAAAATAATCTCAACAATATCCATACCTCTTTCTCTATGTTTAATGTGAAACATAATAACTCTTTTTAATGATCTGAAGGAATAATAATGACAATAATATCAAAATAATATCATCATTATTTATGTTACTTATCCTCAACTGAAGTAGTCCTCAACACTATACGTTCAGAGAAGAAACCCATGAACATATTATCAATGTAACATACATTAATGGAAATTAGATGAACAGTTGATTGAACAAATGATATTATTCGGTCGAACATCTATCAGCCAATACTACATTATTAAATTGTGAGACTACAGTGATTTTTGCAAGGCTACTCTCATAAATGTCATGACGCATTTGAGGCCAGGGTTCTTCTATACTTGCATTAATGTGCGGACTTATTATTGCGTTAATTTCATGATTTACAGTATTCATGACGAACATTTCACGTGGGACCAACAGAGGGAAATATGACTATCGACTATTTTTTTATATTTAGCTAGCTCAAACGATCTATTCGTTTGATTTATTGTTATTGTATCCACAAAATAAGTAGGATCCGTTTTTTCCGTTTTTGTTGTTCTTTGTGTAACGCCGCAGGTAGCAATATTCCAGTTATATGACGGTTGTCTATAAATAATCAAGTCTGGACCAGACAATCCAGTGATTGATATCACGACCACCGATCCACGCAATTGAGATACAATGACATGCATCAACCAAGTCAGCGAACCTGACCACTCGATCCCTTTAGTCGCCTCTTACGACAAGCATAGTCGCCTATAACGGCAAGCATGGGTTGCTGTAAATCTATTCTTAACCGGATCTTCAAAGGTCAAGTGGGATTCAACTGATATGTTAAGATGAAATAAACTGAATTATATGTGCTGTTTACATATCAAAGTTTGCCAAATTGTTACAAAATGTTTGGCCACAGCAAGGCTACGTATTCACAACTTATTGTGGTAGGCACAGTATAACTCATGACTCTGGACTGAGGGAGGGCCGTTTTCCTCCTTGTGGGTCACCTGCTTGGCAATATGGGACGGGACAACTGCAGGGGATGAGGGCAGTTAAGTTGATGGTACAGACAGATAACAGAGATCATTTTACAAATGTGAAACCTCATTCCACAAAGGAAGAGGCGAAAGCTGAAACTTGGTGAGATTTACAGAACAAAGGCAGTTAGTTCTAGTTTCTTACTGACTCTCGAGGATACATTTAATAAAAATTCGTGTGTGCGACACGGCCACCAGTCACTAAATTTGGGTCACAATCTTTCTGTCTTCTTTCATTTGTCATCTGGAATACCATCCCTTCGTGCACTTGTGCTTCCTGCTCAAGTTACCAAACACATCCTGTTTACGTACACGTGCAAGATATATATTACGCCGAGGAGAATTTACGATTATACGTTGATACGTCTAACTGCTGGCCTGGTACGCAATGTCATATTTCTTATCGCCAGGGATCACAGGTGTGATACAAGTCTCCCTCAAGGAGACGTCTGATTAAACTCTTTGCTTCGTCAATGCTTCGTCTAGCCCAAACCGGTAACTGGTACCACTAGCAACGATACAATGGCGTACAAAGACTTACAATGAGTCAAGCATCCGTCACTCGATTTCCATTTTGATTGATTGTTTGATTGATAGATTGATAGATTGATACATTGTGAGTGAGTGAGTGAGTGAGTGAGTGAGTGAGTGAGTGAGTGAGTGAGTGAGTGCCTGTTTCACTTGTATGTCCGGAATCTGGGTACGGGTCACCGGTTTAGCGTCACCGATCTAGATATATCTATGCAGGAAAAGGTCATCCGTGCGGATAGCGTAATCTCGATTAATGTATTCAGGAACCTTTCGTGAACAACATTTATTGAAAATGCTACCGAAGAATCAAACAACTTTAAGATTTGGCTTCTGTGGTGGAATCATTCTAATATTTCACATAACCGTGAACGTACTTCTTGAATGTTGTCACGCCATTCATTCAGACAGATCTCGAAGATATGTTAATATCTATGCGAGGACAGCGGATTAGATATCGCGAGGCCGGTTCACTATCCGTAAAAGCATGTGATATGCCACGAATAGCCCATTGCATCTCCTGTACAAAGACTTTCTTTTGTACGTGTTGTCTCAGAGCCACAAACTTAGGTCAATGGATCAGATAAAAGCAGGACTGCTGGAATCGGTTGAGGTGAACTTCCGATGACATAAACTCCTACTTAACAACCGCTTTAAGAAAGTGCCGCCATTCATGTACACACCCCTGTGGATGAATGAGCGACCTAGCGAGGCCAGTAGCGCCACCTAGTGAGATATAATGGAAGAAGACCAACCGAGAGTTGAATCTTGACATACTCCGGTGCCATCTGCAGAACCTTGGTTAGCAATGGCACAGTGATTTATGAGAGTTTATGTGAGTCGGATTTTACGCCGCCTTAGCAACATTACAGCAATATCACGGCGGGGGATTCCCACATTGTGCCTATGATATGCAGAGAATCGAACCTGGACTTTCGGCACGAGGAGCGAACGCTTTTACCACTAGGCAACGCCAGCGGCCTTGATGATATGATCATATCATCACCATCAATCACCACCACCATCAGCATCAGCATCGCCACCGGTATCGTTATCACAGGTATATATGGTACGTACTCCACACAGAGATTAACGAAGGGCATCTATTTGATCAGGGGTTAGTTAAATATCTATAACAGCTGTGGGTCAGTATATCCAGTTTCTGTCAGTGCAGAAAAATACCAAGTCGGTAAGCTGTGAACACGGTTCTTCAGCATCGGACATCAGCTGTCCTAGACACGCACATTTCAGCGCATTTGAAGCTACTGAGAATGCCCCCTGCAGGGTTCGACGAACATTCTGTGGTAGCGCTCGCGGCGGTGTTGACCAGAGGCTATCAGCAGTATTTTCTGTCCAGGTTATGTAGGTCCGTTGTGTGTGTGTGCGTGCGTGCGTGCGTGCGTGTGTGTGTGTGTGTGTCGGGGGGGGGGATGTGAGAACGGGGGGATAGATGATGGATTTAACAACAAGTAAGGTCATCTTAAGCGGGACGCTTTTCGTAGGATATAGATGAATTAGCATATGAACTATGATTCTCTTTAGGTAGAAAAAGATCCACGATGTTCGACCTGGTAGAAGTGTGTAATCAAACCGCATAGCATTGGTCTTTGATTGACTGTGGCGTCAAAACAAACTCATTCATGTACTTGATCTGAATGTTCATCTTAATTGTTATGGATAGTCACGGAGCCGTGATCGAGAGAACAGGGTGTCATTAGATAAAAATGAAGTAATAATAGGATTACCAGAAAAACGGGGTATAACACCCAAGCCAATAACCTCCCCTCAGGAACACCAGAGTAAGTCAGTACAAGATTGAAAACTGCCCCATAAGTATATATGACAGGCTAGTCGGGTATTGTTACTTGTATATGTGAAAACAAAGTTATTAAAATTAATAGCAAAACTGATGAAAGTCACCAATAAACGTGTATAAGTGTTATATGGTCACTGCAAAAATAATGAGTGTTGTCTTTCGTAATAACATTCAAATACGTGATATCTGTATTAGCGATATTGTCTACGTTCCACCGGTGAGTAAGCGTTAGCTTTACTATCTCGTAGTATAAATGTTGCAAGAAATTGTATTTCTGATGACATCACGATACAGTTTTTTTACGATGCATCACGTCTGCACCAGCGCTTGATAACAGCCTTGTGTTTGGGTGTTTCAGTAGCTGAAATTGCTGTTCTTGATGTTGTTGAATTAACTTTGATATTATGGACAATATAAGGTTATATGAGAGTATGACTTTAGAATGGTAACATGCGTTAATGTATATCTGATATATATATATATATATATATATATATATATATATATATATATATATATATATATATATATATATAATAGGATGACATAAATAGAACAACGAGTAGTACGTCCAGATTAGTGTATAGGCAACATTTAAAAGTAGATGAAAGGACACAATCGTCCGGAATACAATGTATAATTCTAGTGCACTTCCATGGGACAATATAGCATACAATAAGCTTCCGGGTCCAGTTTGGGTCGGTTTGGGTGGCAGCTTAGATATCCATAGAGTAGGTTCATCTCGGAATCTCCCATATAACTGGGGCTACTCTTCAATTTAAATGGAGTTACTTGTTTCTTTCAAAACTATACAGTTTTAGAGACTAAGCATTAGTCTGAATAGATATCACCAGTTTGAAATTTGAAACTAATCTGTTTACAGTAACAGAACACTGTTTAAGTGTCATGTACAAATGAGAAAGTGGAATCCCGTCAATTAGCCGGACGAACCTTAAAACTATGAATAAACATTAAAATAAGCAATATCGAGAATGTATATGCATATACTATCTGGCAACAAACACCAAGATCACCTTCTACAAAAATAAGTTTTAAAAGCCAGTTGATATTCTTTTGCGTATTTGACGATTATATAACTTTCGAAAGTATAAATCCTTTTCCTATACTCAGACGTTCCTGAGACTTGCGCTTTCCTAATTATTTTGACTAAAATTATTACCGTTATCATTGTATTTGTTAATGGGAAATACGCGCCGATCAAGTACGTGCCATAAATTAAAGCGACATTGTACGATTCCGAACTCATCACGAGACTGTGTTTATAAATCACTGTCAAATAGTGGTGACATATAGTGGAAACAATACGCGAAATCGCGCATGCACAGAACGGAAAATTTGGACAAGGCATTAAGCAATCCGCATGCGCAGAACGATTGATTTCAGTACTTCCGCTAAGCGCTTCGAGTACAGCGTCAAACTCGGGCCTGTAATCTAACACGCGAGAACTGACCAATGAAATCTGAGAAGTAGGAATACCGGTAGACGCCGTTGCTTGATTGACAATGCCGTTTTCGTGTTTGCAGTGTATATATAGTTGATGTCGAAGGTCGGATTCCTGTTACAGTCCTGAAATTGTCCTTCAATTCTGGCGCAGAAATGAATCTGTTCCCTCAAAGCAATTGTGCGTACATATCGATCCTGCCTGGGGGTAGTCTTTCCCCTACCCACCTAGTCTTATCCCCACCCGTTTGCCGATATCGCTCCATCAGTCGGGATGTCACACTTTTGTATTTACCAAAGTGTCTGGTAACTGCATTCTGTGATTGGCTTGCTTCAATCATGCCTATTGCGCGCAATATTTCATTTTTCTGTCATGTACACTTTTGTTGGCATTTTCCTTCTTTTACCCGATCAATGAATCAAGTGGTTTAATGACACATGCCTATTACCAGGATGTTTCACCTTGGACGGTATGCTGTACATGTGCAATGTGCAAAGTTACTGTCTCGTGCAACAAAGATTGTAATTTCGTTCTTTCTTATAGCTGACACCAGTGAAGAATAGGTCTTCAGCAACCGTTGCTTGTCCTAAGGGGCGACTATGCTTGTCGTAAGGAGCGACTAACGGGATCGGGTGGTCGGGCTCCCTGACTTGGTTGATACATGTCATCGTAACCCAATTGCGTAGATCGCTGCTCATGATGCAATCACTGGATTGTCTGGTTCAGACTCGATTATTTACAGTCCGCCGGCATATAGCTGGAATATTGCGGGGTGCCGCGTTAAACAACAAACAAACAAAATATAAGGGCTGAAATGACAGGGGTTCCCTTAAATATTGTCATTCGTATATGTATATAAGGAACGACAATATTATGTACATCCAACTAAAGATAAATTTACTTCTTTAACGTCATGTACTAATAACACGTAACTTTTTCTTCTTTATATGTGATGCTTCGTCATTAAAACAGTCATCATTACAAACCCTACAATCGCATCTGCACTCTTTACACCATACCTGTGACCTTACAGTATTACTGAAATAAAGTTACATCATTGAAACAGACGCATGGATGTATACATTTGATTTTATCAGAGCGTTTCCTATATATATTTTTCAGTTAAATGTTTCCACAAATTTGGTGTTCAGCATATATATATATATATATATATATATATATAATTCCAATTCCCAGATTTATATTTCACTACTTATACATAATGCAGTCAGGGAGGTTCGTCAACGTTTAAATCAAAGTAGATATTTTATTGAACGTCATTTTTATCAAACCTGAGCAGATAGAATTATTTAACCCGTTGACAGATTTACCATCAAAGGTTATTATATACAGACAATCAGGAAAATTCGTCAACGTTAAAAGAAAACGTTGGAAAGAGTAGATAGGGTCTGCGTGTTGGATTAAACATGTCCAAAGTTCACAAAGGGACACTATTGTGGTGTTGAAAACGAAAACTGTTTCTCATAATAAGAAAACATACAAGTTTTGGTTTATTGCTTATAGCGACATTTCGATGTAGAGTCTTACACAGCTATCAAGTTGGAGCATCCATAAAGTGGTACGTTTTCTTACTTACTCACCAACTTGTAGAATGCCAATCAAACAGTTGTCTCTTATATCATTGAAACCACGAAAATACCCTGATAGTATTGTGGCTTGTAAACGGATGTGTTAAGTATAAGAGGATATAAGAGATATTCCCATATTTTTTCTCGTAAGCGACGCGTCTTTGCTGGAATGAGTTAAATATTTAAGATTTGTCATTGATGGCATATGCGTCAGTCGAATGTAATCGGGGAAAACTTTAAGAGTAAATAGATATGCAATATGTATTTCAACGAAATATTATGTAAGTAAATGTAACTAACTTGGGACTAGTTATGGCATCTACAAAATCTGATGATGAGAACATTATACTAATAGAAGCATATAGACACATATGCCGTTCTGTACCTGATTTGCACCCGATTATTTTTTTGTCGCAATGCTCCCACCTCCCGTTAAACAAATACCCCCCTCCTCTTGGATTTAATCTCAAAACACATGTTCTGAACCATCAGTTAGGTTTCTGCAAATATTAAGTATGTTGATATTTATTGCAACGTATGACACCACGTCTCACAATCTTTCAAAAACATTTTTTTTACAACTTTCAAAATAGTTTTGCACTTGAAGTGAACCATAAACTAGAGAATTCAGACGTCCAAACTTTTGTTTGCTCTCAAAGTGACAAGTTAACGCTTCGTTGACGTTTAATTATCATATTTAATCCCACGTGACATCTCAATATCCGATGAGATAAACATTAATTTCTGATACAAGTAAAAAACATTCAATGCATACACATTTTCAAGTGTCATACGATCCCATCCCTGTTGACTTATGTCGGTGAATCAGCAAGTATCAAACAAAGGATGTAGTCTTGTGTAGCGTATATAAGGACCGTTTCTGTTCCATGCCTCAAGTGAAAGTTGACAGCCATGGACGTTCAGAAGTTGTGCCTCCTCGTATGCCTAGTCTGCATGCCAAGTGCTGCCAGTTCTTTTTATTTCTACCCGTCGCGTGAGTATACTCTCTACATCTGTACTTGTAAATGTTTTGTGAGGTTTTCTTATTTTTATGATCTGTAGAACCCTATTGCTAGAATACCTCATGGTGATGTTTTTGTTCAGTGACTGTCGTAAGATCGTTTATTAAAGTTTTGCTTATTCAATTGATTTATGTTTGATCGACGCAAACCTTCCTTGAATGTCACTACAAGCATTGCAAATTGTCCAATCACATTTAATTTTACATTCTACAGATTTATATTTTCAATGTTTAAAACACTTTTATATATAGAACATGTTATCTTTAGTGTACGGCGTATTGTTTACATTTAGTTCCATCACAAAAAGGGATACAAAAATCGTTAGGGATAGTTTCCTATTCTTCCATGGTATTCGTGAGCGTTACTTTCCCTTTAAGAATAAGAGATGGTCCAGGTTTGCGCAGATGGAATTCCTTAATAATTGTTTCCATTTGAGCCAGACGTGATATTTGCCTACAATTTCGTGACGACGTGACGACGGCTTTCGTTTAAGATAGTTTCCCTTTCCGTAAGTGGTATTGTGTTAACGATAAATCCCATTTGACACCTGTATTATAACTGCTTACTGCTTCCCAGTGTTTGCTCTACCAATAATAATTGTCGTCAGTGATGTTTTTCTTTCGCTCATGTCATTCGTGACCACGGTATTTGTTGACGTACCCGTGAAGATCCGGGTTAGAATATGTCTTCAGCAACCCATGCTTGCCGTAAAATATGTGATATCAATCACAGGATTGTCTGGCCCAGACACGATTATTTATGGACCACAGTGAAATATAAGGTATTTGTTAAGTATGGCGTCAAACATTCTTTAACGGTAGTTTACTTTTCGCAAGTGGCATTGTAACAATGATAGTTTCGTTGTTATAACTGTAATTGCTCCCATATGTTTGTTTGCGCTACAACTATTGGTTAGCTATAAGGCTTTTGTCGCTCATGTTATTCGTGCCCACGGAATTCGTTAGTTTTCTTTTCCGCTTGTAGTGGCGCGACAGCATTCGTTGGTCATAGCTTCCCTTTGCCCAAACCAACTATAGCATACAGCAGGTGCTAGATTGTTTCCCTCGGATCCGATAGCATGGTCTCTCTCCAGTTGCCCCTTCTACATTCATTGTTGCAAATATCCGTTATTGTTAAGTTGGTTAGTTTGTTGTTTTTCGCCGCACTCAGCAATATTCCAGCTATATGACGGCGGTCTGTAAATAATCGAGTCTGGGCCAGACAATCCAGTGATTGATATCATGAGCATCGATCCACGCAATTAGGATCGATGACATACATCAAACAAGTCAGCGAGCCTGATCACCCGATCCCGTTAGTCGCCTCTTACGACAAGCACAGTCGCCTTTTACGGCAAGCACGGGTTGCTGAGGACCTATTCTACCCCGGATCTTCAGGAGCCTCATTGTTAAGTAGTATATGCTGATCATTTTGTCATGTTGGTCTCAGCATGTGAAGTACATCTCTTCTCCTGCCATGAAACCAATGCATGTCCATTTGGAACTCAGCAAAGATCGGACCTCCTCTGCTACAATGGCAAAAGGTGTTGCGCTGGAATTCCGGGTAGGTATTATGTTATGTTATTGATGGCTATCAGCACAAACGTTTGAAGAATCCAGTTGCTGTAGCTTTTAATGTTCTTATTTCAGCCGAACTCGCACGTAGACACGCAGTCGCTTTTCACTAATGAGTTTTAAGACTTATTTTAGGTTGCATTCGCCAAAGCCAGAAAGTCGAAATTAGAATATCTGTAGTAGCATGCAGAATTGCGTCTCCAATAAACTTTGTTACATGCAGTTGACGTCTTTAACGGATAATAGCGATCTCACAAATGAATTCCTATACTGCTCGATTCTGATTGTTTATGAGGGGATTCACATCACAATATCTACCTCTGATTAACACAGCTGATAAGGCGCAATCATACTTGGCAGGCACTTTCAAATGATAAAATTAACATATGTCTGTTGTTTTTTCTACAATTTTCAAAATATGCCCGGTAATACATTTTTTGGAAACATGATATAAATCGACTATGGGAGGGTGTTACAAGTTTTAGAGAGAACACTGAGATGGTAATTTTGGCGCTTCTCAGTCTCCCACTCCGTGCTATTTATCTGTAAAAAATGGTAGACTAAGTACATACGGCGACATAATTTGTTTATCGGTGATACGAGAACTCCTTTCTTCAAATCGGTAGGCCAGTACTCAAAATATTGCTCTCAACCCAGGCCACTTCAGTCACTGAAAAGTACGGAGGTGTGGAGATAAACCACCTACTGTGTTTCAATGGTGTCAACAATATTACCTGCGCTTTTAGTTACAAATTCAATTTTGCGCTTTCAAAACTACCATAGCTTATTAAAATACATTATTAAATATTTTTTACTCCGAATTAAAAGAAAACACAAAAATATTAAGAATTTTCTCAGTTGTGTTCTTATACAGGCATTCGTAGCCACGTCACAATAAGTTGAAGCAAGTAAAACATTTTGATATTCACTGTTGCTAAACACTGTTGTGTTTTTATTTTTATAATAATTTCTAACTAAATTGTGTATTGTACTCGCTTCCATATCAGCATTGCTAAACCAAATAAAGTTTTCACGTAAAAAAATGAAATATTAGCTGGGGCTCTTTTCAAAGTATATGTTAATTTGTATTCACTCCCAGCTTGCGTCCCCGGCAGCTGTGTGCACGGATCATGCATCATTGACAGCAACGGACGTGAACAGTGCACGTGTGCACCTGGCTACTCGGGGACAAGGTGCGACGTAGACGGTAAGCTTTATTAGATAATGTGTAACATGAATAAGATCATAACTTAGATCAGCAACATTCTCTGTGGACTGAGTCAGTGATCAGAATGAGAATAGGAGTGAGTGAGTGAGTTAGGTTTAACGCCGTTTTGAGCAGTACTTCTGTCATGAAACGACTTTTTGAAAATTTGCTTAATCAGCAATCATTTGCACTTGTAGTGCTGAAACACAGTGTCCGCTTGTGTTAGGATGTATCTATGACATGGTGTGTTGTGACACACACAGGCTGTCATGACTGACGGCCTCCCACATATTCTATATCGGCCGTTCAAGATACTTGGACGACCAAGTCGGTGTTCACCGCTGCGATTGTGGGGACGTTTTTTTGTGCACTACTAGTCAAAGTAAACTTCGTCCTGACGGCATTCCCCTATACGATACTCATTATTTCAACCATTGGTGGGGTCGTAGTCCAGACTAATTTATTTACAGGCCGTTGTTACATAGCTGGCATATTGATGGCTTTAGCGTCAAAAACACTCACTCACTCACTCCTGTCTTACGTCATGTTAATTGTTTCTGTTTTCAATGAAGACAAAATGAGGATATGTATGGTAAATGCTAAACCTGATGTTGCAAAGCCGAGCGTCCGAAAATAGGTTTGGCCTGAAGGCGAAGCTTTCTGTTCGCAGCTTTAATGAATACGTGTGGGGAAAAAGATAAACATTGAAATGTCAGCAGAACTGTGGAAGCAGTGAACAGGTGCTAGACGAAAGAGAAGATGATAACATGTATCTTGTGCCTTGGTTTCTTACAAAGTGGGGGCACGGGTGGCCAAGTCGTCTAAGGCGCCGCCATTTGAGGTGCAGAGTTGCGTCCCTTGGGCAGGCCAGAAACCTATGATTGTGGGACTGAATCCCGGTTCGCCTCGATTGTGTTTCTAGGTTTGTCAGCACCATACCCGTGCTCGTCTGAGACCTGAATCACTTCGGGCCTTTCTCCCACATTAAGCTGACACGTCGTGATATAACTGGAATACTGTTCAAAGCGGCGTGAATTCCAACTCACTCACTCACTCACTCACTCTTACGAAAAGAATTTACCGGTATCTGTGTCTTCGTTTAAGCTTGCGGTGCAGGGAACCCTTGTGTTGCTGGGCAAGGCTCTTGTGTTCGGGACACCAGTCCTGCTGGTTTTAGATGCCAGTGTAATGAAGGGTTCGTCGGGACATACTGTGAGGTGGATGGTACGTACAGTCTTCCTTAGGATATATATGGGAGTAACATTACATAGCAAACAGAAGATGGGAAAATACAACATAGCATCATTACTGTAGGGAGGGGTCTTGATCGCACAATAGCTACAGGTATTGTTAAGAGTCGGACTCCATCATGATGCATACTCGGCACAATTATTAAAGGATCATCTATTTAATGTGGGACTGATAGACGTTGTCCAAAACAAATAGTCATATATTGGCTTAAAATGAGTTCATTGTATTTCCAAATAAAACGTGAGACAGTCAAAAGTAAGCCAGTGGTTGGCGCAGTTCAAATGTTACCCCTGCAACATGTTGTTCCAAACAAATTGCTGTCACACTGGGGTCGATTGACAATCAGACTATTGTTTCACGTCTTTCACGTTTGTGCTAGTGCTCATCCCTTATATGACGTGACGTCGGGAACCCCATTGCACAGGACAAGGCTACAAAGGAAACCATCCTGCCTCTGTGTTGTGACCCTAGAACGCCCAAGGCCTCGTTCCACTAAGCGATCGTAGCGCCGAGACGACGTCGTAACGCCAATACTTTAACATACTTAGCTCTATCATCGCTTTGGAGAACGGGAACTGGTCCTGGCCTTTGATCATTGGCAAATTATAGTGGTCTTGTGCCGCTGAAACAGACTCTCAACAGCATTCCGAGTGACGTAAAATCCTGTTGCTGCCTGACGTTGACCATCCCAATAACTGTGGCACGATTTCAAATACTTAGAAATTAACGCGTTGTTTCAAGTGTCTCTTGTCATCTGCTACTAGTAATGAGATTGTTAGCAATGTGTCCACACAGCAGCATTCGGCAACTTGACTCCTGAGAGTTTCTGAGGCTTCGGGCATGTTTTGTTTGTTTGTTTGTTTGTTTGTTGTTTAACGCCACCCTCAGCAATATTCCAGCTATATGGCGGCGGTCTGTAAAATAACCGAGTCTGGACCAGACAATCCAGTGATTGACATCATGAGCATCGATCCACGCAATTGGGATCGAGGACATGTATCAACCAAGTCAGCGAGCCTGACCACTCGATCCCGTTAGTCGCCTCTCACGACAAGCATAGTCACCTTTTACGGCTAGTATGGGTTGCTGAAGACCTAGTCTACCCCGGAATCTTTGTGTCCTTCACTGAAGCACATGTAGCACTTGTGGTGTCTCCTCAGGCAAGCGACTTTATCACAAATGTGCCCCTGTTCACCGAGTGGGTACCCGGTAGGATGATATTATATCTGTTATGGCTGATAACCCTCCAGCGCCTCAGCACAGTATTAATGGATATATTATTATTATTAGTAGTAGTAGTAGTAGTTGATGTTGTTGTGGTAGTAGTACGTCGGGTGTTACGTTTTTGTCCTTGTTCTATGTAATAATGTAAAAAAAACTATCATCAGAAGGACTTAGACAAATGGGGATTTGTTTAGTTAATTTCTAGTTTGAACAGGACTGTTCACCTCTACCCTTAATGGATGACCCTTCAATAGTTGGGTTGACTAGACATTTGCGCCCCTTTATATGTGTATATAGAGTATGTGTATATATGCATACAGAGTTAAATAACCTAGACAGTGAATAACGACGTCCGCTTGTAACAAAGTGATATCAAGTGTTTTTGTTTCTTCAAGTTCTATGTATCTCGAAGCTATCCATGTGGTCCATGGACGGACACAGACTGTATACAAATATAGCTCTATTGGCATCACCACGTTGATCACAGTAAACATGTTAGTGAATGTCTTCATTACAGCCTTGTGTGGGAGACAGACCACAAGCCGCCTTCTCAATGGGGTCGCAGAAGCTGGGAATGCTAACCCATGGCTCGTCACTGTCCGCTCCGCACAGGGTGATGTGGTGCTCTGTAGCGGTGTACTGATCGATGACAACTGGATTGCCACTGATGCCTACTGCATGACGCTGTAAGGAATCTGTCTCATGTGAATCTCTGTGAGATATGTACCGTTATTTCTCTTTGATGTATATATTTGTCTGTGACAGGTAGCGCCGAGGTTAGGATATGAGTCGAAATGGGATTTAGCTTCGCGTTCAAGATTATTGCACTTACAAAGGGACGTGCATGAACGTGTGCATGCGTACGCGCGTGCGTGCGTGCGTGCGTGCGTGCGTGCGTGCGTGCGTGTATGCTGCAAGTATAGGTCCGACAAAATGCCGATTTATAGTGCTAGTCCACTGAGATACCATGCCGCAGTTTAACACGAATACCCCACTCAGACACAATATACTGACTCCGAGCCGACCAGTTCTTGTTTACTCATATTTTTTTACAGTTGTTCATGCTCAAGCAAGGAATAACATTGTTTTGACTATATTTCACCACACAACTGCAAACATGTCCATTGATGTCACTACCATAGATATGCCCTACCGTAACCAGTGTACATGTTATAGCCCACACCGTTTAAGGATGCATGCATGCTCTTCGTTCTCGAGTAGTGAACGTACAGTGTTTAAATGCTCAACTTCAGATGTACTGATTTCAAAAATGGTGTAAATTCGTGGTTATATCGCTTGATCTGTGAAACTTTTTCCAGTAACCTGGAACCCGCGAAGATCCGGTCTTCAGCAACCCATGCTTGCTGTAAAAGGCGACTATGCTTTTCGTAAGACCAATGGGATCGGTGAACAGACGGTGATGCATGTCGTCGTATCCCAGTTGCTTAGACCGATGCTCATGATGTCAATTACTGGGTTGTCTTGTCCAGACTGGATTATTTATGACCGTCGTCATACAGATGGAATATTGCTGAGTTCGGCGTTAAACAACAAACAACAGGTTGACTTGGAGACGCAAATCTTAACTCTCTTTTTCATGTCTGATTGGACTGTTGATTTCTCTGACAAAGAACGCATTTCCTACCATCGGCAGGTGTACCGGAACCAAAGGGGGTTGCAGAGTAGAAGTTGGAAGTTTCAATCGTCTCCAAAACGAATGGCAAGAAAGAACAAGGACAATCGAAGAAATTCGTTTTCATCCTGGCGTCCCCTTCAAAACAGGAGATGAGTTACAGCAAGTGTTGAAAAATGATCCTGATCGGACTCTGGGTGAGTTTGTATTTACTCACATTTCCACAGTCGTTGGCACTTTTAGCTGGTGACGGAGAATCGAATTGGCGAGATGAATTCTTAACCCGGGTCGCCAAAAGCCAGAGCGACTATTATCGATGGTTTACATAGGTTAGAACACTCTGACCCTAATGTCCTTGAAATGACAACTATTCAGTGTGTGTTGCTCCTGTAACCTACATGCGCACATACCAGGGTAAATGTATTCTCATTCCACTTTTAGAATGGTATATTGAACAGTACATTGCCATCATATTTGTAGAGTTCAGTACTACGTCATCTGGTAGAAGATAGTGTAATAGTGTAAAGCATAGTGTGATATAGCATAGCATAATAAGTATGATATAGTCCGCATAGCACAGCGTAATCAAATTAGCATGAGGTGCCAGCATAGCATGATATAGTCAGTATATCACGGCACAGTCAGAATACATGTAGTATAGCACAGCACAGTCAGAATACATGTAGCATAACATAGTATAATCAGAATACACGTCGTTCAGCATAACATAGCAAGATTACATGTACTTTTGCATTGCATAGGCAGTATACATGTAGTTTAGCATAGTCAATATTGCACAGTAGAGTTAGTCAAGCATGGAGGAGTCAGAATACATGTATTTTAACATAACAGTCAGAATACATGTGGTATAGCATAGCAAAGTCAGTATAGCACAGCATAGTCAGTATAGCATAGCATAGTCAGTATAGCATAGCACAGTGAGTAGAGCAGACCACAGTCAGTATAGCATGGTATATTCAGAATATATGCAGTGTGGCATGACATAGTAATGAAGTATAACATAGCATAGTGAGTATAGCATAGTAAGTCAGTATATCATGGCATAATCAGAATATATGTAGTATAACATAGCACGGGCACAATACATGTAAACTAGTGTCCAAAAGAAACGATACCAACTTATTTTCAAAATTGTTTTTTACTAAGTGAATTGTCAAGTAAGAAAACATGCCAATTCGTATTGCACATCCCAAACACAGCATAGTCGATAAAAAATATCGGGAACACGTGATCACTTCCGGGAAAAAACGTAAATTTCGTGAAAGTGACATTTCCCTCTCTAGCATGTTCTGCACGTGCAGAAAAACTGTATAAAACGGCTGATCAGACACGTTGATATCACAGCAACAAAAAGAACACAAGATATGCCACGTTTGTCAGCCATCGAGAGAGAGAGAGCCGTTGGAATGGTCCAACAAGGAGCGTCACACGTCGACGTCGCCAGAAGGTTGGGCTGCGCACGCATCACTATCACCAGGTTGATGCAGCGGTTACGTCAGACAGGTCAGACGTCAGACAGGCCCAGGAGTGGAAGACCACGAGTAACCACGCCCCGTGAAGATCGTTACATCCGGGTATTACACCTGAGGAACCGCACCGTAACAGCGACGTCCAAGGCGGCTACAGCACTGGGACACAGGATCAGTCGACAGACCGTCTACAGGAGACTACGGCAGTATGGTATCCGGCCACGTCATCCCTACCGCGGACCGCTCCTGACGCCTCGACACCGGAACAACAGACTGATCTAGGCCAGGCGAGTTCGACGTTGGCAACGGCGGGACTGGGCACGTGTTATGTTCTCTGATGAGAGCAGATTCCTCATCTTCAGAAACGATGGACGGCAGCTTGTATACCGACGATTTGGTGAACGTTTGGCGCCTAACTGTATCCAACAGGTCCGGCCGTTTGGAGGTGGAGGGTTAATGGTTTGGGGTGGCATATGTGGTGACGTCAAAACGATGCTTGTCGTAATTCGTGGAAACCTGAATGCACAGCGCTATCTTGATGACATCCTACGGCCTGTTGTGGTGCCCTTTTATTCAGCAACAGCCTCGTGGACTCCTTTTCCAACATTACAATGCAAGGCCACACACAGCAAGATTGACACAGAACTTCCTTGCCAACGCCAACGTACAGGTTTTGCCATGGCCCGCATGTTCACCGGACATGAATCCCATCGAGCACTTATGGGACCACCTCGATCGGCAAATCCGACGTCGCCGTGTGCCTCCAGTCAACGTCAAGGACTTGGAACGATGTCTCCTCGAGGAATGGCAACGCATCACTCCCAACGTCATCAGACGTTTGACGTCATCAGTCCGTAGGCGTGTTCTGGCATGTATTGATGCTCACGGTGGACATACCCGCTACTGACTTGACTTTGAGACGTGTGGTGTGACATTTCCCGTTGTTTCTGTGATCAGTGCTCTAACGAAATGTTCATTTTTCGACCCCACCCATCTTTAAAGGCTTGTCATATTGGTTGTACAGATTTTATTGAAATGACATTTTTGTACAGATGTTGTGAAAGGATTTCTCAAAAGCATAACACCAATCCTAAACTTCTGCATTGTTTAGTTTTTCTTTTATGTCGTTGCAAACAGGTGGTATCGTTTCTTTTGGACACTAGTTTACATGTAGTATAACATAGTATAGCGAGTATTGCATGGTACAGCAAGTATATCATGGCATTATCAGAATTTATGTAGTAAAACATGGCATAGGCACAATACATGGAGAATATCAAAGCAATGTCAGTAGACATGTTGCATATTATGGTCATACTTTCGGCCTACCTCGCCCCTTTCCGTTACCTGCAATCTTTCGGCCAACTTCGCCCCGTAATCGCAAAGACGACTCGGACGTGAGTGCTGGAAATAGGACAACTTCTGCCCAACAGTAAACAGGCTTCCGCCTTAACATGATCTAGGATACACATTTTTTGCACGTTAACGTTCGTTCTGTGCTTGACGGGGTAAACTGATTTGCGTAAATAACTACAAACACTATCGTCAATGTAAGGTGAGTCACATAACATTTCAAACGGCCGTTTTTGCCACAATAGATACAGTTTCTTAATTACCTCTGACAAGCCATTCATGACTGTCGTCTGAACGCTGGGATGTTTACATCACGTGACGGTCATGTGGTCAATTGTAGTCTCGGCTAAAAATGGTTACGAGTCACGTCCGAGGCCAATTTTCGCCGGAAATAGCCGATCGTGTAAGGGTCAAGATAGTACATCATAGGATTAGGACAGTCAGCATACATGTAATACAGAAATAGTATCATTATTCTCTATGTGCAGATTACAACATTGCCCTGGCCAGACTAAGTTGGTCTGTTCCTACTACATTCGCCATCAAGCGAGCCTGCCAGCCCACCAGCATATACGGGACATGCTTTGAAGAACAAAACTGCATTGTGGCAGGGTTTTCGACGATATCTCCTGGTAAAGGTGTTTGATTACTTTATTTTAGTCAAAGGGCTCAATCTTTGTATTTCAAGATGTTTTGTTTGTCTGTGTGTGTTTGTGTGTGTGTGAGAGAGAGAGAGAGAGAGAGAGAGAGAGAGAGAGAGAGAGAGAGAGAGAGAGAGAGAGAGAGAGAGAGAGAGAGAGAGAGAGAGAGAGAGAGAGGTTCGGGTGTGTGTGGAATTTCAGCCAGATGCTTATTGAAAACTACTGATCAACTATCGGTTATCATTAATCTGAATATCTGAATGAATGGTTTGTTTGTGTATTATTTAAAGCGCATATGCTTTTGTTCATAAAATGATAGTGAGAGAGTGAGTATGGTTTTACGCCGCTTTTATATTCCAGCAATATCACGGCAGGAGATGGGCTTCACACATTGTACCCATGTCGTGAATCGAACCCGGGTCTTCGGCGTGACGAGCGAACGCTTTAACCACTACCCGACCGTCCCATTTCTAGTAACAGATCAACATCATGATAGGATCAACATCATGATAGGATGATAGGCTGATACAGATTCGACCATATAAGTACTTCAAAGCCAACTATAAGTAACAAAAGTCGACTACAAGAAAGGTTTACATTATCTGTACATATGCCGACAGAGTTGATTCACTGCTGATTTGTTCTCAAACGTGAGCTGTAAGGCTACGAAGTGTTTCCAATGTGCCAAGATTAGGTGCACAATTATACATGCGACAGTTCATGCAGCCGCAGACCTTACAATAGCTACAAAAACACACTCCAGTTTGTCTTAACACTGCCTGTGGAGACATATCTCGCGTTGCGTTATGTTGTGTAGGGATTCAATATGTTTGACTTTTGTTTCAGTTGTCCAAAGTGGAACGCGTGCACATCTCACTGTTAAAGTACTTCCGGATCCTGTCTGCGAGTACATGCGGAACAGAACCCAGCCAACATCAACTCACTGTGGCCTGTCCCTGCAGGCGGACTCCGGAATATGTTTTGTAAGAACCTATACTAATTTCGACTTCCGCGGGGATTCCGGGTTAGAATAGGTCCCCAGCAACACATGCTGGTCATACCGCGGGGATTCCGGGTTAGAATAGGTCCCTAGCAACACATGCTGGTCATACCGCGGAGATTCCGGGTTAGAATAGGTCCCTCGCAATACATGCTGGTCATACCGCGGGGATTCCGGGTTAGAACAGGTCCCCAGCAACACATGCTGGTCATACCGCGGAGATTCCGGGTTAGAATAGGTCCCTCGCAATACATGCTGGTCATACCGCGGGGATTCCGGGTCAGAATAGGTCCCCAGCAACACATGCTGGTCATACCGCGGGGATTCCGGGTTGGAATAGGTCCCTAGCAACACATGCTGGTCATACCGCGGGGATTCCGGGTTAGAATAGGTCCCTCGCAACACATGCTGGTCGTGAAGGCCACCAAGAGGATCGGGTGGTCAGGCTCGGTGACTGGTTTGATTTGCGTGTCATCGTATCCCGTTGGCATGAATCTTTGCCCACATTATCAATCACTTGATTGTGTGGTCTAAGCTCGATTATTTACAAGCTGCGGTCATTTAGCTGGAATAATTGCTGAAAGCGGCGTTAAACAACAACCAACTCACCAAGCAACCTATTTCAGCTTAACGGTGTACAGGTTCCAATGGCAACAGTTCGTCAAATTTAACAATCGATGCTGAGTATGTCCATCTTGAATAATTATACACATTTGCGATCTAAGATCCATATATTGCATGGCGAAAGAGTCGCCTTACTTGTCAGCTTTACAATCATATGTAAATAAATAAATAATGACCCATATTAATATCCAAGCGGTAAATGGAATTCGAGGGACGTGTGTGTGTCAGTCGTCTAAGGTACCGTAATTTGTTATACATTTTCGTCCCTAACCGTGTCTTGGACTGTGGTCGTGGGTTCCAATCCCAATTAGCACTGATTGTGTGTTTCTAGATTTGTCAGCATCATGCCCGTTTTCGTGAGTTCCCGCAAAGTGATAAACGTCAAAGAACTGCATAATTGGTACTTCAGGTTTTCATTCCACGTCAAGGTGACATTCCGTGATAAGAATAAAGCCACAAAACCCTTTCCATATCCAATAGAAATCTCTACGAAGCAGAGTCGGTTAAGCGGCGTCGAACTTAACGCACTCACTCACTCTTGGGGTAAGTTCAAAGGGCAGCAGGAATACACGTGTACCCGATTCCACGACCTGACTGATCCAGTTCACGATGTCAGTTATTCACAATCATACGATCAATGTGCACGTCACTGTAACTCATATTTGTTCCCTTTAACAATGGCTTGCTGTTTGAATGCCAATCACATTTCACAACATTTCCTTGACAGGGTGACAATGGCGGCGCCCTTCTGTGTCAGCACCCGGAAACAGGGGCGTGGTCAGCGGAGGGCATCGTGGCACACTTTCCCGATGCCTCAAGTCCGTTTCGCTGTTCGCTGAGGCATTTCGTCTTCACCGACATGAGTTTTGTCTGGGGTTGGGTGAAATCGGTGATCGACCCACCTGACGGCAAATAGATCATTCAGACTAGGATCTGCACATACATGTGGTTAACGGAATGTAAACACTCCTTCATGGAGAATAAACTTTGTATGATTCAAATAATAATTGTTGTTCATGTTACCAATTTTAGAGAGCTACTGGTTTCCCAGGATGGAATTTAATTCAAATGGAACCGTGGTTGTTTGGTAGGGGTTGTCGAAGACTAGAAATACGCATTTTGTTCCTAGTCCAAGATCACGGACATCAGTACACTTCAAAGCCCGAAATCATATTAAAAAGGGGTGTTTGTGTCTTGCTTAAATATTTCTTGATCGATAAAGAAAACAAGAAAGTGGGGGAATGCGCTATACTTTCCACTGCCCCAAATCTAGTGTCAGCGGATTTCGAGTGCATTGATGGAATTAGGGCGGGTCGTGTTGGGGATGCTGTTTAAAGATCTCAATATCAATTGACTAGTATTTGGTCGGACTGAGTGCGAATGACAGCATGATATATGTTCAAAGTGTCAGAATATTTAACTTAACGTAAAGCAAATGAAAGCGCGGTGCTTAATGAACTATGGTCAATGCAGTGTGTATAATTAGGATGAGACTCATATATATGAGAGTAATATAATAATATTTGCAAAACACATCACAGTCACACCATTGATCTAGTCTCTGAAATATCCAGGTAACACTAGACATCCAAATTAGGTCGAATAATACAGTACTATTGGCACTTCGAAACCACACCAGGGAGTTGTGTTCGGAACAGAATATATCTTCGGTAACATACAACATTCATATTACTCTCTGAAAGGAGGGGCGGTCGGGTAGCCTTGTGGTTAAAGCGTTCTCTCGTCACGCCGAAGACCCGGGTTCGATTCCCGACATGTGTACCCCGGACGTGACATGGCTTGAATATACCACACTCACTCACTCACTTTGAGATTTAATTTGTTTACAACACAATTGTTGAGGACATCCGGCAAATATTTTTTCCAGTAGTTTCGTGAACAAATTATATTTTTCTAAAAAGCAAATGGTCGGTCCTTATCACATCAAACACCGTATTCAGTTCAACATAAGAGGTGAGGTGAAATGGTGTTTAATGTCAAGATTATTGCACTTATATAGCGAGGTGCATGCACATCTGCGTGCGTGCGTGCGTGCGTGCGTGCGTGTGTGTCTGATTGTACTAACCCGACCTAATGCCGGTTTTACAGTGATAGCCCACTGAGATACCGCAGTTTAACGTCTAACCACCATGTCGGAATGTTGAGATCTGATTGGTTAGCGTGATCTTGATAAAATATTACGTTTCCCGCCGGAACGGGAGAGCGGGAGAGCGGGAGATTAAATCCCTTATATTCCACCACGAAGAAAACAGGCTGCACGTGAATTTCTGACCCGGAGAACTAATCCCTTATACTGCCCGCTACGACGTCAAACGTTGCACATTGTGTACGGGTCAACGAAAGTCACATGAAACAACACACATTTACCTCAGCTCATCCCAACAGCTGTTTATCAATGTTCATCATGCAAGACAAAGTCGATGCAGCAGTATAAAGTTGGGGATATAGGTTTTTCTGCGTCCCGCGTTAGGTATTATACCAATTGCCGGAGGGGAGTTGTATAAAACTTAATGAGCGACGCACAAAACCTGGGACATAAAACCCGAGTGATACTGCTGCAACTCAATACATCCCGACTCCGAGCCGACCAAACCTTGTTTCAGAACCTAAATGCCGAACGCCATGTAGGGTAACAACAAGTACCACCTTTTAACATCTGTTGGTATAAAGCGACATGGGGATCGAACAATCGAAAGATATCACAATTCTTGAAGAAGCTATATATGAGTTTCACCACAGTTCAGTATAAACGAAGATGAACGATGTCAACGTGTAATAATGAATTCACATTTTGTACACATCACAGAGACATTATGATTGACGCAATGTGTAATGACGTCACCGTATTGACACCAGCACATCCTTTGCTTCTGGACATTATCATACAAATACAATGAAAAATACCGTGTACAGACGGTTACAAAATAATGGTTTTATTCATCTATATCTTAATAAAGTTACATTACCGTTTATGCATATTTCATAAACTAAGACAAAATATTTGAAATATTTTAAAAGCTAAAATGAGTCATTGATATAAACAGCAATGTGGAGGCCGTAGAGGCTAAACAGCTTCATTTGGTTGAATACTTTGGTGCACAAATATCCTTCCAATTATTACAAGAATAAATGTAAAAGTATAAGGAATTCATAAAGGTAAAGAAGAAAATCTTCTTTGTCAAAACCACAACCTATACATTAGAAGAGTCAGAAATATGTCCTTGATTAAGCACATGATTATTAAAATTCTTTGCGCGCTTTTAATGGTTACCGGGTAATATGTGTAAAAGAAGAAATACAAAAACAAATCCTGGATTGCAGTTATGTTCTCACTGAAACCTACACTAGAATTTACGTTACAAAACCAAATGCTGGAATCGGAGCTAAAGGTTTCAGGAACTTTTGAAATATTAATGAAAATTTAGCTGACACGATATTTGATGTTATATTTCGTATCTCGATTAGATCCCGAAATAACAACGGAAGACGAATTGCAAAAAATATATTTTAGAATTTCAAAAAATGGAAATAATAGTTCTACGGCACAGTTACTCACCTGGATACAGAGAACTAACACACAATTATGAAACAAGAATCGAAATTTCAGCCATGTTGCAACAATGAACGTAACACAGTTCTACATGGTTATACTGGTCCGCAGTGCATAATTCCCTGGTTTTAATGCCAATGCCAATGCCAATGCCAATGCCAATGCCAATGCTTTTCAGAACAAACGTTCCAATGCCCTGGTTACAATGCCATATTTATTTTGTAGTAAATCTTTTGGAGATGATTCCCTCTTCGAAATCAACAGACCGATTGCATTTATCTCAGTTGTTTTCACATGTAAGTCTCACGCAGAGAATCATTCACTTACTTAAAATTACAAACAAATTAGTTTTATGTTACTAATATCCTTTTCTACAACACTAAATATATTGGCATTCTCCAATTCTATATATAATTATGGTTTTAACTTCCATGATTATAATGCCATATTTACCGTTGGACGACTGTATGCAGTCAACTATATGAACAATAAAATAACATATATTAAAAATGAAATCTGAAACAACGCTGACACCTACATGTATATCCCATCTAAGGGGATATGTTTTTCTGGTGTCATTTAACATTTAATTTGTTTTACATATACTCTTTCAGTTTAACCCCCATAATGGTTACAAGCATCAACATTAAGTATCAGAGTATTTCCTAAGCTGTGTACGAGAAAAGAATTCAGGGAGTAGAAAGGTTCCATTAAATACAAAAAGGGAAGCAGCTAAATCGCCTTCTTCTCCGTGACCTTCACCACTGACTAAGTTAGACCTATACAAGTTTGGTGATAGAACAAATGTTGAGAAAATGTAACTTCAGAACTTTGTAAGCATAATTTAACTTGTAATATTGACCGATAACAAGCATGTATTATGAAATCTGAAATATGGAATTAACGGAATATTATACTTATACTTAATTATCATTCAATGCCGTGATTTTTATTATTATTTTGTATTTTTTTATTGTTAACAGTTCTTGCATTTCATAAAACTAACGATAAACTCAAAATGATTTGAACAAAATAGGGCATCTTCATAAACAGGAACGTGCATGTTTAAGTGCATTTTTAAAGAAGCTAAAAGCATGATCGAAGTTAAAAGGTCAAATCGATATCCAACTACACAAAATGACAAACATGGAACAAATATGTTGAACCACTCAACTATGTAAACAAAAATGAAATTATATTACTTTTGACTGAAACAACAACGCAGTAATGGTCATTTAGTGTTGTTTTCAATATATCTGCCGAAGAGGCCATTTTGAAAATCGAACTGAAACTTCTAAAGGTGCCATCATTCGTTGCAAAAATGTGCAAAAGATCTGACGTACAAAAAGAATTGCCGAGGTATGTACCTCATAAAATATGCACAATACTACCCTGAAAGTTTCGTCAGGGGCTCTTGTTCTTAAAATAATATTCATAACAAGTGGAAGTATACAACGATACACGCAAATATTAACCACATACATTGTTAATACACTAAAAATACATTTTACATATTCCAAAACAAACATTGATAGGTTGTCAGAAACCTAACCACTTGTCGATTGCAGTAAAGTGAACCTTCAACATCTTACCTAGAAGTAAGACGAGTTCTATGGATGAACAACTTCTTTATTACAATTAGTGCGACGTTTCGGTGTAGATCCTAACACCTTTATCAAGCAAGTTCTAACTTTGAAATTGAATTGAATGCGTCTGATCAAATTCACTCCATAAGAATGAGAATGCTTGCTACATGTCTGTACCGTTTTCATTTATATGTAATTAGGTACTTTGGATATGCCTGTGTGTCATTAAAGATGACAAACATTCCTGGTGTGTGGATGTTTTCCACAACAGAATCATAGAGAACTGCAGGAGTGGCCGGATCTACCGGAGGAGGAACCCTCATCCCAGACTTGCCCAAAGTGTACTCCCCAGTCAAAACATCGACAAGGTAAATGTACTTGTTGCCAGCAGGGTCGGGACGAGAGTATTTGTCTTGTGTTGAATAGTTGACGTTGACGGCAAAGTAGACACCGTTGCCATAGGCAACCGCTGAAAAATTATAACTCCCTTCATGTATGCATGTCTGCAGATCATTACTATAATTTATAACTTGTGATCATCAGCATACATTTTCGAAATCAACAGCAGCATCCTTATTAAAGAAGTGAATGGAAGTACCATAGATAACGTTGAAAGCAATTTAGAAATAATTCCAGGCCTTTATGACATTATATGTCTTAATGGTTCCCAGTCGGACATCATCAAACAACAGATGTACCATTAAGACATGTTGTGTAGACAATTTGGCAGGTCTGGTTCTTTCTTACATGTTATAAAACACTGCCTTACTTTAACTGGATATCATGAAGCCACTGAAGATACTGAACCAAGTCAAGAAAAAGTTTGAAAAATAAGTTACGACTGTAATCTCAAGTACTATAACCCCTTGCATCATACCAACCATACAATATGGAACAAGTAGCAATGGGACTGGTAAAAAGATATTTCATCGATATTACGCATCAAGCACCAGAATAAAACAAACTTTAATAATTGGGATGAACTGCAAATTACAGTTGCTCCTCTACAAAGCCGAATAGGGTATGTACAGAACATAAATGGGTAGTTTGTTTCCATGCATTGGGTGTGATACATTGAAAGCTACTTTATTGAGATATCAAATTTCAAATATTTAATGGCCAATATGTCAAAATCACTTTATTGTGGCTTGGTTTCAATATGATTTTATTGTATCCAATTTGTACCTGTCCACTAAACAATCGAACTTATAACGCATAAACGACAACATCCCTTTACCATGTTTGCCACAGTAGCTCCTGTTGAAGCCATAGCTGTTGATGGAGGGTATGGCAGCGGTAGCTGTTCCGTGCCACAGTTGTCTCTCCTGCTTTATCGTGGAATGTCTCCCTCTGAACTCTTCCTTCTTGGCCATGTACTGTTTATACAGGGACTTGTTCTGGACACGCTCGATCTGACAGCAAAGCATAAAATACATGGGAATGCAATATCACAGTAAGAAATAATACTTTCTTAAGCGTACGTGAATAGACTTCAAGCGTTAAATGCACCATTTGAAATGAATAAATGGATTGGGACATTGCAACTGTTTACTAGCCAGTCAAAGACTATATGCTAAGGTTCAAGAGAAGCAGAAACACAAAAATCTAAAATACAAATATCTGAACGCTGGGGTGCGGTAGCCTTGTGGTTAAAGCGTTCGCTCGTCACCCCAAAGGCCCGGGTTCGAACACCGACATGGGTACAATATGTGAAGCCCATTTCTTGTGACCCCGCCATGATATTGCTGGAATATTACTAAAAGCTGCGTAAAACCATACACACTCACAATACAATGAGGCGGTTGTACTTTTCACTCCATTGTCTGCATGGATTATCTACGTTTACTGTTATTCCTTTACATAACGTGGTAAAATACTCACTTTGATTATCGTTCTGTTTGCACTTGAAAATGACCCAGCTACACTTCGGTATTCCGCATTATCTGGACTCATTCTGCAGACATTTAGATTCTCACTGGCACCCATCGGCTCCCAGTGGTGTGGAGGATCGAACTCCGCAGCTAGCCACAGAAAACACGTAACACTTAAAATACGCGGAGTAGTTCGTTTACATACTTGGTACACATCGTGCGCACATGTATTTACAAACAGACATATATTTACATTGGTAAAAAGAAATTCAAATATATGGACATTTTGTATGAGAGATTCTTTACAGGCAGATTGAACTTAATGTATTAAAGGATAGTTCTACATTATCATATTTGGGGATAATGTTCACCTGCTACCTTTGTAAATGGACAAATTTACAAAATGCACATAACTCATTTTATATTTCTGAAAGGTCACATAGGCAGAAGAATTATAAATAAGATCGAAAACTGTGGAATTTGTTGCCAGTGGTAAAGTTTGATTATGCCTTGACACTGGCATGTTTTCACAACATTTAGCAGTGTTACACACTTTATTTTTGACAATGGGCTGTTTTACGGGAGATTAACTTAGATTAATTAGTTTTATGTTTTCTAGTTATACATTTATATCGTTTTACACGTCTTGTGCCTTTCCATTACAGATTTACAAACAGCCATATATTTACATTGGTATTTTTTTCAAATACATGGACATTATTTATGAGATATTATTTCGAGGTATAGTGAATTAAATGTATCAAAGGAGAATTCTTCATAACAATATGTGAGGGTAAATTGCAGCTGCTACCTGTGTAAATGGACGAAACTCATTTTATATTTGTGAAAGGTTACAAAGGCAGAAGTATAAGCAAGATCGAAAACTGTGGATTTTGTTGCCGAGGTCAAGTTTTATTATACTTTGACACTTGCATGTTTTCGCATTATTTGGCAGTGCTACTCACATTTTCTTTGACAGTGGACTGGTTTACGAGAGATTAACTTCGACTAATTAGTTTTTGTGTTTTCCAGTGATCCATTCATATAATTGAATGCTGTTTTGCCTTTTACACTACTGGAATCTGAAACGTTAACACTAATCAGATTACATGTTGGTTACATGTACAGTATAGTGTGTGAACACATACCTTGGATGAGATCCTTCCTGACAACGATGACCTTGGTACTTTTATCATCTTCTCTGTATTCAACCATGTCCTTAAAGTCTATAATGTATTTCACCCCTTCAGTATCTTCAAGTTCATGGGTTTCTTCAATGCCTCTAAATGTTTTCTCAATGAGTTTGTTTGTATTCTGGTCATATGCCACCAGCTCCTCGTCCCCATTATTCAGGATGTCCATGTAGTACCACTGCACACAGGCTCCAACTGCTTCTGCATGCTCTTCATCCTTTTGTTCTAGACATAGTTCGTATACAGATTTGCTCATGGCAGCTACGTCTTCCTTTAAACCCTGGAATAGGAAACATTCAAGCAATGACATCCCCGACATTCAGTGTTAATTCATATTAACTTTGTTACAGCAATTATTCAGAACTGCTTTGGTGGAAAAACATTGTGTTTAAGAAGATGCCAAGGCATACATATGAGTAACGGTTATAACAGCTCACCTGTAATCTAATTCTACCTAAACGTGTGTTGATGTCTATGGAAACTCCACGCTGCCTTGCGATGCTCTGTAGTCTCAAGATCTGCATAAGATACAACACGGTCCGTTATCAGCTCTAATAACTGAATCTGTTCGTGAACATTACATCCTATTTAATAAGGCATCGTGTTCTTTAGAAAATATAATTGATTCATACAATGGGTTTCAATAAAGAAATCTTTAAAAAATGGTTTGTAAAAGAAATGAACCAAAGTTTTGATGAAACACGTGAAGTAGTTGGAGTTGAGGCAGACATCCTTCCGAGAGCTCGGGTGTGTCACAACCTTTAATACGATTACATGCATCCTTAATACATAATTTGTAATAATAAGACGAAATGCCGTCTTAAAACTTGATTCTACTTTAGGAATGTAATCAGAAAATGGACCTTTTTGAACTAGAAAAAGAGAGATACAGAATTCAATATATTGGCAAAGAGAACTACCTTTTCTTCATCCAACGTCCGTATTGTGTCGTGTTCAACAGGTTGGTCATCGAACTCTTTGCTACAAGCATTCTCCAATTTCTGCTTTGCAGACTGTATACATGTTTTGCTATCAGAGAAGATTTCCACTTCTACCCCATCAGCAGGAAGGTGTTCGGCGACATAGTGGAGTCGTGACTCAGTTTGACAGTTTCCAGGTTGTGTTTTTGGCCTCGCACCTCCGTGGCCTACACGACAACATGTGGTTCAAGGTCATGTTGTACATTTTAAGAAAAGCTTTCAAACACACGTTATAGCCAGTATTTTGGTTAATACGTTCAAAACATTACCCATACAGCTTAACATACGGGAGGACGAAGGCGATGTAAACATGAAGCAGCCGAAGTGAGTGAGTTGGGTTTAACGCCGCTTTTAACAGTTTCCCAGTAATATCACGACGTGTCAGCTTAATGTGGCATTTCCGGAAAGTCCGAAGTGATGCAGGTCTCTGACGTTTACCACTTCGATGAAACCCACGAGCACGGGTATGGTGCTGACAAACCTAGAAACATAATCTGGGCGAACCGGGATTCGAACCCACAATCATAGGTTTCTGGCGTGCCCAAGGGACGCTACTCTGCACACCGAATCGCGGCGCCTTAGACGACTGGGCCCCCCTAGCCCCCCGAAGCAGCCGAAAGAGATAAACCATGTTTCTATATCAATCATCGTACCTTTATGCTTGTCACCAAAGAAAGGCTTCTTTGCTATTCCTCGTCTGTTCAGCAGAGATGCCAGTAGGTCGTTGAATCGATTATACATGTCTGGTTCGTAAAGGACGAGTCGTACTTCTGTGACATACTTCAAGTTAGACAAGTCTTGCAATTCATCATAAAGATAGTCCATCAGTAGATGTTCCGGAACTCCCCCGAAAGGACCTACGTAAAGTGTTATAATTGTTAAAAATAGTTCACTTTGTGTACACACGCATAATATTGATTCTGTGCAAGAGCATTTGAAAAATACACTGTTGGATAAAAGTCCAAAAGTTTTCCATGCAACAAACTTTTCAGTGCTCTTTCAAAGTTCAAATCAATGGATGACTGCTTAAATTTGCATATCTTTACTCTTGCATTACAGCTCATATCACTATTAATAAGTAGCTACAGTTTCAGATATGTCATATTTTCAATGTTGTGGAGAAAAAATCCATACGGACATAATGAAAAGAGAAAGTAAACCATTTTAATATGAATTTTATACTTTTTATATTGCATTAAAAAAATTACATTTGAGCTACAGATCTTTGAGGTTGACCTCTTTTGTGAAACCCAAAAAGCACAGGCAGAATGCTGACAAACCAAGAAAAATAATTAAGGCGAATCTCGGTTCGAACCCACGATCACAGGTTTCTGTTACCTCTGAGGGATGCTAGTCTGAATGGCGAATTGCGGTACCCTTGACGACTGGGCCACTAGTTCCCCCTTTATTTAACTTATGCAATCTTTACCTTGTCACAACACAATGCTTACCTTGTCCAAGAGCTGGAAGAGCCACAGATGAACAGTGCATTTTATCTGCCTGTTTGATGCAGGCTTTCAGAATGGCTTTAACGTCATGCTTGAAGTGAAAGGGGTCGTAATGGATAACAGTGTTGAATGTCGCTCCTGCTACTTGAGACACTGTTAAACCTTTGGAACGGAGATCTTTTTCTGTAGAAAAACGTAATGAGAATGTACATTCATATCAACAATTGCGAAAAAGGTTTTGAAAACCCGGATTCAAATTCACATGACACATCTCTTCCATGGTTGTTTGCTGGTATAAGTAGATTACCATAAGCCATGCTTACAAATATTCATTTCTGGTGTGAAGTGGAATATGTCGAAACCATTTGGGACAAAATGTTTAGTCCGGCAGATGATGCAATACCGATCAATCTTCATGGTTTAGCATATAAAACCTTTTCTACACAGCCTTTGTAATCAAATGGATATGTGTGCATATCTGTTTATGATGTAATACTGATTTTTGCATATCCAAAATACATCGTGTACTGCCAAGAGAAAGGAAAGTGACTGTCATATCAAAAAAGGCAATTTTGTCGGCCATGATATTTTCAACCTATTCACAACATTCTTTCCAACTTTCGCGCTTCGCCAAATAAGCGCTTATAGTTTTTCTTTGAAAAAATACAGCCAGTCATGCATTTTCAGGGGTGTACAATCAAGCTGAATGCAAATAATGTACATTATAACTTGTTCAAGTTTCTTTATTTCGTACATGTTTAGGCCAACGGCCCATGGTACATATATTGGTCCACAGTATTAATTATTGACTCACGGTAGATAAAGGCATAATACAAATACATTGTGGTAATTCGAATTGTAGTTTGGTTACAGTCAGACATTAACATCTTAAATATATCCAGGGTAGGATGGACATAAAACTTTTCATGAATATCTTGTTGTCTTAAATTATCATAGGCTTTGCAAATTAACAAAAAGTGGTATTCATTTTCCACATAACCAAATATACATAATTTACAAATCCTCAGGGTTCTAGGTACATAGTTATATCTTCCCGTTTCAATATATAAGGTATGCGAACTGCAACGAAAACGAGCTATTGCCTATCTAAATTTACCAATAGTTACAGCAGATATATATGGTTCAACACAAAATGACATTTTAAATAATGAATAAAAACACATTTTAGAGCTTTTAAAAAATTGCTGAATGCCAATCCTGTTCATAAATACATTTTAGACGTGATACAAATTCAGTAATAAACAAGTTTGGGGAATCAATACCCTGATTTTCCCAAACATAACCAAACTCAAATTTATACAAGAGCAACTTGATTTTAGACACCCAATTACATTTACCATTAGATGCTTCAAGAAACAACATATTGTAGCTCTTTTAGGGTAACGGGAATCGGGCATATTTAAAATCGTACACCAATATGAAATGCCGTGTTGATAAATTGAGATATATAAAGGATATCGTCCACATTCACCACGGACAGTATGTGGGAGCTTTAACACCTAAAAACTGCTTATAGCCTAACAAATGGACAGATTCAATTTCCTTGTAATTATCTACTCCCCAAATTGTCATGTATGTTATACCAGGTTTTCCAGAGCATGCCCTGAAAACGAACCCCAACTCTATGATAAAATACACTGAAGCTGTACGTTTGGAACGTTGGCTGAAATTTAAAATCCTCAATATTGGTAAAATATATTATTCACGAGTGGAATTGAATTATAGGCATGTGTATAACTTCTCCAGTTCCTTAACTAACAGTTTCAGCTCACCTTTCTGTGTTCTGTTATCTGTTCCTACAGCTGCATACTTTCGCAAGAGAACTTGATTAATTGTTCCTGTAAGTAGGTATGTTACATAAATTATAGCTCACTTCACAGGAATGTCACATGGTCATCTGGTCTGATGACATCACTTCCATTTTAGATAACTCATCAAAATGTCTATGTGCAAGACTTAGGGACCGACCATTTGATATCCCCTATGTGTGTGTGTGTGTGTGTGTGTGTGTGTGTGTGTGTGTGTGTGTGTGTGTGTGTGTGTGTGTGTGTGTGTGTGTGTGTGTGTGTCCGTGCGTGTGCGCGTGCGTTTGTGTGTACAATTTATCTTTTTCGATAACATTTGTCTTTTTCTCCTATCCAAAATTGTGGTTCAGTTTGGGTAGAACATGCTTACCCTTTTCGTGAACACCTGGTACAATCATTGATTCTCAATGATCCTTTCACCACTATTTTGCCTTTTACGTCTTTTACGTCATGGAATCTGTTTCGGCTGATAATGGAGACTGGTTCTGAATTCTCAGGCGTTGACATTTTATATATATATTTCCCCAAAAAGGTTAAAGAACATCCGGGTTTTTTTCATATGACTGTATTTAATTTGTCATGACTGGTGGTTATGGCAACACACAGAGTTCCAATTGCGAGTGTTCTTTAACTGGTTTCGAGTAGTATATATTGGTAAAAAGATACTGACCAGGTGACACAAATATTTGAAGTGGGAATTACCTTTCTTAAGATTAAACTGTGAATCCACACTATTTATGATACAGTCCACGTTTTCTTTCAAAAGATCCCCATGCTTCAGGGTGAAGTGGATGTTGCCAAATGTAATACCTCCACTTACATCAAATGGCTCTTCTGTTGAATGAATTAATAGAAGGTGTTGATAAACTAATTATATAAGAAAACATCTATTATATACACATACGGATGATGCAATTGCTTAGTATACATTTCATTTTATTCATGATAAGCTAAATCAGTCACTTGGCGGCTGGGATCTACATGTTCTTATCATGCAAGTGAAAGGTTGGGTATGATTACAATCAAGGTGAGTATTACTTAGCAGGGGTATATCTGCAGCTTTCAGAAACATAAAGAGTATAAGAAAAAGAGAGAACCTGTGCTTTTGTTGTCTGTTTTCAGTTGTCGACCTCTTCGGCTTGAGGTCGGTATGCCATAAAATGATCCACTCTGTTTTTCAAATACCTGAAAAATGAAATCATTGCAATGTTCTCTACATGTGTGACTACATAAAACAGATCAATATTATTAGCCGAAAATTATTAGCCTTTCATTAACCATACGTGTATGGTAATTCTGTTGTTAATTATTTGAATAGTCTTAGTCAATTTTTAAAGTTATCAATGATTATTGCAATATTTTCTTGATTAGACTCCAAATCGTGGTACTGTCTCCTACCTTTGCCACATCATTGTCTTTGTCATATATGACAATCTTGATATCAATAAGCGTGGTGTCAGGGTGGTTTCTCCAGAAGTCATCTATTGCTGTGAACATGATTCTGGCAGATACATCTTTATCATATCCGGACAATCCTATTCCCAGTGTTGGGAATAACAGACTCGTGAGCTTGCTCTTGTCAGCTTCCTCCAGGCAGAGAGTTACAGCACGGTGTAGATTCTAGAGATACCACAGATACCAAGTACAAGTAACGAATTACATGCTACGTCACTGTCAACAATATCACTCCCTCCTTTCCTTTCAAGATATACTTTTATTTGTGACCAACGTCCACAAGTTCCAGACATTTTGTTTGCATTTTATGTTATGTGACGCTAATCATATATGCTTCCGATTTGTCACTATCACCTTCAGAAAAAATGCAAGCATCTAGCTAAATGATTAAGATGCTTCTAAATGCTCTTTCATTGAGCTGGTCAGTTTCTATTTGGGAATACACCTGTGATTGCATATGTGACGAATGAGATAACCCGTTCGTGTATTACAATTGCTAAGTTCTACACATAATACAGACAAGAGAAAAAGACTTAATTCATCTAATGCTCGTCGTGACGTATCCATACTGCAGTGCACTGTCTGGCTTCCAATTAATTTCTAATTAAACTATTGCATCCCAGTAAACTATATCACCGAGTCTGTTGTTTCTTCTCCTCATTAGTGATTTTTAGTCTCTGGTTGTTAATGCAGAATCAGGTAGATAACAATTAATTATCACCACAATGTGTGATTACAGTGAAGTCTGTGATTAGCTCAACAATGATCACATTTACCTTCTTCTATTCCCAACATAATTAGTCTATTCTGAATTCGTTAAGCCCTTTTGATTTTTTTTATAATTTCTTCTCTTCAAATAAATGTTTGCAGTCAATTTATAAAATGACTATTTAGTCAGCCTTCACGTGCTGTTACGTGAGCAGGAAAATGCACTTTTGGAAGAAATATAGCATGACTGTTCACATTTTAAATATGACAGTAAAACTTTCATTTAACTACCTCTTCGCCTCGAGCTTTGTTCCACGGTGGTATGACAACATGGTAGATTTCAGACGCCTGTAGAAGACCAGCTGATGTAACTGCCAAACTGTAAGTTCCATTTGGATATTTCCTTCGACATTCAGCTTCCAAAGCCGGACCAGCAGCATCTGATATAGCTTTAGACAGTTTACCTCTTGAAAGATTGAGTTCTCGGTCCGTTGGATTCACAATAACGTCTGCCTGAGGGGTAAATTGCAAAATATACATTTATATGTGCTAGACATAGGTCATATAAAATATTATCAACGTATTCAATAGTTTTAACTTATCTAAATGTGTGTACTTGTTTGGGTTTTTTTGGTGTGTGTGTGTTTTTTACCTTAAATCTGGTAATTGATCCACGTGATAAGATCACCCTCCTCCCAGAATCTGAAACATGATTATTCCTTCATTAGTATATGGGTTCATTCTGTTTTACATTGCAACAAGCATATATACATTACACTGGACTGTTCGCACTTGAGTTTGGGACAGACAAGTAAGTGGCTGACTCAGTTATCTCCGACAAATAATAAACAATGATAACCAAGGTCACAATGTTATCATGCAATCGCCATCTTCGTCGGCTCTTATCACAATCATTGGAAGGCATGAGACCACGTTCATGCAAGCTGATATTCAGTATCGACATATCTGGTACACATGTATGTACTTATGGAGACTACAACAACCTCAGTTGCGCTCACCGAACAGAGACAGAAGTACAACTCACCTGAAGTTCGTTGTCCATCCGTTTTCATTTGCTGGGCTTGATCCTTAAACACCTGTGTTATCAATATAAGTGATTCTGATTAGAAACTTCAACACATTCTGTGATGTCATGGTGGTGTTAGATCTACAAATCCTCAAAGTAACCCAGGTCTGGTGTACATTTAGACGATACCATTAATTCTTCTAAATTAATCAGCAACATGCCGGAGGTACAGCTCACCTTATTTAGTGTTCTTGAACATGAGAAGTGAAAGTTTGCTAAACTAGCTCTTGTATCTTTAAAATCATTCTACCCAATACTTACAGTGTTTTCTTTGCTGTTTCGGGTTCTCTCAATCGTTTGGGTGCATATTTTAATGATATTCTAAAATCACACCCATGCCTTATATCGATGACTGGAAGAATATTTATTATTTGTAACATGCATAAAATATTTAAGTTCACAAGTTAAAGTCAAAATCATATAAACAAACACTGTGAACAGTGTGAAACATGTTGTCAGTAACATTCAAAAAGGTTATCTGGAAAGGTTACTGCCCATATAATACAAATTTAATAACTTGAAATGTCATCGTATCCCAATTGCATGGATGGATGCTCATGATATCAATCCTTGGATTGTCTGGTCCAGACTCGATTATTTACAGACCGCCGTCATATAGCTAGAAAATTGCTGAGTGCGGCGTTAAACAATCAATCAATCAATAAATAATAACCCGAAAGGTGTTTACAGCCCAAATAAAACAAACTTACTCACTTTAAGGTGTTTGCATTTTATGCAAAACCAGAAGCAAACCCATCACAATTTTTTCCTGAATGCCATCAGAAAAATAAACCCGTTTGACTTTACAAAATAAGGTAACAGCTGTTCTTTATTCATTTTTATATTTGTTGTCTAATGTAGTCCCATATCTCTAGCTCCCCCCAAAACATGTCATATGAACTTTTAGTTTCAGGACATGACTTCCCAAACACATCCCTAACACAGCACAAGTTTGAAACAAAAGGTCAATGACAAATTTATAATCGCAGCCATGAGATGCCAGACAATTTCAAATTACAATCAAAGTAGTGTAATTGTAAATACACTCTTAACTGTGTTTATACAAATAAAGCGACACAACCATTTCCGTATCCAATAGAAAGCACGATTCCGACTATAACATGAGCATGTGTTTTATGAATCACTATCAAAGTGATTCTATTTCCATTGCTATTAACAGAAGGTGTTCAAATGGCTTGACCTTGTCACACGGCAAGTGCAGAGGAAAGTCGGAATCGTACAATTTCTTGTAGTAATAGACAGGCTTTTGTCGCTTCTATTTAAGTGTTATTAAATGTATCACAATTGTCATGAGTAAAATGTTTGGACAATTAAATTGTACAGCCAAACAAAAGAGACAGGGTTCGAGTTTAATAGAAGCTATATCACCAGATAATATAATGACTTTTTCATGAGCTGTGATAAGGTTGTGAAGCGATTTCACTGTAGCAATAATCGAAACCATAAACGTAACCATACCATGGTGGTTAATTCAGGCCTTGACCAAAGGTACTTTGTGACAATTCGAAAATTGGTGACTTATATGATATATTTAATTATATAATGTTCATTTTCAGGCTTTTCATCAGTTTGAAAGATTCCTGATTATTAAATTTTGCTGAAGTTTATGATTCAGCCTAATCGTTTGAGTGAGTTGGCGTGGTCTTGGGACTGCCTTTGAACAGTGTTTGGTTATATATCAGTGTTAAATGACTAGCCATTTACATAACAGTATTACCACTACATTTGTTTGCGATCAAACTCAGCTGTTGGGGTCAATACCAATACACAAAATCACAAAACAATATAAATAGAAATATATGTGGTGGAGGGGTATATGTGGTTGAGGGGTGAGGGTGGGGCATTTACAATGTCACGGGGGTGGGATGGGGAATGAGTGAGTAGAGGGAAGAACCTTACAACACAAAGTTACGATAAAGGCTCTGGATGAGGAGATGAAAAATGCAAAAATACAAGAACAGATAGCCACAGGGGAAAGGTTCAATACATATTTTATAACTACTCGGTGTCATGAATTTATTATTTGATGGTAGCAATAGGTTCCCAATAATAGATTCATCATGTATACACATGCACAAAAATTAAGCGCCACCATATTCACAGTCTCTTGATTTCACGTGTGGGAATCAGAAATACGAAATATGATGATGTATGACTGAATTAGGCTTCCATAGTTTCGTGAACCCAAGTTTGTCCAGATACCACAAGAAAAGCGTGCCTTTCGTGTTGCTGCAGTTCCCCTAACCTATAAATAGTGAAATTCAAGTTTCAGACACGTGGTTGCATTTTGCTCCTGTGTGAGATTCCCCTTCCAATAGAGGTTGAAAATCAGCCATGGTGAGGAGAAAGTTAACGAACGCTGAAAGATGGCAGGTGATAGGCATGTCAAATGCTGGCATGTCATGCAGGGCCTTTGCAAGACAAATGGGTCGTCATCACAGTGTTATCACTCGTTTGATTGTCAAACATGGTCAATCCAATGATGCCAATGACAGGCATAGGTCTGGTAGGCCAAGAAAGACCTCTAACAGAGAGGATAGACGTCTTTTCAGGATAGTCAGATGAAATCCATTTGCCACTTCAACAGATTTAAGACTGCAGTGGATTACCCATCACAGACTCTCGACGATGACCGTAAGGCGTCGCCTGGTTATAACGCCAGAAGACCAGTAAAACGTCCTCAACTGACTGAAAGCACAAGCGGAATCGTCTGATATGGTGTCGTGCCCGTAGTCGATGGAACTTGGCCAACTGGAGAAGGATCCATTGGTCTGACGAGTGTCGAATGGTGCTACGAACTGTTGATGGTCGAATACGCGTTTGGAGGCAACATAACACTCGTTTTGCACCAAGGAATATCCAGAAGACCATAGCATGTGGCGGGGGGTCTGTCATGATATGGGGTTGTGTTTCCTTCAGCTGCAAACTTCCGCTGGTGACAATTCGTGGAAACCTGAATGGCCAACAATACCAAGATGCCGTTCTTCAACCAGTGGTAGTCCCTCATTTAGACAACCATCCTCTTCAGACAAGACCTGTTTACATCGACGACAATGCTAGACCACACAGATCTCGGGCAGTTTTGCCTTATTTGCGTCAAGAAGCTATTGCCAATCTTCCTTGGCCGGCCTGTAGTCCGGATCTTAATCCGATTGAGCATCTCTGGGACATTCTTGGCCGGAAAATCAGACATCGTGATCTCCCAGTTCGAAATCTCCCTGGACTTGAAGCCGCACTTCATGAAGAATGGATCCGTTTGCCTCAGAAAAGCATTCAACGACTTGTAATGTCCGTGGATCATACCCACGTTACTGACGTTTCTGTCTCTGCACTCCCTAGGGTGTCTGTGTGACACCTGATATGGTCTGCTGATATCATGACAGTTACATGACAAAAAAAGTTTTTCAATGTTTTCTAATCCTTCAATTTCTGGTCTTCGGTAAAATTCCTTTCTGCTCATATTCTTTTGGAACACAAGATAAACTTGCTTTGGGACAACTTTTGCATCACATGAGGTTTACATATACGGCTTATAACAATCGTACAGCTCGTTTTAATAGTCATCATTATGTGCCAAAAGTAACAAATCAAGACATGAACCTGGTAGTTAGCATACCTTATGTATACGGTTAAAAAGCTTGATTTAACGCCCTAGATTATATAATGAATATTTTATTGAAGACTTTTACATAATAGGTGAAACCTTGCCTGGCATAGGTATTAGTTTTGGTTTTTTTTGTTTAACGCCGTATCCAGCAATATTTCAGCTGTATGACGACTGTCTGTAAATAATCGAATCTCGGCCTGATAATCCAGTCTTTGATATTTGCAATTGACATTCATGAACGGGGCATATGTGTCTGTAATGAAAAGATATAAAAAAGATGATGTGTAAAGAAATACACCAAACCTGTATGTTCTCCCTATCCCTGGGATACAGGATGACTCTTATGTCTGTGAGGGATGTATTCGGGCACTGTGACCAGAAGTCGTGTATGGTTGATAACATAGCCTCGGCTACCAGATCTCGAGAATATCCTCCAATCCCTGTACCAAGTGCTGGCATTGCGATGCTGGAACAGTTGTGTCTGTCAGCAGTTGTTAAGCATTCCTTAACTATGTCTGCCACAGCCTGCAAAAGAGATTTCTATTTCAATTGAAACCCACATACAGATAGTGATATTGGGGAAGATATTTTTTTGACGAGGACATTTATATAATATATATCAACAGAATGAACACGAAGTTCCAGAAAACTGTTCATAATGCCACCTGCCATGATGTCATTTGGCAAAGCTTTTTCCAGCATAATCAACTTTGAATACATCTATTTCAAAGATAAAAAAAACAACGACAGTAGGTGCGCAATTAGAATAAGAGATGGTAAAATAATGTATGCATCACCAACAGTTCTGAAATGGTGCTTTCTTTTGGTCACTGCAGGTGCCTTTTTTTCTGTACCTGGGTTTTATGGGAGTACTCTAACTGTAGTTGATAGCCCATACCCGAATATTTATCAATGCAGTAATACAGTTAGGGCTTATAGATATATGGATTACCGATCTATATGCTTCTCTGTCAAGGCACAAGATATGAAGGTCAAACTTTCACAATTATTTTATTTCGAGACACATTTGGGTATTTCAGGTGGCAGGGGCATTTTATTTGATTCAAACCCTGCTCTTGCGATCATACACCTGTATACTAAGTTTGGTCAAACTTCGATCATGCCTTTTGAAAGTACACACTTTCACACATCAACATGAATGCTATTCATTTTAATGGACAGATATCCATCACGTTAACATTAATCATTTTACCTTTACCTTTACCTCAAGTACAGCTTTACCTTTTTTACAGTTGTATTTGGTGTTTGTTGACGAAGAAAGGGCATTCGCAGGGGTGTGGATGTCTTCATACAAACATGATACACCTTTTTGCACTTCAGTTTGAAACCAGGTGTGACAACAATTGAACCAGGGTTAATGCCTTGTGGGTATATCCTGCAGGCAGACAATAACTCTGGACCAGCGACTTCAAGAATGGCTGTCGAAACTGGCCCTGCATTTTGTAAATTCAATTCCTTGTTCGTTGTGTTGACGATAACATCTACCTGAAAAACACAAAATACATGTATATGTTCTCGTGTGTATAGGTGTTTACAAAATGTTTACAAAATATTTACAAAAGTGAATCTGAATTCTTCCCAGACCTATCACAATATACATAAAGAAAATGGATTATTATTTGGACAGGCTTCATTATTTGTCTTGTCTAGTCATTCCTGCTCTCACAGTATTAATAGCAACATACAAGAAAAATGGTGTATAAACTGATACTGTAAACCACAGCCTGATGAATTAGGTTCCGAAAATGTTTTTCTTATCTACATAACAGGGAATTAGCGCACCTGTTACAAATAACTTGAAATTGTACTGTATCAGTAAACATTACCATTTTCGAATGTGCGATTTTTATTTGTTATCAAAATACATATTTGAAGCCCTGACTAACACACAATCTACATTGACACCTCTATATTTACAGAAACATTCAACGAAATTATACATCATCGTTTGTCATCATCTTTCATAACGTTTGGCATGATACACATGAATGCTAAGATGATACAGGTGAATAAAGGTTTCATGGTGTTTATACCTTTTGTTCAGCAATGCTTCCTTCAACCAGCTTTACTTTATACCCACACTTCACATCTGATAGAGCTACAATGAATAAATAGAAACTGCATGAAATATATGAATGTGGTATAACTATTAAAACATGGGACTTCGTTATTGCCTTGGGTCCATGGTGCAAAACAGTTGTAGCACTAATACTGCAGTACAAACACTCATAGCTTGTCTTGCCACGTAGTCAAACCAGAGAAAAAATAGGCCTCGGATAATGATGCCATTCACTATTTCAACTTTTTACATATTATCATATGCAGTTGGTTATTATATTTCAAGTTGACATACCAGAAACTCTTCTCTGTGTTCTGGGGGATGATTGTTGCATCTGAGCACCTGCCCCGCCTTGTAAACGTGGTTGTATGTGAACATTTGATGCCCCTAAGACATCTTGCAGCGATTTTACAAAGCTGTCCACAGTTTTGCCATTCACTGTACACAAATAAACGTCCTTGATTGTACTGGATTTATGTTTCACAAAGTAGTCTCTTACTGCAGTAGTTATAACCCTTGTAGCAGCATCTTTGGGATATCCAAAGATTCCAGCACTCAAAGCAGGTATTGCAATAGAGCTCCCCTGTCTACTGTCTGTAAGCTCCAGACTCCGGGTGACAGCTTCTTTCAATTTTTCCTTTTCTCTCTTCTTTCCTCCTTCCCATCTTGGACCCACTGCATGCACAATGAAATCACAGCTACCTTTCAGTCTTCCTGGCTTCGACAACACAGCATCTCCATCCAGAACTGCACCATACGAATTCACGTGTCCGTTACACTCATCTTGCACGTCTTTTCCAGCTGAAATATGTTCAAAAATATATTTTCTTCTCTACCAATTATGGATTCTGATGGTAAATCGCACTTGGCATATTAAAACGTTTGTATAACACTTCATTAACTGTAAACATAATCCGTGAAAATATCCAGTTTTAATGTGGAAACATTTTGGATATATATATAATATATATTTATTACTTTAAAAAAAAAAAGTATTACCTTTGTCAACGATGACTTTGGCAAGACCTGCACAGTGATCTAATCTCTCATTAGCAGCATTGACAATGGCACTGACTTTCATGGTCGTAATGTCTCCTTCTCTTACATAGATCTTCCTTCCACCTGCTATGTTTGAGACAGCCACTATGGTGGATACTGGCTCTTGAGTGGCTGCATTACCTTGTCCTTCGTGTTTGTTTTCATCCTCCCCCTTCTCTTCATTAACAACCTCTATGATACATCTTTCAACCTTTTCTACATGAGAAATAATGTGTCCTCCTTGTCCTGTTTTGAGCATTCTGGCCATGCCAGCCTTCTGTAACAGTTCCTTGTGGCTCATTACTTTGTCGGCCAGGAAGGTCAGTTCCTTTCGGCATTTGTCGATTCCTTCTTTTGAGCCATTAATAGTGAACTCGGTTCCATTCTCCTGGTATATAATCCGGACATGATAGTCCTTCAAATCTTTAGCAATTGTTGCAACTTCTTCTTTGTAGTGGGCCAGAAGGAATCTGTGCTGCCCTTTAGTAAACGAGAGACGTGTTTCATCTACGGTGTTGGAGGACAAAAACATTGTGACTTCAGCATAAACACATTCCACATCATCCTTTAACCCCACAATGAGTAGATAATTCTTGTCTTGGAGATTATGAATACTGAAGGTGTCAGGCAAATGATAAATCAATGATTTCCGTAGGCTTTCCCACGATTCTGATTGGATTAGTAACTGCATTTTTCCTTCAAGGGGAACAACTCTTTCCACCACAGTATTAAGTATCATTTCACCGACTTGTCCAACTTTTTCTGGAGTTGTTGAAATTACTTCTAGTGATGACTCTTTTGCATGCCATGATGCTACAATGCCAATTTTCTTCAGTTCGTTCCTCAGATCATCCTCAACTGCCTTCTTCTGAAGCTCAGTTAGTTGCTGTTTGGAAACATGTTCTATCTCTGAAGTTTGCGTTCCATTCACCAGTTCATACATTTTAATCGTTGCTTCTTTCACAGAGGTTTCTGGACCAGACAGATGGACACCATTTGCATCAAATCTCGCACTCACTCCAGGGAATTGTTTTATCATCTCCTTAAAACCGCACTCTCGAAGAAATTTGGCTTTAAGAGGTACTAAAGGTTTCACAATTTCGGGTTTTGGGGGGCCTTTTGAAGATATTCCATGCGCAATATGTTTCTCAACTTCTGCCTTGACTTCATTAGCTTTCGTAGGAATGCCGACAATTGCTACGACCTCCTTGTCAGTGTACATCCTAACCTCTGTTTCATCAACATTGACCTGCATTAACATTGTATCAATGTTGCCCTTTAATTCCATGGGAATCTGAACCAAAACATGAAGAACAAATTCACTGATGACCGACCTAGCTGAACTCTTGTAATCCATTCCATCAGCAGTTGTAGTTCCACACTCGCTCCCGACTTGACGAAATACGAACAACTGGTTGGACTCATTCAACTTTAATGACAATCCGTAACCACCTAGTTTTTCTTGAATGTTTCTGAGTACTTTGGGTGACTTCTTCAGAAACCGTGGTACAAGTTGGTCAATACTTTCAAGGGGTATGGCGCCTGACATCTGAGCTGGTGTTGTGTCAGTGGACTCAGGTGACTGCCATCCGACACATTTGTGATGGAGGTAGACTTTTATATTTGCTTCTCCAAGTGTATGCACTCTCTCGCTGATCTGCTCAACAACTGAGAAAAAAACAGGCAAACATTCAATATATCATTATGTTTCTTTCATGCCTTGTTCTATATGTATGCATGTAGTATCAATATTATTGAAGCCATCACTATGCAATCCATGGCAAGCATTATTTCTCATATCAGTAATTTATACTGTAAATTCACGGCTCCGGATCTTAAGCGGACCATGTACTATAGCCCTTTGTTCTTCCTCACCTTTGTGGTCAGCGAGATGGACAAGGTAGCATCCACGTTGATCTAATCCTTCCACTTTGACTACCTCTGAACTCGTATCATTTCCACATTTCCGGGTTTCAAAGTAATCTGAAATTGTCTCCGAGGCAACTGACAATGGGACGCCCTCAACCCTCAGTACTCTGGTGGCAGGTACCTTAAACGCTGTCACCGCTTTCGTTTTGAAGGGTTTGTTGTTACAAGCTGACTGGAGTTTGGATATATCTGAATGAAGTATGATATATAATTTGTTTGTTGTTTGTTTGTTGTTTAACGCAGTTCTCAGCAATATTATTAGCTAAATGACGGCGCTCTGTACCAGTCTGGACCAGACAATCCAGTGATTGATATCATGAGAATCTATCCATGCAATTGGGATACAATGACATGTATCAACCAAGTCAGCGAGCCTGACCACAATAACCCATTAGTCTCCTCTTACGACAAGCATAGTCGCCTTATACCGCAAGCATGGGTTGCTGAAGACCGGCTCTTCACGGGAGGTATGTGCAAGTACAAAGATAAAAGTCAAACATAGCCGTACTTTATCCTCAAAGGTCGACAAAGTGACCATTTTATTTGATTATTATGAATTCTTCAAGTGATTTATTTGGCAAATTCTAAAATATAACTTTTTATGAAGAATACGATGAACACAGATAAAACATAACCTATTTTACACATAATGTATTTAATAAATTAAAAAATAATAATGGACAGCTCTTTGTTTTCATGAGAATTTTTAGATTAGATTTTTAGGGAAATTACTAGAAGGCTGCTTGGAATATGATAATTACACACTATCCAGGTGATATCCTTTTATAATTCCAAATATTTGAGTTAAAATTGAGATTTGATTATGAGGTTATTTTATGTATTACAAACAAAAGCAAAAATACAGGCAGAAGGAAACATCTTTATCTTTTTAATAATTATAGTATTACTTGCTAATAATATGTCGAAATCAAGATATGTACCACGGGAGCCAATCGTATTAACATAAACTTCGATATTTCTCCTTACCAATAGGGTCGCTGAAAGTTACCAACAGCACACCATCTTTGGCTCCTTTGTTGACTCCCTTCACATCAGCATTGGCCCTTGCTTGAAGATAGATAGAAAGGTCCTCTGAGTCCTTATCGAGGTGTGCACCTGGATACTTCAAAAGCACTTTGTCCACGTAGACTGGCATTGGTGTATGAGGTCTTATTTCCGCTTCTTCCTTTGCTATGGTTACTCTTCCCTTCTCGACGAGTCTCTGTGCCACTGTAAATATTTAAAAAACAATATGTTGTATCTATTACTGAACTCTCAAGATATATACATATAACCCTGCTATAATTACACATATATATATAAAACGCTGAACCTATTCATAAGTTTAAGTGTTTATTGAATGAGGAAACAAAAAGCTTAATTTACTCCTCGGTTCTTGTAGATTTTATGCCCCTTTCAGCTCATCTGACCAATGGGTGAGTCGCCTTTAAGAATACGCAATACGCTTTCTGCATTTTGCAATAAAATTCACTCTTTTAGTGAGTGAGTTAAAATTTTACATCTCATCGGCAGTCACATCATTTAAAGGAGGGTTGCAAATGTTATGCCTGAAACAGACCAATAATATTTTATAATTTTAAAAAAGTGATCGAGGTTAGTTGTATTAAATAAGTAATTAACTAACTATTTGTAATTTACTGAATTATCAAGGTGTGTACAAATAACCTTTCAAATATTTACATCATTTCTTCTGTTTCCCATTTCGGAAGAAATATGTGAAGTATGTCTACAATCTTCCCCGATAATCCAGTGTATCATATCCCTATTCTATTATCATAAATAGTTTGACTTAATCACTACAAAACCTGAAGTGACGTGACCGTCTCCGTCACACTTATTGGTATAATTCTCACAATATATTTCTCTCGCACATGAGTATAATTTGAAACGTCGTATATTTTTAGTGTGCATTTTCCTACTGGTCTCAAAACGAATGTATGGTGACGAATACAAATTTGGTATTTACATTTAATACTAATTAATATACTGAATATATCACACAGAATGGTCCAAAATATACTGAATTCGGAAAGAGTGAGCTTTGTTTAAGGCCACTTTTAATTGGCGCTGACAAACCTAGAAACATAAATCTCTGATTCGAACCCACGATAAGTTTGTGGGACGCCTAAGGGACGCAACTCTCCTTTTTATAAAATACATGAATTGATTTCATTACATTAAACGTACCAAACCTAGAAAACGTACCTGCAGGATCTTTGAATGTAATGAGAAGCCTGTTATTTTCCTCGTCATTTTCGAAGTTTTCTACGTCTCCTCCTCCTCGTCTTTCGTTTTCAAAATAATACTTGAACTTGTCCAAACTTCCTGATGCAAAGTCACATCCATGAACTTCAATCGTTCTCCTGGCAAAAACCAGTTCGTCTGCATCGGGATACTTTAAGTGGTGAACTGGAATTGTTTAAACGTTTGTTAATCTTTAACACAATCAAGGAAGATGAATTTGCTTGACTTTTTATAAACTCAGAAATTCTGTCAAAAGATTTGATTTTTCAACTTTGTACACCACAATCCCACATGACAAACTTAGGGAAAAACATAATTCCAAAATCCATGGGTTTTTTTTGTTACAAAACGTAGTGATCATTGACACAGTTATATAGCTATCGTCAGAGGTTCGGGTCAGTTTGTCAACAACGAAAACATCTGAGGTTTATTGGGAAAACAATATGTGAAATGTTTGACTTCTTCGTTGATAACGTATATGTAGAATTTGGGGGTAAGGCATTTAGGGAAGAGGTATGCATCCACATGGTTACCAATTATGATCCCTTTCTTGCTGATCTGTTTCTGTGCATTTGAATAAGAATTTCTACTCGGATTGGCAAAGTCAAAACAAGGACATTTGGCCAAGAAGTCTAACTTAAGATTAGCCAATTTCCTTCCACTGATTTACCAACCTGAACTGATATAAACACCAGTGAGACCACTTCATCTGTTTCATATTTTGATCTATTCTCCACAAGACTGTATCACAAGAGGGATGACGTCATCTTTACCTATTTGTGGAGCAATATTCCTCCAGCCGACATTTCACAACTTTTGAGAGACAATCGAGCATGCTCTTTCGTCTAAGATTTCAAAGAGCATCATGCGACTCTTGCTAAGAAGTTTGATCAAGGTTACAACATTCAAGGCCTCAGAAAAGTTTTTTTTAAAAGGTTTTATGACATTTCCAAATTTGACGCATCAGTAACAAGAATGGTGTCAGATGCATTTCCCTATTTTTACTTACAACATATGTTGCCGAGTTTGTTTTTAGGTGACCAATTGACTTGCCTTTGCATGCGTTTGTGATGGTTGCAACCGGTAGGGCAGTATCCGCTCGCCTTTTCGCGAACCTGGTCTCATCACTATTCGATTGTGATTCATAAACACATGCTCGAGATATAGTCGGAATCGTACAATCGATTTTAATGAACATGGAAAGGGTTTACTATTCAAAGGAATAGCTTTTCACTATAGTTTGGGTTTGTTTGTTTGTTTTCTTTATTTAGTGGAAATGTATGCAATCCCTTACATACCTGACATACCCACGTGGTTAAGGGTTATTGGGCCTTATCTTAGCAACTTCTTTCAATAGTGACTGTGACGGTGGGGTGGGGTTTGTGCACTAGAAAAGAAGAAGGGTGTGGAAGAGGAGATAGGAGAGCAATATCTAAGTCAAGAATTGGTCATTATTCGTTTAGCTCAACACTGTCTGTGGTATCCTGATATGTTTCTAGGTTGTGATAATGTTTTATGAAATATAATACTTATAATAATCTTATTAACGACAAGTGTTTATGTTTTCAAAGTATTAGAACGAGCATAGTTCATCTGAACTTTTTCCAGTATTAAGAAAAAAACTGTCTGGTTGTCATAATTCTATGCATAAGTTTGTGTTGTAAGTTTCTCGATCCATTACCGAATCCATATCTGAATCATATGAAAGCAGTTTGACATATACTCTTCGGGTAATAAAGTCTCAGTTATCTTCGACTTCCACTGTGCACAAAGAATATCAAATGGGTTGCTTGTACTTGCCTTAATAATTTACATATAAATTTGCAATAGTTAGACTCAAGCATATTTTCTCTCTCTACAAACACACACTGTGCAAGTGTTATCCAATACTGAGGGATAAGGTTTACTAGTTTAAAATAGTGACAATGTGCTCCTTTTAATTCTAATAATATTGTTAGGTTTGCAAATGATTTCAAGTGCCCAGTATCTGTGAAAATATCTCTCAAATATATCTAACACCACTTCCAAACCACAAAAACATTTTTATGACGCCTAGAATTTTAAATGGTTCTTTTGACTGGTGCAATGGTATATTGGGACATAACTGTTCATTTGAATTCTTCCTTGAACCATTCCAAGTAGCCATATTTTGGTCACAATTGATTCTTAAACACAAAGCTATAGCAAATGTTCTTAGTATACTTATCAATTCTGAGAGGTTTTCTCCTGATCCCTTTAAAGTAAAGTTGGCATCATCTGCATATTGGAATATTAACGTATTCCATTCGTTTGATATCAATACCTTTTATAGATTGCTACTTTTGATTGAGCTTGAAAGTAGTTCAGCACATATAGTAAATATATAAGGGGACAATGGATCACCCTGCCTTAAGCCTAAGCCAAGATTACTGTTGCACTGAAGCTACTTTTCTGGAAACGTTTGACCCAATATCGCAAAATGGGACCAACGTTAAAAGCCTCAAAAGCTTTATCTATGAATCTCCACTCAACACTATCACTAAAAACATTTAAAACATCTGCAGTAACGAGTAAGCCTGGTATTTCAGGTATTTTACAATATTTCAAAATGTTGTATAATATTCGTTTAGTATCTCAAATACAACGACCCTTAAGAAGACCCTATTGTGTCTCACTAATTATATCTGTGAGGGCATGTTTCATCCCATGGGCTATTGTTCCAGATGCTACTTTATAGTCCATGTTGAATAAACTCACTTGACGTCAATTTTTCAAGAAACGTCGATCTCGACCTTATTTAGGGGTGCAGGTAATGATGCCTTGTCATTGTATTTATAAGCATGTACATATACATGTGTTATGATAGCAACGTTGTATTTATATCCTTTTACAAAGTCTCATTTGTTGGGACAAGGAGTATGACATATATATGTAATTTAGATTAATGGGTAGGAATTTATTTACAATCACATATGGGGACTTTTCTGATAAACATTGCAATTCATTAGACATTTAAAAAAGTGTCTTCACAAGTACGAGTTTTGTGGTAACAAATTTTACTGCATCACTTACCATCAAAATAAATCATGTGTTTGTCTGACATACATGGTGTTCTAGATCTTTTAGAAATATATCATCAAGGATGATAGGTATACAGCTGCAGATGATGCGTGTGTTTTACTGGCACGGAATAGGTAAACGTAATTACCAATTGTCTAAGTGGCACGGATACAAATATATACGTCGGCGATATAACAACAATTTGTCATTCTGATTGTTTTCTTCTTCTGGGTTTCGCTTTTTAAGGTCTGCGGATCCGTGAACTATGCAAAACTAAGTGTAAGTGCTTATTGGATTGTTCTCACCTGTACGTTGCGTTTGCAGTTCAGGTGAGTCGTACATTTCTTGAGGACGTGGCATAGGGGCCCAACTGACTGGGTGGTCGACGGTGATGGACGATAATGGCTGTGTGTACCGAGTAGGTTGAGGGAAACCACTTCCGATGTTTGGCTGATTTTGAAAAAGAGGAACTGGTGCAGGTGGTTGTCCTGGGAACCTAGGAATCGGACCATGTGGATACTGGTAATAAGGTGGCCAGTAGTAACCCTGGTCTGGATTCACAGGATAATGATTCCATGACGGTGGCCATGGTACTCCTTGAAACGCAGGTGACTCAGCATAAAAAGGCATCCCTGGCGGGTGCGTGGGACGATAACCAGGATGAAGTGGCTGCCTTGGTGCAAAATCGTCTGAAAGGTGTTCACTTCCGCTTGTGTTTGGGTAGACCCTGTTCAATGACACGAATCCTCCAGTAATACCTCCCCTCCCACCAGCCTCCGGGTTATCTATATTGTAGTTCATTGACTTAAAACCTGACATGGGCGGTTCTTCTAGTATATCCTGACCATGTTGATAACCTCCTGGAGATGATCCGAAAGCATTGTTTGACCTCAAAGAACGCATCGTCCCCTGTAATATTGTAATGTGAAAAATAATAGGTGAAGCAAGGTTTCAGATTTTTGTAATCTCTAAAGCCCTTAAACTTAATGTCGGCGGTTTTTTAAAATGCTATATTATGTTACATATAATAAATACATTACTATTCAAATATTTTCTGCATAAGTACAGATAACAAATGTATTAACAAATATGAAAGCAGCTTACTGAAAGTCCATACATTTCTAAATCGGCAAGAATCAATGTACTTTTGTGGAATATTGTTGCAATACACAACAGTTAAACGTACTTTACTCAATGTTACTATGACCCTATATACCCGCTTAGAAGAGTATTTCAAACTGTTTCACAAAGAAAAATCCTCAAGAAATATCATCATAGCGAGAAACACACATGCCAAAGTTCAGGTTCCCCCACTCTGGAAAGTTCATGGAAGATTGTCATATATAACTTTGGAGAGACCATAAGAGCAATATAGTACATTCTGAACAGAAATGATAGTAGTCATAAATAGAGGGGTTTTGTGGACTGTCATGTGGTCATTTTGAAAATTAAATTCGAACCTCTTGAAGACAATTAGGTGTCATCATTGTTGGGAAAAAGTATGTGAAATTTCAGCTTTATTCGTCCAGCTGTGAGGTGATGTTTGCAGTGTGAAGAAAATGCATTTTGGAAGGATTCGGGTAAAGGCGAGAAAACCCTTTCCATACTTATAAGAAATCTCCTCTGAATGCAGTTGATTGTTCGATTCTGACTGTATTATCAGCATGTGTTTATTCCAGGTGTTCGCGAAAAGTTAAGCGTATCCTGCCTCACCGGTGGCACCCGTCACAAACACATGCAAATGCAAGTCAATTCTTCACCTGACAAACAGGAAATTCTCACTGATGCGTAAAATTTGGAAATGTGTTCCACATGTCTTCCATAAAACGTTTTCAAAGCTTTGATGAAACAACTTTTGAAGCATGGTCAAAGAGCAAAGGTCAAATAAAGGTTCAAATTTAACCCTATTACTAACTGTCCACTTACCAAATATTATTAAATTTTAAATATAAAAAGGTTAAAATTTAGATTATTGCAAAATCCAGAATATGTGTGTGCTAAATTTCATTACATGGCCCCTCTATCAGGCCAGGTGAGTAAAACAAAAGACAAACCAGAAGGAAATAAAGCGACAAATCCCTTTCCATATCTGACTATATCATGAGCATATGTTAACTGAACGCTAACTGAACCACACATCACATGATATAAGACATCGTTTCATGGGAAATATTCAATCTGACCGAGTGTCTGTGCTGTATATACTATGAACATGGATTAGAGAATATAATGACCTTACATCGAACCTGATAGGGAAATTGTTTAAGTATTTCACATACCTCAGGTTTCGAAGCAGGTGTCCTCCATTCTTGCGGCACATCTTCAGCTCCACAAGGTGATATAATCAGCTGACATCCTTGGTAATTTGGAAACACCTTGCCCTTGATTGCATTTGCATCTGCAATGGTTCATGGATTGAAACATAAAACTTCTTTACATAGATTGATCTCATTTATTGTTGCCAATTTATGAATGTTTGTGTTGATAAGTGTAAACATCAATGTCTTAAGGCCTTAAAGCCATTGTTCCCAAGGCATAGCGCATCTAGGGATCAACAATCTGTCCAGGTTGCCAAAAGTACCTAAGGCCTGTTCTTACGACAGTCGTGTCGCCAAGGTTACTTTGTGGAACAAGGTCTGGATGGTCGTGATGGGTTAAGGGTTAAAATGTCAGAATGCCCGGGATGTCCACCCTGCCATGTGTTGCCCAAAGTGATAAACATCTACCACTTGTGACACTCTGTGTGTGTTTGACTCGTGTTTTGTGTGTTATAGTGCGCAAACTTGCTTAATAATTCATATCAAAATATACAAATAATTCCTCCAACGCCATGATCTAATACAAGATAAATGTAACCCAACTCACTCATTCGCTTTGTCGTGTACTATGTTCCAAAAGAAATGCACATCTCAACTTCGAACCTCATGCAAGTTATTTTTTTGCAAACATAAATACACATAGTAATGGAACGACGTGTGTCCAAAAATGTTCCATTCATCGTTTTGGGATTCGATCACTGAACAGAAACTGTTCATATCTATGAGACAAACTGGCCGGAACGTGTCCTTCATGGCACATTACAAGCACATGGACTGTTGGGTCTCCAAGGTAATGATACAACAAACGTTCATCAGTTGTATGTGTGACACCGAATTCACCATGTCCAGATTGGCTCAAACGAGTGTATATCTAGCCTTGGGCATGACTGAAACTGGTATCATGGCGCAAGGAGTGAAACATATTACGATCTATCGCATGAAACATATTCAAGTAGTGTATGACATAACATCAAGTGCGTGTAACAACAGGTGTTTAGAGACTTTCGGGGATTATTTCAGATAAAACTACACTATGAAACATGATCATCGTTTATTGCCGTATGCACAAATATCATTTTCATGAATCCATTGACGAGTTTTGATTTGGTTCCAAGCATGAATTCAGAAGTTAATACCCCAGTAATCACTCGATAATGACATATTTCCACTGAATTCCACTCCTTCACCTTGCCATGTCCCAAGTGCTAGTAGCACCTACTCACAGTATGCCCTTTGGGGGCACGGGGGGCTCAGTCGCCTGAGGCGCCGCAATTCGTTGGGAGTTATGTCCCTTTGGCAAGCCAGATACCTATGACTGTGGGTTCGAATCCCGGTTCGCCCCTATTATGTGTCTAGGTCTTTAAGCAACATACACGTACTCGTGTTTTTCACCAAAGTGGTTTTCCTCCCACAAGCTGAACACGTGTTCAAAGCGGTGTTTAACTCAACTCACTCACTCACTCACTGGTATCCCTTTTAATAGGAGGGCAGTAACATCGATTAGTGTAAGGCCCGCACCGTGTAACTTGACTTTTGTGTAGGACATATATGTCCCTCCGGCACAGCACCTGTGTTTTGTGTGGGGACATATATAGAGGATATTATATGAGTGTTCATGTCATACTATGTCTACGACATATGTCTAAATTCCGGTATTTCCCGAGCGAGAGCGAATATGAACACGAATATAATGTTCTTTTTATTACCGAAGAAGATGTCTACATACAGAGACGAATTTTAGTGTTTACCTATTAACCTTTTTCACACTTTCGCCATCTTGGATCGAAAACGAGGCTTGGAGAGCATTCGGTGCTTCCGTGTCAAGGAATCAGTATCGAAATGGCTTCCACCAATTTGAGCGCGAAGACTGTGTGGACCAAAAATTTAAACTGTGTCCCGGTCATAAGACCCGGTTTTGTTAAAACTTGGGTAAACCAAATTGCAAAAGTCCCCAGAAAAGTATTAAAAAGAGCCTATGGCAATTTTTGCGAGGGATACATATTCGATGTTGAAGGTAGGGGCTTGGTTGTGTCGGCAACCCGGAAGTGAATTTTCCGTTAAATATTATCTTATCAAAGTCCTCCAAAAACACACATCTTGCGGTTTTTATAATACATGTGACACCTAGTATTGTTGATGTGATAATCATTACATCACATTGTTTAGTAAACAATAAACAACACTTTAATTTGGCTGTGAAGTTGTTTCGATTTGTTTTCTTATTGATATGAGTCCAAATAAGAACAGCTTTGGAAATGAATAATCGGATTTTTTTCATTGTTTACATTCCACCAGAAGTATAAATATTTTCCAAAACAAAAAAACGTGTTAGCTTCCTACTGTAGTAGCAATGAAAAATCATAAAAAAAATATTGGGTGTTGTTTTTAACATGAAATGAGTAATATAACAGTATGTGTAAAACTGAAATTTAAAGATAAAAAAATATATATTGCTGCGTTGATCACTGTATGATTTGTATGAATTTCTCATATGTCACATAACTATTGTTAGGCTGAAGCAGATACCATATTTTATCAAAACATAAATTTCTACTCACATTTGTTGTAACCTCAAAGAAAACGTGTTGAACTTGTGAAAAAGTCCCTTTATCATCATAAGCCTAAGAACCTGCAGCAACTCACCTTAAGTAAAGATTCGTTTCACAGTTTTCCATCAATTTTGTTTTTCACTGTACATAGTGTACCATTCATGTTCAGTGTTAAACATTACCAGGGAGCTCAGATAATGTTCTATTGCCCTCCACATTTGAGTAATATGACTGTGTCCATATGATCTGCTGTGTGACCAATAAACATTCACATAAATCCAAAGAAGTAAATGTGTAATAACTCACCATTTTATGGTAACATGAGTCAGACTAAAAGTAAACACATGCAGGCAAATTAAATACAACAAAGAATGATATAAACTGTATACAAGGGTTTATTTTACAGACCTGTTCTAAATCAATTATATACATTGATATTATCATGATTATAACAGGCAGGATATTCAATTACTTTTATGATTATAGTATCTCCTCAACCTGATGGAGCAGTTTGCAGAGCTCGAAACTTCAAGTCAATAAAAAAGAATGAAACCCCTTATCACATGAAGGTGAATAAAACCAAAAGGAAATTGTGTTTTTGTACTCAATAAATTGTTTCATATTTTCTCGTTAAGATACATTTAAAACAATTGTGGCTGTGAAAATAAAGTACTTTTTGATGGAAAGATAATTAAAATTCTCATTTATTGAAAACCCACACCTTGAATCAATAGTCTGAAGAACAATCAATTTAGTGAAGAAACCTTTAGTATGCTCAAGGCTTAGAAAAGATAACTGGGTTCCCTGCATAATTATTTTCAAGTCATGGTTATAATTGGACAAGGCCAATTAATCCTCATAAGAAAAAAGTGCTATTACACTGAGCAGATATTACCACATAAAACAATAATAACAATAGACTACCAGTGATATTTTTCAGATCTGGATCAATACAACCGATTCAACTCTCATTGAGCAGACTTCATGTAATTGTGAATCTGGCCAGGGCAAATGTAATCACGTGATTGGTTTACTGTATTTGTTACAACACTATCAATCCCTTGACTTAAAAACAGTGCCACCTGCATTGTCAAAAACATCGCTGCCACAGACATGGCACGTTCCACAAAGAAGTAAAGGCCTTTTTGCCAAAAAGGTAGACCAAATCACTGTTCAAAAAATAAAAACACCTGCCAGTGGATCTGTTACATCTAAGTCATCAACAGATACTACCTCTTCTACTGCCCCTACTTCATCTGCTGCCTCTACTACATCTGCTGCCTCAACTACATCTGCTGCCTCTACTAACACTTCCTCTGCTTCTCCTACACTTACTCACTCATCATCTTCCAATGCGAAACCTGTCCCTTTAAAAAAGAGATGCCTTGATGGTTTGAGGTCTACTCTATACAATCCCTTGCCCAAAGACATCAACCATAATGAATTTTCTTCCACTCTAAAAAACATTTGTGGACAAAATCCTAAGGCTAATCAGTTCTCATCAATCATTCCGAATATGAATGATATAGTTCTTGTACTTTCTGCGTTTGGTCAAGTTCCCAAAGGTTCAACCATTTCACTTCAACAGCCTCATATATCAAACATAAACAAAAGTCATATCATAAACCATTCACACCCCTTTCCCCCACCTTTTGTAACGCCTGATATTAAAAGCAAACTAAATGGCCCACTTACATCAAACCAACAAACATTTCTCGATGGACTGTCAGTTTCATCAACACAGAGTGCTTTATACGAGCAGGAAACACAAGATCAATGTGAGCAAAAGAAGTGGTTGGAACTTAAGGCACATCGCCTATCTTCAAGTAACTTTAAATTTGTGCATACCAGACAAGATAATTTTGAACATTTGTGTGACTCTCTACTGAAATCCAAAAGACAAACTGAGGCTATGAAGTATGGCATGGAGAATGAGGACTCTGCTGCTGAGGCATATTCAAGGCTGCAGAAGCTTAATGTCCATGCTTGTGGAATTGTCATTAACCATACATGTCCATATCTAGCCACTTCACCAGACAGGCGGGTATATGACCCGTCTGAGAGTGACCCTTGGGGTTTGCTAGAAATCAAATGTTCCACTGCACAATCCATATCAAATATCAACTACCTTAAGTTAACATCTCAAGGTACATACAAGCTCAAAGAAACATTCCAGCATTATCATCAAGTAATGGGGCAAATGTTACTCTCTGGGGCCAGGTAGGTCGATTTCTTTGTTTGGTGCAAAGATGATTACCACTTGGAGAGAATATATTTCAATGAAGAATTTTGCAATGAAATGAAAACCAGGTTGGATCTGTTTTACTTCAACTATTTCATAAATTACATCCTTGGTAAAATCTAAACAATATTATCAGTAAGGGGCAAGTTGACTGATGTAATGAATGGAAAGTAATTTGACAAGTAGCTTGTACGGTTGGAAACCAGACAGACTACTGACATATCAACCCGTAAATGTCTATTTTTATGGGTAATGAAGTTTTACATTAGTAATCGGGTAATGATGTGATTCATACATCAGCCAAGTGACATTGTAATTCATGTGTTTCATGAAGGATGAATTTCTTTACTTCTCTGACATGAGACATTGACAATTGATGTGTTAGACATGTAACCATGGTAAGATATGTACACACATATTCATGAATGATCAAATTGTTATGGTATTGACATACTTCAGTTTTGAAAACTTTAGTTGCACTGTTTCAGCATGAATGTATTAGTAATACAAGGAAATAAAGATGTTTCCACTCTCCCATTACCATGCCATTCAACTATGACACAAGAACTTGCAAAACTGATTGCATAATATACCATATTGAAGTAATGTACCAGTAAACAATTATCACATTTCTGTTTAATGAGTATTTATCAAGATGACACACCATGATGACATGGTTCAAGTAATGGTCCAAAGTCATTAGCCATGTTATGTTTCATAAGTTTTCTCTTTGCATCACCCCTGAAATTTGATAATAGACAGCAAACAGTCCAAATTTGATTTACAGATCCTACAATGGTTAATGGAATTATGCCATCAAAAATATGGTATTCCTTCACTCTTCTGATAGCTCTCTCCACATGTATACGTAGTCTGGATATTTCCTGTGTGTTTTCTACATCCTTTCTAGTAAACTGATAATCATTTGATTTTGAGAGGAAGGGGGGGATAATCAAGTGAGCACCAGTAGAGTGAAGAAGATCATCAATCAAAAACCCTTTGTCAGCCATAACTCCATCGCCTACCTCTAACAATGACAAGAGACCACTCTGTTTGGTTATTTCCTTATCAGAAATACATCCTTCATAAAGGGAACTGATAAAAGTAATTGGCCCATGGGGAGCAATACCAATCAATGCTTTCATAGTGGTGTGGGTTTTATAATGCGAAAACATTTCTGAATTGACAACCCTAGAGGTTGGCGTTTGAAATTTCAATTCAGTACAGTCAACAATAACCCGTGTTGCAGGATAAGAACATTTAAATTCTGGTGGCATTCTTTCATTTATCATTTCTCTAGAGGGCCAAATGCATACACATCCAAGCAAAAAATACAGATAATTGGCCCATGTAATAGTTATTCTACAAATAGTTGAAATAATGACATTAAACAGATGTGCCAAGTGTGTTTCAGGGTAACCTTGTCTTACTCTAATGAGAAACACAAATAATTGGTCAAACAATGACAAAGAACATGGAAATCCACAGTGTAGTTTGTCAACATCAGTGCCTCTCTGAAACTGTGTCCAGGTTTGCATCTTTGAAGCAGTAGGATAGAGCCACTGAAAAAAATGATCTAGCTCATTGAAATCAGCAAAACCTGTATAAAAATTGATGTCCATAGGATTGGTAGCGAAACGCCTTATAGAAAATAATTTTGCAGACTGAACATTTACACAATTTTGTAAGCGTTTTATCTCTGCATGTGCAGAAGCTAATTTTTCTTCAGTTGTGGCATGTTGTTTCTCATGGTAATCATGATCTGCTGTTAGGTGGGGAGTAGACGTTTGGGTCGGGTCACTGGCCGTAGTCGAAGCCAGATCTGCAGTGTCAGCTGGTGTAGGCATTGTTGGTACACAGTCCATGCTATCCAACCTGAAAAGTGTAAGTCACGGAACATTTCATATTCCCTCGTAAATAAGCATATCCTAGAATAGTAATTTTGGTACCATAAATTATATCATCAGGGATGTGTGCAGGTTTTCCCTCAAAAAGAGGAAAACTTTTGGGGGGTTCACATAAATATTTTATACTTTTGATTGCATTTTAAGCAATTGGGTGCATTTTGGACAACACTCACACAAAGAAATGTAATAAGTCAATGACAATAGTCAAGTCAAATAAACAAAGATGGCGAATGCAGTAAAATTTCGAAGTTAAATCAGTACTTTTAAAAAATTGGACATAGCTTCCGCGCACCTGTCTGGGAGCAATACTGCCATTATTATAATAATAATATATTTACACATTAATATAATCATAATACATTTACAGTGTCACACACTGTACAGTACATGCACTGGAATAGAAATGAATGATTAAATAAAATATTAATGTCATGACAAATTATGATTACAACTATTTTAGTGAACTGTATATTATATGTAATAATTGATATGATAATAAGAGATAGTCAAATCAATACCTTCTGTCCTGGACCTTGTTGGTTGGTTTACTCTTGTTGGCACTGTTCCATCTAAAAATACATGGAACAGCTCCTGGAACAAGCCTCTTTTTGTGCCCTCCCAGACCTCTTTTAATTTCACATTGCTTGAAGTGGTTAGAGCATACAAAATAATATTGCGACCAATCTGAAACAAAAAAAATTAACATCAATAAACATATTTAACAATGTTATTAAGTTTCTATTATTCAAAATAGTGAAGCTGTAAAAAAACATATATGTATATAACCATTATTACAAAATCTATGGCCATAAAATGTTAAAAGTAGCATACATAAGGTAGAAGTTACCTGTATATTACCTTAATGTATGAACATTTTCAGTACAAGGATTGCTGAAAATAAACCTGACTTGCAGGATAGCAAAACGACCATAACCATAACATTTCATTAACCGGTAGTATTCTTTAATCAAAATAATATTTACATTTTTTTTCAGGCAGCCATAGAGACAGACATGCTTAGTCAATATAGATCTATAGGCCTAGGGCCCAAACCACAAATATTTATTACATAACTATTTCTCAAGTATAAGGTCGACTATTGTGTCAGTGTTACTTACTGGCATTGCATTCAAGTAAATCTTTCCCCAGATTATCAACATTTAAATAAATAATACATTTTTTACATAACATTAGGTTTGCCGTCTGTTTATGTCAACCCATTCACTGATCGTGTGATGAAGTTGTCAAGAGCTCATCGGTAACGAATGGCTCGAAATATTGAAGTAAATTTTGAAATTACATGTAAACAATTATTATTTTACCTAGAATAATGTAGAACACGATGTTCTTGTCATTTTTTAGTGAAATATAATTTTGTGGTATCATTGTTTGCAACAAATTAGTCGGACTTCTTGTGAACTGGCGATAAACATTTTTCGTGATTCGACACATGTACCACTACAGACAGTCTGCTTACCTGGAAGGAGTTGCTCACATCTCGACGTATGGCTGCGATCCATTTCCTCCTGAGATGCTTGTCTTTAGGAAAATTGGAAAAAGACAATTCCGAAGAAACTGCTTTTCTCCGATCGCTCGTACAGAATGGGACCGAACAGTGAGCCATTACTTCCTGTGTGTTGACACTACCTGCATAAGCAGCGATGCTCTCCAAGCCTCGCTTTCAAACCGGAAGTACCGAAGTGTGAAAAAGGTCAATAAGGACAGAAAGTCGCAACAGCAGCGGAACCACAATTTGTCGAATGACGACACAATTTTCAGCTATGACGTCGTTTATAGTGTCACGTCATTCCGACCTCACGTCACAATAACATTCGTGACCAAATCGTGTTATTCCGGGACAAACATGTTACGGAAAGGGGCGAGTAGTGAATAAGATTCGAATGACCATTCGTGACCAACTCGTGTTATTCCGGGACAAGCCGAATAGCGACTCGTGCCCCTCTCGTGGCCATTTTTGCGATCGGGTTCCGTCTTAGCGCAAACGGGCATACCTAAAACAGTTGTCAACTCGTTGTGTAATGGTTCACACATATTTCCCCGTATAGTATATATATTTCAGATGCAATTTAGTGCAGATCAGGACATGCGGAATTACACAGTATGTTTGAACACATTTAACTGTGTCTTTGGTTTCAAATATTATTTCTGAGGGATTCTTTGACAAAGAACTTGAAATCATACGCGCATTCTGATTGGTTTGTCGTATTTTCGCACATAACATTCATCGATAGGGGGACGAGTCTTTTTGTAGGTCACGGAAAGGGGCGAGTAGTGACGAATGTCGAATGACGTGACCAATGCCGTCCGGATGACGGAAACAGTATAGTGTTGTCTCGTGACGTGATATGACCCTAGGGCACTTATGACTTTTCTGAACTCAGATATGCGCCTGTGTTTTCTGTTTACGACACGAGTGTTCAAATTCCGGTATTTCCCACGCGATAGCGATGGTCAAGTGAGTTGCACCTCGTAGATGTAGCTGAGCAACGGAGATAAACGCCATGGCCGAACGATCGCTTCCAAAATTGAGAGATATATGACAATCGCTGTTGGGAGCAAAGGTACAGATAATAGACATGAAAATTGGGAGCATATGCGGGAAATCTCGCCGCTTACGACAAGCATAGTCACTTTTTACGGAAAGCATGGATATCATTCCACAGCCATGATGCAGGACTAATACTTCTGGCGTGTCATCTCGTGTTACAGAGGTTGTTATGGACGAGTCAACTCAATTACAAAATCATGACTTTTATTGCGCAGAAACGCCCACATAAACCACACAACAATTTTAACATTTGAATGTTAAGAGATACGTTCACACAACACTTTTATGTGAGAATGTTTAAAAACATTAGTTAACCTAACCGAATTTACCTTTTACAGTATTTCATCTCGGCAAATTAATTTAGTGCTAAAGTTTATTTATTTTATTAATATAGTCTGCGCCGCGTTTTGTTATATTTTCATATTTTATTTTCTCCCCCTCCCTCCCTCCAAATTCCATTCCAGTATTCAAATCCAAACTCCTTTCTAAAATCCATTCCTTACTTTACACTATGCCCGACTAACGGGATCGGGTGGTCAGGCTCGCTGACTTGGTTGATGCATGTCATTGATCCCAATTGCGTGGATAGATGCTCATGATATCAATCACTGGATTGTCTGGTCCATACTTGATTATTTACAGACCGCCGTCATATAGCTGGAATATATTGCTGAGTGCGGCGTTCAACAACAAACCAACCAACCAACTATGCCCGATACATAGTATGACGTGTGTAAAAAAGCGACGACCACAGTATGACCCCACTTGATATCTACCCAAGGAGTAAGCAGCTGATAAGCGAACATACTGTGGCGGGGAGAAAGCACAGGCGTCAACTATTACCTATGTTTGTGAAATTTGTCAAACCTGTTCGGTCAACGGTGTCTGGCTACATTTAACTAAGACCTACACGTAACAAATCTGAGAACAAATCTGACCTTCCACATTCTGGCACAGTACAACCCAGTCCGGTGTGTTGGTGGTAGACAGGGTGTGCAGTTGACAGATATTTTTAATCTGTATCCCAGCGAGATTGTTGAGAAGGCTATGTATATCCTGATTGGGGTTAGGGGTTGGAGGGAAGCCTCGTAAGATTACACAACGCTGATCAATCCTGTCGTCCATGATGTAAAGTATCTACTTTCTCTTTCGATTTGAAATATTTCCCCAAATCATACCCAAAAATACCTCATACAATTATCATGATAATAGTGTTATTTTATGACACTCGCCAAGACTTTTTATCGGACAGGTATTCTTTTTACCTGTTCATCGTGTTTACTTACGTATCGTTAATAACGAGTTTTATCATTTCATGTGTTTTTATCGTTTTCGTTTGCAATGTTGTAAGGGTCTTTTTCAATGAGGTAAGCGGCCCGAACAGACAGTGTTGTGCTTCCGGTTGTTTCCACACGTGTCGGAGGATACGGTTAGTCTGTAATTGTGCTGATACGGATGCATATACTGACAACTATAACATCCGCATTTGTACATTCATGATACTATCATTCGTGGACAAAAGTTGATATTGACATTGATTCATGACCACCTCTGCTCAAATATATGATTATTGAGAGGGGTAAACTAAATGTGCTACTTAATTTTAGGTTAGTCAGTGGCTTCACAGCTTATATTGGTATTGTGTCGTGCGTTACTTCCAAATATGGGCCTACATATTTAGAAAATAGCATTATTTTTCCAGCGAGGTTGGTGACATGTCGGCAGGAAAAAAATATTTCTGTCCCTTTATTTTCGCAGATAATACTAATAGAGCCATGTATATATTCCAATATTCCCACATCACGATCATGGCTAAGTGGTCTACTTTATAACTCAAATAACAGAAACTCCGAGAAAGTGGCCAAACAAGTAAACATGCAAGTGGTGGAGCTCTCTTTGGTCTAATTTTAGACATGACAAGCAATATCAAAGGAGTCTATGCCTGGTAAACTGCTCTCTTGCTCAAATTCTTAACCAGGTTTATTTTTATGACGTTGACAAACTGCTATCAGTATCTTGGCTACATCCGTAATGGTGGGTTAGTGCTAAACCATGTCGAAACGACACTACATTGGACAAAACGGCACCAACATAGGCAAAACAGGTTTTGCCACCTTGCGTTTCCAACAGCACTGTCTCTTCATGATATTGTTATAGTATTTTGATTCCATATCAATAAAACATTAGGTGGACTTTGTATGTCATATTATAGAATTTTATTCTAGTCACTGTTAACACGGATAATTAATGATGATACACAATAGTCTTGACTAGACAATCCAGTGATTGATATCTTGAGTATTGATCCATGCAATGGGGATACGATGACATGCATCAACCTAGTCAATGAGCCTGGCCACCCAATCCCGTCAGTTATCTCACGATCTATTACGACAAGTATAATCACCTCTTACAACAGGCATGGGTTGCTGAAGACCATGATCATAATGGTTTGTGGCTTCTAATATAGTCTCTATCAACAAACCAGTGTTTCTTTAACAATTTGTATATTCATGATTACTTAACATTGTCTGTGATGATTGCTGATCTTTTCAGACGATTCCTGATTGAGCTTGACCATGGTGTTCTTCTCCTGTAACGTGTGTAATGAAGCCCTGAAAAAGAACCAGGTGGAAAAACACTGCATGACAAAATGTCGGAACTGTCAGTCAGTGTGTTGTATTGATTGTGGCCAGGACTTCTGGTAAGTACAGGAATTTACATGGCAACACTTTGCCTGATTTTATCAAACATGAAATCTTGGCAATACACTCAATCTTTTTTAGATCAAAAACCTTTGGAATAATCTTTGGGGATCCTGGGATTGAAGTTGGGAGTTCCCTGTTTGTTCTGTGTGACAAACTGGACATAATCAGACTACCGCAACACATTGAAAGGATAAAGCAATGACTTGTTGGCTCCGACTCCTTAACCAGAGAGTGGGATATCCATGTTAAACTGTGGCATGGTATCTTGTGCTAGCACTATAAAACCAACATCAGTCCAAACTAGTACGTTTGTTTGTTGTTTGATGCCACACTCAGCTATATGACGGCTGTCTGTAAATAATCGAGTCTGGACCAGAGAATCCAGTAATCGACATCGTGGAGCATCAATCGATGCAATTGGGATACGATGACACGCATCAACCAAGACAGCTAGTCTGACCAACTGTTCCTGTTAGTCACCTTTTACGACAAGCATGATCAACTTTTACAGCAAGCATGGGTTGCTGAAGACCTATTTTACCCCGGATCTTCACGGGTCAGACAAGTACATTAAACACCAACTCACCATATCATCAGGTCTTTGAACGTGTTGAAAGGCATTTGGAAGTGATACACATAAGGAAGATTATTCACCTGATGAAGGGGTAAAGCATATACTCTGATACGTTGTGTTCCTCATAATAAAGATGTTGACATCCATATATTCTCTTCCTTGCCATATATTGTTATCAACATGGTGATTTCATACTGTATGTAGGGGGCGCGAGTAACCAAGTCGTCTAAGGCACCGTGATTTGCTGTGCAGAGTTGCGTCCCTTGGGCACGCCAGAAACCTATGGTTGATTGGATCAAATCCCGGTTTGCCCCGATTATGTTTCTAGGTTTGTCAGCACCATACCCGTGGTCGTGGGTTTCACCGAAGTGGTAAACGTCTGAGACCTTCATCACTTCGGGCTTTCCTCCCACATTAAGCTGACATGCCGCAATATAACTGGAATACTGTTAAAAGCGTTGTTAAACCCAATTCACTCACTCACTCATAGTGTATGTCTTGTTCAACCATTTGCTGACATGTTAAGACAAAACAGATCTGAAATAGACCATGCAGACAGACTTAAGCGTTAGGTTGTGTTCCCATCAGCATGATCAGAAGAGAAATGTTGGTTAACAACTAAATTAGTTTTCATGATTTACTCATACATGTCAGTGAATCTGGCCAATGGGACTCCCAACATGCCCAATGCACACAAGGTGATTCCATTGTCAGTGGTTATGCATATACAGTCAAGTCTCGTTAATCCGACATCGTTGGTTGCACATGATTGTGTCGGATTAACAAGTATGTCGGATTAACAAAATTAAGTGATTTGTGATCGAAAATCGGACGTCTATACGATAGATATAAACCCTGTGTACCTTGTAATAAAATCATTAAAAATGAAATATTTATATTGTTGTGTTGTTTATTCATGCATTCTTTAATTTATAATTAATGACATTGCAAAAATAATAATAATTTTCCCATTTATACATAACAATAGAGACATTACTCACTGAATTTATCACATCAACGACACACGTTTCCTCGTGTAAATGCAAGTGCTACTTTCTTAAGAACTTGCTTCATCTACTTAAAATAGTCTGTCAGTGTTTTCTGTTTCTCACATTTTGTACATGATATAGGAACAGCATATTTGGCATCATCAAGTTAAAATCTTAATATACCAACTTTCAACTACACACGCCATGCATAACCATGGATTAAATTTCCTCATAAAATGAGTACAGCTTGTGTTTATTTTCTGTGACAGGGAACAGAAACTTCCGTGATAATCAAGGATAACATGGTAATTTGTGTATGTGTGGGGTGAATACCTCAACATGCTCAACTCCATTCCTGACTAAGACTGGTAGTAGCACGTTTGTCATGTCTGTTAAACTGTTGTGGTGGTTACAGGGGAAATGACTTCGAGAAGCACACCAAGTGTATCAGTGAAGACCAGAAGTACTCTGGGAAGGGGTATGTGGCCAAAGTCAACAAGGGCGAGGCCAAGCAGGATCGATGGATAGAGGTGGGTGAACACTGACACCTTTAGGAAACTCGTTATTGTGACGTTTGACGCATAGGATGTATGCATAGAGCTGTGAGACTCTTGGTCTTTATACATAGCTTGTACATGTTGTAAGAATGCTGTGTTTAGCCATAAGACTGATAATCATGATGTTCCTGATGTATTCTCTGGGAATGGTACCAAGTCTATTGACCTGATTTCACTGAATTCCTAAACATTTTGTAATAATGACCATGGTATCTCTCACTTTTATGAATTTAAAAGATTTAATAGTAATCATGTCTATGATGGAACTATGAAAACTGTAACCATGGTAACTTCTTTTTGTTCATGACATTACAGCAAGTCCAGTCAGCAATAGACAACCAGAAGGGGGGCAACCCCCGACTACGAGGCACCCTGGAGAGCATCAAGAACTATCCCAACATTCCACGAAAGAAGAACAAGTTTGAGGTCATTGATTGGAAATTCAAATTTTAAATATCAGTATCTATATATATTGATTATAAATAAGATGAGCTATTCTGTATGTATATAGACAAAACTTGCCTTATTCTGTATGTGAGTGAGTATGGTTCTACGCTGCTTTTAGCAATATTCCAGCAATATCACGGCGGGGGACACCAGAAATGGGCCTCACACATTGTACCCATGTAGGGAATCGAACCCGGGTCTTCGGCGAGTGAACGCTTTAACCGCTAGGCTACCCGACATCCCCTTATCCTGTATTTCTGTTATGAAAAATATCACAGACTCAGTCCCTGCAATAATACTTTTTAGGGGGAAGTAACATCACCACCTTCAAAGCAGTTTTAGTCCATTAGTCCTTATAAGCATGATAATGACAACATACACCAAAACCCTTATAAATGGCAAATTTCTGCTAGTCCTTATGATACCTTAACTATTAGGCAGTTTGGCATATAACTGCACACAACAGCATCACTAATTGAAATTTGGGCAATGAAGCTCAAAATAAGCAGAAAAAATTAATTCAGTTAAGTTTAAGCGTGTTTTTTAAGCTGGTAATTGTTTCTGCTTTATTTTGAGCCCTAGTATTCATTGCCCTATTTTTCAAATAGTGATGCTGTTGTGTGCAGCTATTTTACTAACATTACTACATGTGTACCCGTGTTTCACATACATCTTGGCCTAATGAAAATGTCAAAACGAAAGCTCGCATCGTACTATTAACATTACTCTTTTTCACATGAAACTATGCTTTTTTTACCCCAGTGATTACTCCATAGCTTGAGTTAGGGTTGGCATCTCTGCATCTACTACACCATAGTGGACACATCAACACATGTCCCTCTTGAGACCGGTGGACCACTTATACCATGCCATGCTGAGCTGTTTGATTGTATATTCAACATGTCATTGCGTTATTTCAGAATTTCCTGATGAACAGCCTACGGATCCGTGATCCCAGTTTAATCTCCCAGCTGTGGAATGTGCTCATGGAGGAGGCCATCAAGGTGAAATAGAAACACCTGTGGTTCTTAGGTCTTGTTTTAGTTACAGGTGTCAAGATAACCTACCTCATGTATCGATACTTACTCGAGTCACAATAAAATGCATATGAGAATTAGCATTATGTTTTGTGATAGATGGTATGATAAAGCAAAGCCAAGTAGTTATAAGGTGGGGACTCTCAGTAATGCTCAATGGGGGTTCCCATGGTGACAGATGTGCCAATTGCAAATAAATGTGAAGTACAGTAAACTACGTTGATGACGGACACGTTTATAATGAACTGACCGCTATAACAAACCTTTTTTATTTATCGGCTATTCGCTTATAACAAACTGAATTCTTGATGGATTCTTTCTAACTTATTTCGAATGGAGGTAGGGGTAATTCCACCTCAAAAACATTCCAGTAACTATCATAAAAAAGATTATCCTTTCGTGTACATGGTGTAGCTGTGACAACCGCAACAAGTCCTGTTTTCGATCTTTCAATGAAATGTTGTGCTTAGTTTTGCATAAGTAAACAGTCGACAGGGGATGTAGATTATGAGATTTAACAATACCACGATATTAAAGAGTCACACTATAAATCTAGCATACATGTTTCAATTTAATTACTTTTAACCTTTCCCACAACCTCTCATCCAGTGGGACTCGCAGTGGATATTATTTGCATCCATTCTAAATTTGTATGCGTACAGGACACACTCTTTTGAAACCCTGAATTGATACAGAATATAGACATGAAGGGGTAGCCACATTATGTATTCATTATAGCTTCATGATGAGTGAGTCCCACCTGTGGGGAGGCAGGCTTGACTTTCAATGTATTGACAGAAGTCAGGTCACCCGAATTGTTAATAATAATAGTCCATTTATATGGTGCTGTACTCCATGAATACGAATGCTCTAAGTGCTTAGACATTTATTACCCTGGTTAATGGATCAGTGTGCACTGAACAATCATTCTCAGCTCCCTGGGGAGTATACACCCCAAGCTGCCTTTAGGCGCTAGAAGGTTAACATCTCATCCTACTGGGTACCCATTCACTGCTGGATGAACAGAAGCACAATTCGAACAAAGTCTGCAGAATGTGGTCACCCATGTAAGGACTCTCCGTGACCGACGTTGCTTAACTTCACTTTCACTTCAGGGTTTCACAAAAGTGGTAAATGTCTGAGACCTGCATTACTTTGGGTATTCCTCCCACATTGAGGTGACACACCATGATATGACTGGAATATTGTTCAAAAGAAAACTCACTCACTCAGTCACTCTGTTTTTTCAGAACATGAACCAAGCCGCTCAAGACAAGCCGCATGACAATAAGTTAGCAGGTGGCGCTGTGCAAAATACTGAAAATACAAACGCTCAAAATGGTGTCGGTGAAAATGGACATGCAGAGAAAGAGCAGAAAATGAGTAAGAGAGAAAAGAAGGAAGAAAGGAGGAAAAAGATGAATAAGAAGGAGAAGAAAGACAAGGGTGAAGTGGATGATGAAGATGAGGAAATAACAGACGAGCAGGTGAAAAAGAAGAAGAAGAAGAAACGGAAACACGAGGAAGAGCAGGTTGAGGTGAAGGGAAAGAAGAGGAAGAGGGAGGAGGAAGAAGAGGTGGAGGAAGAACCAAATGAGCCTGAAGAAGAAGAGGAGGAGGAACCTGTTAAGAAAAAGACAAAGTTTGACTGGGAAAATGTCATCACTGAAGTGTTGACGTCAAAAGGGGAAATTGCAATCAAGAAATTGAAGAAGAAAGTGAGTGTTTGTGTTTGTTTGTTGTTTGACAGCGCATTCAGCAATATTCCAGCTCTGCAGCATGTAGAAGGAATGAAACACACATATGTGTTTACATTATCTCTTTCTGTCTCCCTGGGGGTTAGGTAGCCAAATGGGCAAAGGGTGGTGGCTCGTCACGGCGAATACCTGGGTTCGATATCCCACTTGGGTACAATTTGTGAAGCCCTCTTCTGGTGTCCTCCGCTGTAAAATTGCTGTAAAATTGCTCAAAACAGCATAAACCAACTTACTCACTGTTCCCCAGTTGATCTCCGAGTAGCTGTAGAATGTTTTTCAAACAACAAATATTTTCTTTTACGAGTCAAAATATGGCATTTATGATATATGAATCCATTCTCTGTCAACTAAAGTTCGTTTCAAGGCATCAATAGTGGTAATCTGACCGTGGTTGCTGTTAATAACGGTGAGTTGTGCGATCTTCCGGTTGCTTCACACAAGATTTCGCCGAAATTAATTAAAACAATATTTAATGGAATTTTGTATAAATACAAATATAAGTCCAGATATAAAATGAACACTTTTTATAACCAGACAGTGTCATTTTACATGATTAATTTGCGTACTTCAGTACGGATTTATTGACATGGTATTACCGGTGTTACGTGCTCACAGTAGTGTCTGCATTGTGGGAAAAAAACATCAAACCTCATTATTGCGTTTATAATGTGCACCCCTTTCTACACAGCTGTGCTTTTGGTGAAAAAAGTGCGCACTATATTCAAGAGAATATGGTATGTTTACAATCTCCATTTCTGTTCCCCAGGTGATGTCCTAGTATCTGTAGAATGGTTTACATGTATACATTAATAATCCCCCTTTCTATTCCCCAGTTGATATCTTGAGTGTCTGTAGAATGATTTTCATGTATGTTTACAATCTCTATTTCTGTCCACTAGGTGATATCCGAGTATCTATCACAGATGGGGGCACCAAAGTCGGAGGAAAAGCTGTGGGCCAAGTTTGAGAAGAAAGTTTCCAAAAACCCAAACTTCAAAGTGTTCAAAGAACGTGTTAAGCTTGTAGCACAGACGTGATACAAATTTCTGTTTTATGATGATATCAATAAGCCTACACTGTTAACATGGCCAATGAAAAAATAACATTTTTAACATGTTTAGATACAGATGAGTTATCTAAAGACTCGAGGCAAGAGTGTAGACTGTTTTATGGTCAAATTGAATTTATTTTTTTAATAAGGGCAAAGGAATTGTTATTCTTAATAATGATACCCAAAATATCATGTTCAAAATAATTTAAACTTGAAGATGTGGAAATGTATACCATCATGTTATTTTGAACAGCTAAATCCATGGCAATGGAGCCAAAGTACATGAAGACTTTATCAAGCTGGTCGACTTCTTAGCAGTGCTGGTATACTGCTGAGCATTGTATCTGTGTAATAGTGAGAAATAATTCTTGAGTGTACAATGTATCACTTTTGTTAATTGTGATAAATACCCTGGACCCATTTCAATCTCTTTTATCATTTGTGGATCCAGAGAGGGGTTGCCTGGTGCTCACCTCCAAAAAAACTCTCTTGCATGTGTTTCTAGAGTCATTATTGACAAGGCCACAATCAGTTGAAGGTCTAAAGGGAGGTAACTGTGTATCACTGTTCTACTCCTGTCATCTTTCACTAAACATGCTAAATGATGTTTCTTTTACTTATTTCTGAAATGGAAATATTTGTTATGTCGTTGAAAAGGAATGGTAATAAAGTTGTCTACAAAGAAGAAAATTGTATCATTGTTGGTAAATGTTATTTTCATTTAACATGTTTAATGCGATATTATTGCAATAGATACCATGAAAAGAGTATGCATTGTTCATGGACAGCCTGTGGGGATTCTGTGTAAGAACTGATCCCAAGCAGCCTTTGCTTGACATAAGAGGCGACTACAGACTCAATGACTTGGTTGATTTGCTGTTGTTTGTTGTTTAACCCAGCAATATTGCCTGGAAATAATCGAGTCTGGACCAGACAGTCCAGGTGACTGACATCATTAGCATCGATCCACGTGACATACGATGACATGCATCAGTCAAGTCAGAGAGCCAGACCACCAGATCCCGTCAGTTGCCTCTTACGACAAGGATAGTTGCCTTTTACGCAAGAATGTGTTCCTGAAGAACCTATTCTAACCCAGACACTCTACCCTAACGTTGATGTTGTACATTGTATCACTCACTGATTTGTCTTGTCTGGAGTTGTTTATTCAAAGGCACAGGTGGCCATGTTGTCTAAGGCGCCGCGATTCGCTGTGCAGAGTTGCGTCCCTTGGGCACGCCAGAAACCTATGATTGTAGGTTCGAATCCTGGTTCGCCCTGATTATGTTTCTAGGTTTGTCAGCACCATACCTGTGCTCATGGGTTTCACCGAAGTGGTAAACGTCTGAGACCTGCATCACTTCAGGCTTTCCTCCCACATTAAACTGACACGCCGGGATATAACTGGAATACTGTTAAAAGCAGCTTTAAACCCAATTCACTCTCACAATTTACAGGACACTGTTACATTGCTAAATAAGGCATCAAGCAGCACACAACCAACCATGATTGACGAATTGACGTACAGATTCAAGGGTTGCCGTAACGAGATCGGGTGGTCAGGTTCGCTGACCCGGTTGATACCTGTTATTGTATCCCAGTTGCATAGATCGATGCTCATGATGCAATTACTGGATTGTCTGGTCTAGACTCGATTCTTTACAGACCGCTGGAATATTGCTGAGTGCGGCGTTAAACAACAAACGTTCTTGTGTTGTTTCCTTGTCAAATGAACAATGTGTGACCATTGGAGGTGGTGTGTCATTGTTGCCATGTGGCATGGATCCCTGCCCCATGCTATCAACTACTAGTTTGCCTGGTCCAGACTGGACCATTTACGGTTCTCTTTGATATGGCTTGAATGTAGTTCACCGTGGCAGTAATCACCATTCAAGGAGGTTTCACTCACTGACTAACTTCTTGGGCTGCTGACAAATAGTTTTGTAAAGATACAGCAGATCACTTTTGTATCCCGATATGAAAGCCAAGATACAATACATTGATTTGCAACCTCGGTTTCGCGATACATATTCTACTATACATTACAAATTGTAGTGGTGTGTGTGTAGTAGTTGATCAGTTTTTGAACAGTCAGTCAAGTCTTGATTCAGGGTTGTGATTCACTAGCAAAGAGAAAGAATATCAACATGTGAAATAAAAGTACTGTAAAGGGATACAAATCACATTGCACCCATAGTATTGAGATACATATTGCATCGCGACACCACCATACCGTCACACCTCTACTGACTATTGTCTATTGTCTGTCTGCAACAAATGACACTTCTTTGATGACTTAAATGTTGCTTACTCAAGCTGGCCACAAGAACCGCTGTGTAGGTATAAAAGAATATGCAAGTTCAGTAACGATATAAGGCAGTATATAAGTCATATCCTGCCTTTACAGATTAATTTGAGGTCTTTGGATGGGGAAACCATTGAGTATGTGCTGACAAGCCAGTGATGATAATCAGGTCGAATCTGAGATTGGAACCAAAGATCATTGTATCCTGGCATGCCTAAGGGAAGCAACTCTGCATAGTTGTAGCATTTTAGATCCAGGGCTGGCAAACCCCCCATGGATGGAAGAACAAGAACCTGTCTAATGTTATTGTAGGTACATGCTCACACCAGCCATCACTGGTTTGTCTGGTTCAGACTTGTTACGTGCCAACTGACTCTCCCCCAGTTCCCTGTGCAGAGTTGTGTCCCTTAGCCATGCCAGACACCCACGGTTTGCCCTGATTATGTTTTGAGGTTTGTCAGCACCATACCAAAGTTGAAAACATCTTAGATCCACGCCAAATCAGGATTTCCTCCCACATTAAGTTAAGCCATGATATGACTGGAATATTGTTCAAAATTCAACTCAGTCACTCTGTTGTTTCGGAACATGAACCCAACTGCTCAAGAGTGAGTGAGTGAGTATGGTTTTACGCCACTTTTAGCAATATTCCAGCAATACCACACAGGGGGACACCAGAAATGGGCTTCACACATTGTGCCCATGTGGGGAATCAAACCCAGGTCTTCAGCATGAGGGGCGAACACTTTAATTACTAGGCTACCCCACAGCCATTAACTGCTCAAGGCAAGCAGCATGACAATTAGAGAGAGAGAGAGTTTGGCTTTACGCCGCTTTTAGCAATATTCCAGCAATACCACACAGGGGGACACCAGAAATGGGCTTCACACATTGTGCCCATGTGGGGAATCAAACCCAGGTCTTCAGCATGAGGGGCGAACACTTTAATTACTAGGCTACCCCACAGCCATTAACTGCTCAAGGCAAGCAGCATGACAATAAGAGAGAGAGAGGGAGAGAGTTTGGCTTTACGCCGCTTTTAGCAATATTCCATCAATATCACGGCAGGGGACACCAGAAATGGGCTTCACACATTGTATCCATGTTGGGATTCAAACCCGGGACTTCGGCGTGACGAGCGAGCGCTTTAACCACTAGGCTACCCGACCGCCCCTGATAATAAGACAGCAGCTAGCGCTGTGCAAAACACTCAAAATACAAACACTCAAAATGGTGTCAGGATACACACCTTGAGATACTATTCATACCGAGTTAAGGACCACCCAATTTGTCCATATCACTATGTTTTATCTGTCATGATGGCTAAGTTTTACTGTAGTTATATGAGTGAGTGAGTTAGGTTTAACGCTGCTTTTAACATTATTCCAGTTATATCACAGCGTGTCCAGCTTAATGTGGGAGAAAAGCCCGAAGTGATGCAGGTCTTAGACGTTTACCACTTCGGTGAAACCCACGAGCACGGGTATGGTGCTGACAAACCTAGACACATAATCGGCGTGAACCGGGATTCGAATCCACAATCATAGGTTTCTGGCATGTCCAGGGGACGCAACTCTGCACAGCGAATCGCGGCGCCTTAGACGACTGGGCCACCCGTGCCCCCCTGTAGTTACATGAACAAATCAGATGGTCCTTAACTTCTTGTAAGTAGTATATAATAGAAATACCATTCAATTTAATGAATCCAACTCACATGTTAATATTTAAGATTCTTACCTCATTTTGACCTTGTACAAAAAACACAAATTGTTAAGCGAGCTGAAGAGCTTGTGGGCTCTTCATTTATAAAGACATAGTGACAATAAATATGCTACAGTAAACATACAAATAAAACCATCTCTGGAATATTGCAAGTGGAAAAATGGAATGACTGGAACGGAGCTTGTACACCATTGTACGCATGCATCACTTCACAAATGTTTTGGGACATATAAACCAAACAGGGTGAGAAATCAAATGAATAGTTTTAAGAAAAATGACAATTTGAATAATTAAGAATTATTTGCACATACCCCATAAACGCAAGTCATAATTAATGTAAACAGATCATATGGAATTATATTAGAAACTAAATATTATACAGAAACACTTGGAAAACGCATTGTGGATGACTCTTAATAAGTAACATGACTGGAAGGTTATGTCCAGGTATGACATCTGAATGAGGATTCAAACTCAGACAACACTATTGCAATGTTGCATGCCTTCAGGCCTAACTGCCACATACCAATTTGTTTGTTCTCTGTCAGTTCACTGAAAGTTATTTACCAAATTCCACCATGCCGTTTCCTAGTTTCCTAATCAACCCTACAATGACTGGTGACTGTGGCTTCTCAGGGTGTTATATCAGCCCTGAATATTTACCACAGCTGCTGCAGTCTTATAGTGTTGACTTCCACCTAAAGTGTGATGTGATCCTACAGAGCTTTCTACCATTACCATTTCAGACAAATCATTACAATATTCTGAAAATAATTCCACCAATACAATTAAGTGAAATATATGACCATATCTTTCTGAAAAACATTTCTGTAACAGACAGGATAATGAATGACCTTGCTGCAGTGATTGTCACACATATTACCAATAAATAATTAATACCCCAAATGAATCAAATATTACCAAACTGTCTTAATGTATGATTGGAGGTTTACAGATTTTGAAGTTTGGGTAATACCAGTTGAATATAATGCAAAGGATTTATTTTCAGCAAACACAATGTCGAGAAATGCCAAGAATGATTACTAATTGTTTTGGACACAAATTACACAAGATATTCATTCCTAACTGCCCCAGTTTGAGGTTGGATTGTCTAGATCAGGTGACAGTGATAGGATGTTTATTTGTTGTTTAATGCTGCACTCAACAATATTCCAGCTATATGACAGCGGTCTGTAAATAATCAAGACTGGACCAGACAATCCAGTGATTGACATTATGAGCATCGATCCACTCAATTGGGATACAATGACTTGCATCAACCAAGTCAACGAGCCTGACCACTCAATCCCATTAGTCGCCTTTTACGACAAGCATAGTCACCCTTAAGGGCAAGCATGGGTTGCTGAAGACCTATTCTACCCCGGATCTTCACGGGTCCAGTGATAGGATGGCCTTGTGTAAATATATTTTTATCAAGAAGCTGACAACATCCATTCTATACTTCTGTTTACAGTCATATAGTTTACAACAAGCAAACCCCTCCCAATGTCTATATTACTGAAAATAGCACATGTAGTACATGCAATGTTTCTTGTTCCAAGAAACTTAAATATAAGGTCTGCAGTTGCAATGGTAATAACCAATTATTTGACATGCCTGAATTTTATAAAACATCCACAAACACCATGGCTACATTATAGCATAGAAAATTGTTATAATTGAACATAATTAATGACAAAAATATTTGGTTTTAAGACAAAGACTTCTGAAAAAAAATGGAAAATGTTACTAGCTTACTCTGTTCTCAAAAAGTTGCATAGCTACGGACATTAAGCCCACAAATATGATTATCATGAAACAAAAAGATTTTGCAGGACATATCCCTTTACATATATTACATATGGTTCAAATAACCTACAACATAACAGATCTTGCTTCATATCACCATGACAACCTACGACATAACAGATCTTGCTTCATATAACCTACAACATACCCAACAGCTGTTAACAGTAATAATACTGAAAGTAATAAATAAGGGAACATATGTTTGATATGATATCCAGAATGTGTTCTGTAAATGATCGGAGGTTGTCTGGCAGTGTTGTGACATTTGATACCAACAGTTCACTTCAAGACTTATTTTGTCAATGTGAAGCATTTACATTGAACACAAGTGACTTCCTTCTGCTGTATTGCTATGTTCCCTTATTTAATTTGATCAGTATATAAGCCATCCTGGTTTAACACCATGTAGATATGAACAATATCAACCATGTTTATCAATTCAACGAGTGATGCATACATGACTATGTAGTGGAAACATCTAATAATCATTAAATTATATCTCATGCTCTCTCATTATTTCAAGGTTTCATATTGGTTCCTTTTCCATGACATTGTCATCAAAAATGACCCAAAGATATTTTTCAAAATTGGTAACATGGTTCATCCAAAACTGTCACTATGTCCTAAATTTAAAGGCTTCAAAAAGGCTTTCCAAAGACTAAATTAAGTTTTCAAGTACTATTTCGCTGAAAAAAAAATCAAAATTAATTATGGGCCACTGAAAATGACAGTACTTTTAAGTATAAATGAATAAATTCAGAACAATCATCTGACAAATAAACAAACAAAAAAACACATGAAATTCAAGTTCTTTTGATCACAAGACATTTTAAGGCCTTTTCAAGATCACTGCTTAAATTAAAGTGCTTTTCAACCATTGGTAATGATAAAAAAAAGTTCTACAAAAAGGTGACTAAAATGTCTTCTGTATTTAAGAGACAGCCACATCCACACAGCATTATAATGCACAGCCATCTCCATAGCGACACGTGTCTTGCTGCACCCATCCCCGGAGATTGGAGTACACCTGTGCTGGCTGCTTGACATCATGCAGACGTTCACAGAGGCCGCACCAGTTCATACGTGTCCACCCATTAGGGAGCAGCCTGTAATCCTTCTTCCAGGAAAAATAGGAATTATACAGAGATTCATTCCTCGCAACTTTAAGCAGATATTGAGCCAAAGCTTTGACACTTTCAAAGTCATCCACGTTAATGTAGGACCCAGGTGGCACCATTGTTTTGTAGTCAGCTCCGCCTCGTACAACCGGGATCTGATCCCGAATAATAGGTCGCCAGAACTTTTCTGTCAAGTAGTCACGACAATACCCATTCTCAAATGACAAATAGAACTTGTAGTCATCAAACACGTCTTTACAGCTCTTTTTACAATCCAGATTACCACATTTACCGTATATGTCAATTCCTACATACTGTTGGAGTTCTCGAACAACATCAATTCTATTGCTGCGATCATTACAGTTGCTGCTCACCCACAATGCCATTTTTGCTTTCTTCCTGTGGTAATTTTCTTCCCTAAAATGCAAAATTTTGTCTTGAGGATTTAATGGTACCCATTGCCCATATGGAGAAAAGATTGTGGCGTCTTTACGGTACCAGCTAGTCCAGTTGAATACACCATTGAACTTGCTCAGTGGGAGATATATATAATAGGGAGGCTCAGTGTTATGTAGAATCCAGATCTGATCTGTAGTTCGGGATGAGGGTAGCGGACTGTCAAGATGGTCAGATAAATCTCGGACATTGAAAAGCACAGCGTGACTCGACGTGAGGAGGTGTCTGTTTGTGGTCACCTCGCAGTTGGTCACTGGACAGTCCTGGAAGACGTTGTGGTCAGCATCCCACACGAGTCCTGTGAAGAAGGATGTCCACAGGAGGACAAGCTTCCGGCCGTCACCGGTATGGCCAACAGGGGTGCCTGCGTCGGGGAAGACTGTCACAAACCGAGGATCTTTGGAATTGTGGCTCCATTGTGATGGTGGAACACCAGACTGGTTGCATCTGAACCTTTTGTAAAGTATAGGTGCCAACACTATTCCTGTAATGATGGCCAACAGTGTACAGAACTTCCTCTGTCTTGGTCGAAATGGCCATCTTAGAAACATTTGGTCAGCATAGCAGACTGGTCACCCTGCAAATTCAACACCTGAAACAACCATGTAAATATTAGGGTTAGTCACATAATGAGAAAAATTCACTACCACAATTCCATGATTACCTACAAATTGCTAATGTTCGTACAACTTTCTGACCCTTACTCTTATATGTTTTATGTAAAGATTCAGCTTCAGTCAACTTCAGTGTATGCATGACCAGATTGTTTTATAGATGTACTTAAAGGGGAAGTGTACACGCAAAAATCACTTTCTTTCTTTTTCTAAACAAAACGCAATTTTAGAATTAGTTAGTATCTGTGTTTGAAAATATACACTCATTTTTTTCACAGTGAAAGTAGGAAGCTCACAATAGTGTGAAAATGATATGCCGTTATGATGCTTTCGTTTTTCTAGCTAAACAGGCCTGAGTTATCCCCCTTAGATTATGACGTAATTGGTGCCAATTCAACTGGGTCCCTGTCTATTCTGAACGCAAAAGATATCAAGTACACGTTTTCGGTAAAACAACATGGCCTACGACACACTCCGGCGCAGTGGTGACTCAGCATAACACTATGCTGGCTGGCATCTGAGACGCTAGAATCACACACCAGTACCTACACCACGTGAAGCGGCTCTAACATAGCATGATGACGTCATAATGTTTATCAATTGGCACCAATGACGTCATATTGCAAGGGGCATAAGCCATGGTGTTTTTGTTATGGAAATAGAACACTTGGTAAATGTGAAAAATATAAATCGATTTAATGCAAAACATATGTTAATTAATTGTGATATTTTTATATTTTTGTCTATGACACTTCAAGGTTAACACTTTTATTGTGGAAAAAGTACAAGAAAATTAGGTTCATTTCCGTGTGAACTTGCCCTTTAAATACCTTTTGCCAGGGGGTCGGGTAAAACAATTCCTAATCGCACATTTTGTTCCCATCTCTTGAATCTACTGTGGGTGTCCGGGTAGGGTCGTGCAATAGGGTGTTGGGTACCCTGTTTGTAAATTTGGACCAGTCACAGCCCTAGTATATTTGACAATCCCTAACACCTCCCTAAAATGTAATCCCAAAGACTTAAGTCATTAATATGGCAACAAATTTAAGAAGTAAATATGACAATCCCTAACACCTCCCAAAGGCTTTAGTCATTAATATGGCACTATACAATTTCTTAATCATTGGTGATCTCCTTGATTAATATTTTTTAGCTTTACAAGACCACATGTACTTCTGGTTTCATGGAATTTCTAAAGCTAATATTTGTAAACAATCATAAAGTAAAGTTACAATCTAATTTTGGTCTTGAGGTGTATGCACAAATCCTGCAAACAATTTCATTTTTTTGTAACTTGATATTTTCAAGTATTTTCAAGAACACTTTGTATTTTGTAAATATTGATCAACTGTACTCACACGTCTATGTAGAACCTACTTGATGGGCCTTTAAAATACGATTTATCTTTTAACTTTTTTTTTCAATTCACAGAGAATAAATGATTTCATCAAATATCTACCTGCTTTATTTCCATTCCTCCCATCCCCATGACAACGCGGTAACACAAGAATCACTGAGCAACAGAAAATACAATCTAGGCCTACTATAACCAGCTGATAACCTGCTAATATGATCTAGTCATAGCATCAGGTGTTTATTTTTCTTTGAAGATCAACATCTACATGCAAAAACAGATACTGTGAATACCTCGGTGTTTTCTCTTTCGAAATATCCTGTTCTGTAAAAAAGATCCACTCGGAAAGGATTACAGCTATATATCATATCCAGAATCTTTGTCTCTCAAAGCCGCAAAATGCAAGCATCGGACACCTTCTCGTTGAACAATATTACTGAACTCCTCACAGCGCTCAGCTCGTTTTACCGACTGGCGCAATGGATAAATGCGCATCCGCCGGGATAATTTAGTTCAACGTGTCTGTCCTCAGACAAAAGCCCAGTCGGTAAGAGCCTTTGTTGTGGAGTTTTTAAGAGGGGATGTAACTCTGTCCGTGTACGTTTATTTCGCAAATAGATCAACATCCCTAACAGAGACGGATCGAGCCAATTGGCGATTGTCATGGAAACGTGATGCACGTAGCTATTGTTTTTGTGCTTTTTTGTTTTTGTTGTTGTTGTTTTGTTGGGGGGAGGGGTTATTTTGTGTTTTAACTTGTCTAAAGTCTCGTGCAAAAGACGAGATTATAATATAATCAAAACGACGTGCATAAAATAGAAGCTAGAATTAAAGGGGCACTGATCTAACGCAATTCCCCGGACTGGTTGTTGCCTTTGTTATTGTCTTTTCCCCCGTGAGCACCCGTATGTTACGCAACGCAACTGAGCGTGACCAGAGACTGGGCTACCGTCTGCAAGGACAGCTAAATAAACTTGGAGGCTGGAGGCAATATTTGTTTTACGCATTTTTGCATAAACACTGATTGGTTAACTGTGATCTATAAAGATTTCGACAAAGGGCGCATGTTAATTAATTTCTTCAGCCTAAACAAACAGATAAAGAGAACGTCGGAGCTCATCGGATGTCGTCATGTGGAAATACCTAAATGATTATAGTTTAATACTAAAATAAGTATCTATGCAGTGAAAGCACTTTCGGATTTCGGATTGCGTCGATAATACGATTACTACTCCCTTGTTGTCCTCCACGTTTTCTCGTATAACCCTACACTTGTGTATTTGTCGTCATTCACTTGATGCTCAGTTAATGAATTTATTACAGGTACAATTAGTGGTAGCACCACTTAGATTACCTGACAAAGGTTCCCATTTGGCATTTATTGTGTCTGGGGTAATTATTCAATCTAAATCCAGGTTTGAAGTGAGGTGAAATGTGTGTTATGTAATATGCACGTGGCAGCCCAGCAAGAGGTGAATGATCAGTTCATTTACTTTTTTTGTAAATCAACGGATCGTTCCTAGTCATCAAAGGATTAACAGAAAATACGTTGATTGATTAATCACTGTTATCTTGCACAGTGGATATGTCAAAAGGGAGTGTTTACATGTCTAGGTTTACTAAAACAAAGGGAATACACGCATATCATGGCGTGAAGTGTCGATGTAAAAACAACATACTTTGTTCAATGGGTTAACTAATAATACGTTGATTGATTGCTCATTGTTATCTATCACTCAATGGATTTTTTAGGAACCGTGGACGTTATTGAAATAGTTGTCACGTGGGATTTCTCAGCCGACCCTTGAGACGTGACACCTATGTGAAACACCTGAAACAATCTAAGTGATAAGTTGAGAAAGGAACACGGGTTATAATATCCTGAACCGATATATATCTTTTAAAATATTTGATTGTTACAGAGACACGTGACATCGAATAAGTTTCTTTGTACAGCTGCAGACGAGTAGGATATTGTTCCTTTGTGTGGATATTCACGGATACATTCCTCGACCAAGGAAGCTGCCTAAAATTTATACACATAAATTTGGTAGGTTGCAATAATGGTATTTGAAATTTGGTTTTCCTTCGTTTGAACCGATTCGTTCTTGTTTCTCTACGTCTTGGTTGGGAATTTTTTCAATGCGCGATAGACGTTCTTTTCACAGGTCTTTTCCTTTGTAAGCGTGTATATATTACCGTCAATTTGTAAAATGTGATTCTCTCAGGCAATTTATAAAATGTGTAAATATTTCAGTCATTTTGACTAAAAAATCTGTCCAGATTGATTAAGATGATCAAAAGGACCTACAAACATCACAACAGATTATTATGTAGGATTAGAAGCCAAACAACATAGAAATGTACTTTTCAACGTAACATTTTCAGTCTCTTGGTGATGACATTAAACATCAAAATGTTTGGAATTCGTTATCATAATAATACAGATGGAAATGTTTTTCAGTCACTTTGTAAAATAACTGAATATTTAGACGTTTAATAAATTTGAAAATGTTACACTTTTGACAGTAAAAAAATATACACACTATAAAAAAGCAATGCTCAGCTGAAATATTTACTTTGTGTTGCAAGTCAAAATAGTGTAAACGAAAATCGCAAAATTACTAAGAAAGTGACTTATCAAAACTTCGTCACCATTACCGATGCTACCCACAAATATACCTACATTTCCTTATTATCTCGAAAACTGTGTTTCATTTTGTTGATCAATGTGACCATACGCCCTTATTACTACCCATAAAAGTGACTGATGCGCTTACGAATTGCGCAGCAGAGGTCGCGAACTAGTCTAGATTTCTGCTATACATCCGGGTACTCACTGGGAAAAAACAATAACAAAGGCAACAACCAGTCCCGGGGAATTGCGTTAGATTAGTGCCCCTTTAAAAAGTTTATTCAGACCTAAGTGAGTGAGTGAGTTGTGTTTAATTCCGCTTTTAACAGTATTCCAGTTATATCACAGCGTGTCGGCTTAATGTGGGAGGAAAGCCCGAAGTGATGCAGGTCTCAGACGTTTACCACTTTTGTAAAACCCACCAGCACGGGTATGGTGCTGACAAACCTAGAAACATAATCGGGCCGAACCGGGATTCAAACCCACAATCATAGGTTTCTGGCGTGCCGAAGGGACGCAGCTCTGCACCGCGAATTGCGACCACTTAGACGACTAGGCCACCCGTGGCCCCTATTCAGAACTAAAGTGTTATTATTTTGATATTTAGCCTCCATAATGTCAGTGATGCAAAACAACTCAGATTTAATGTTATTTTCGCCGTGACTTCTAATCATAATGAAGTTTCTTTTAATCTGAACTTGAAGATGTCCTCTACCGTGTTCAGCTGTCAGTGTGGACAAATGCAGTCTGGGCCAGGAGGCGCGAGGACGTGTATGCCTCTCTGTGTGCGCGTGTGGCTTTTGTGTTGTTTAACGCCGCACGTGTTAATATTTCAGCTATATGACGGTGGCATGTAAACACTCGAGTCTGGACAATCCAGTGATCGATAGTGTGATCAACGATCCAAGTCGTCGAGGTACGTTGACTCGCATCAACCAAGTCATTGAGCCTAACCAACCGAATCATCCAAATCATTCATGCTTGAACCTGTTCTAACCCGGAACCCCAACGGGTGTATGCAGGGATGCCACAAACATTGTTGAATCCTTTGGTGATATATTTAAATAGTTTCCTGAAGTATGTGCCAGCATCTTTTTAAGTTTAAGTACGCCCCACGTTTCGAAACGGTTGTATCCCCGCATGCCTGGATATAGGTTCCATACCGTTTCGCGTGTGGCCTGTTTTCCCTACTAAACAGGAATGGAATGCTGCAACTCCGTTGACCAATCTATGCACCCGGTGACTCCTCCGCCAATGACAACATTGCAAGGAAACATACATTGCATAACAACATATATTGCTTAAATATGATACATTATGATTACATGTACGTCGTACCGTGCGCTAGCAACCACTCGATGCTGTCTCTTAAACCATACCTACTATCTTGTCAAAATATTCATCAGCGAATGGCTTAAATAAGCTGAAAATACATAAGACGTGTCTCTCAAGCCTCAAGTACATGTCCCGGGCACCTGTCCCGTCGAATAATAGCTTTGTGTGTACTTGGATTGAGCCCTACATCAGCTGCTCGTGTCTGGGAAAGAGTGTTACTACTGTTTGGGGTCAACTATCTTGCAGGGAATATAATTTGTTTGTTTGTTTGTTGTTTAACGCCACATTCAGCAATATTCCAGCTATATGACGGCGGTCTGTAAATAATCGAGTCTGGACCAGACAATCCAGTAAATGACACCAAGAGCATCGATCCACGCAATTGGGATACAATGACATGCATCAACCAAGTCAGCGAGCCTGACCACCCGATCCCGTTAGTCGCCTCTTACGACAAGCATAGTCGCCTTTTACGGCAAGAATGGGTTGCTGAATATGAAATGTTTGAAGCTATATAGCGCTAGTTTTGTATAACGATTCAAAGACTTCCAAAACAAACAGCCAACGCTGTTGGTCTTGACTCTCTCAGTCTTGTCAGTGTTGAATGCTTTATTGACAAGCAACCCCCCTTCCCTAATGTCTGGAAAGATATGTAAATCTAGCTCTAAGTTAAATTTTAAACATGTATTATTCCCGGAACTTGGACAATACAAATGTGACACAACCTCAGACAAACGATTTTTTAATTGTCCTGTCTTTAATATGTTGAAACTGGTACACAAATATGAGCTCTGATATCAGTTGAATAAGTACATTGTATACTACGTTATGCGCATGAAATCTACATGGACAATTACCGCAAATGAAAGAGCGAAACGACACAGCCTCTTGTCATTACATGGGCACATGTCCGTCAGTGAAGATTTAAGCAGATAATTAACAGTTAGATCAATAATATTAACATTATCCGACAACTCCCCTTGTGTTATCCTCATTCAAATAGAGCTTTATCAACAATTGTTAAGGTTAGTTAAAGTAAAATAAAGTCTGTCGAGTGTCTGTGTGGAAAAGTACCAAATTATGTGCTAAACAGATTCTTATGTCATGTGACTTTAAAGGTATACATGTATATGATATTATGTTGGTTGGTTTGTTGTTTAACGCCGCACTCAGCAATATTCCAGCTATATGACTGCTTTCTGTAAATAATCGAGTCTGGACCAGACAATCCAGTGATTGACAACATGAGCATCGATCTACGCAATTGGGATCGATGATATGCATCAACCAAGTCAGCGAGCCTGACCACCCGATCCCGTTAGTCGCCTTTTACGACAAGCATGGTTGCTGAAGACCTATTCTACCCCGGATCTTCACGGGTTGTGATATTATTGATGTCAACGACTTTGTAAATATATGGACAAGTGATGACGACGTTGCATTGTCCTTTATGCATGGAGGACATATTGATCATCTTCCCTTCCTCTTTAAAACAATTTATGTCCGGTATGGACCAGAAACTTAAGTTTCTGCCAAAACAAATTGTCTTCCCTTCTCAAATACTCCTTCCTGTTCAACGCTGTCTTTGCGGCCTCAGACCTTACATTATCAACGTCAATGTTGTTGTAAATAATCATGATGATGTTGGATTCGTGGTCTTTGTGTTTGTGTCGTGCCTGGTCATATTCAAAAGATGTCCAGTTGAGAGCGTTGAAGTATGTGTCAGATACGATGGATATAAACCGCTTGCTTCTGTCAATATAACTCAGTATTTCCTCTGCCTGTGAAACTCCAACGTCAAAATCCCGTAACGGACAGCAGATTCGAAAGCCTTGATCATTATTTTCCAAATTTTCCAAAAGGACATTTTTAACCCAAAGTACAATGTCCATATTGTCGTTATCAAACGACAAGTAACCATGGTAGTCCATCTCCGCTTCGTCATCTTCATACTTGCCAACAGGTTGGACTTTTCTTCCTCTTATTAAATACATTACAAATGGAAGCTTTTTCTTTCCCCAAACTCTGCATGCTACAGCAGCGAGTATTACCACGGCAACGGTGATGGTAACGCCTACTGTTACGGGAACCACTATATCAGTGACACAGTCAATGCGGTCCTTCATGGCAGATAGTCTGATAGGCGACCCATCCTTGTAGCATACTGATCGCTGATAGGCTGGATCGTCACTCGTGACGTCTATCCAATCAGAAACCCAAGTCAAATCACAAGAGCAGTCGAGTATGTTTCCTTCCAAATGAACATTACTGAATCGCACAACTTGTAACTCTTTCGGAAGCGTCATCAGCTGGTTTGAAGCAAGATTAAGCATAGCTATATTTCCCATGACTTGAACAGCACCCCCTTCTATAACAAACAATCTATTATTGGACAAATCCAGGTATGTTACACGTGATAGGTATGGTCTAAATTCAAGTTTTGAAATATAATTCCAACTTAAGTTTAAATATAATGGCCCCGAGGGCATCTGGTCTGGAAATGAGATAAGAGTGGAGCACACGACGCTTGTATATTTATACGCTGGTACACTCTGGCAATGGCAGGAAGTGGGACAGCCTTCAAGAACAGGACATACCAACTCAGTAATTGGCACGTCCAGTGCATTCTGACCACTGAGTCTCTTCGGGGTTACACATTTGAAGGATAATTGGTCACGTATTGTTTTTGACAACATAAATGTGTCTGAATGCAGCTGATGTCTGAATTCGTACAGCATGCAGTCGCATCGCCAAGGATTGTTCTGGAGAAGAAACCCCATTGCTCCAAGTTTCATCGTGATGACTGTATCTGGATCAGCATTGAAGTGGTAGACATCTTCCAGGGCTTCTAGGATCCACCCCGAGAAGTTATTGAAGGTGAGATCAACCCGATTATTCAGACCTAGTTTTGATGTCCTTAGTATGTCCACAATGGTGAGGTTTGGAGCGTTCCGGAAGATGCTGATGTCGTTGTGACTAAAGTTGAATGTCGAAATTTGATTATTTTTTGTGAAAGGCCAAGGTTCAAAGTAGGTCAGTTTGTTGTAAGATAAATCCACACCTTCGACACAGGTAACATATCCGTCAAAAGCATATGGGTCTATCCGATGAATATGATTATGGGATAGATACAAAAACTTTGCGACAATGCCCTTGAACTCTGGCCCATTGATCTCTGCGATTTTGTTGTAGGATAGACGAAGATGGTGGATATTGATAGTTAAGTTTTCAAAAAATCCATCCTTAATTTCTGCAATTCCATTGGATGACAAATCCAAGATATTAATATGTTTATTCATTAAGGATCGAAAGAGTCCAGGTTTGTCCAGAGAACCATTCAAAACTGTGATCAAGGACGAGTTGCAGTACACGTCTTCTGTGTTGCAAGTACAGTTGGTCGGGCAACTCGAGCTGATATCGCTTGAGGTGAGGAAATTACAGCCAAACATAATATGACATGTTAAAGCGAAAATATAAACGACAGTGTGGATGATTCTAACATATCCCATCATTGTTTGAGTGTGTTGAGAGTTTCTTCAAATTGAAAGAGAAATGAAAATGAAAGTTTTACATTCCAGTAGAAATAAAAAAATCTGTAAGTGAAGTCAGGGTCAAGGTGAAGGTCAAGTTCTCCACTCAGGTTAAAGGTTGCTGCATGAAGTCATTTTGTGGTATCGTGACCACCGAGAACATCCTACATGGCCGGCACCTCGAACGAGGGAATATGATTGCTTCCATGGTGTTCTGTTCCTTTGTACACTGCCAAATGTCGGGCAAGTTTCTTCCCCTGCAAAACACCAACATAGTATAAGTGAGTGAGTGAGTATGGTCTTACGCTGCTTTTAGCAATATTCCAGCAATATCACGACGGGGGACACCAGAAATGGGCTTCACACATTGTACCCATTTTAGGAATTGAACCCGGGTCTTCGGCGTGACGAGCAAACGCTTTAACCACTAGGCTACCCGACCGCCCCGAACATCGTATAAGAGACGCTGTAAATTTTGGTTGCATTTTTAGATGTGACCAGGTCATTTCATACCGACATGGTAGGCCTTTAAACGCCACACAAGTGCCTTCCTTCTTATTATTGTGTACTGTGTCCCATTACTCTTATTGTGGGAAATATATATATTTAATGGCAGACTTTTGATTCATGATTGGACACCTGTAACTTTTCTTTCCATTAATTGCAAGTTTTGTCATTTTGACACGACCCATTTATGTCTAAAATGAGTGAACAAAGCTTTCAATTTCTTGAGTGAGTCTAACTATGGACACCTATGACACATGGTGCATGTTTACTTGTACTGTTTTTGTAAGAAACTGTAATTGTGCAATTGTTTTACCTCTATGCTTGTTGTTCTATGTCAAAAACATACAAGCGAGGAAAAAGGTCTAATTCCTTTATGTTTGCTTGTTTGTTGTTTAACGCCGCACTCAACAATATTCCAGCTTTATGACGGCGGTCTGTAAACAATCGAGTCTGGACCAAGCAATCCAGTGATTGACATCGTGATCATCGATCTGGGATACACTTGGGATACGATGTACACACCTGATAGTGTTCAATGTAATTTCAAGAAAATAATGTTCATACAAAAATCTTTGAAGTCACATAAAGTGTGCCACTGCAAGCTAGTCTGTCGAAATAACAGAGTCACGGTTTACTGTTTGAGTATTTGTTCTTGACAAGTAAGCAGACGCTAGCTGTCAGAAATATAGATTACTAAACGAATCCCGTTCGATACCGTATATTATACAATGGGTGCATTTCAAAACGCATCTAACGAACGGCCGAGTCAGATACGTTTTGAAATAACAACGGTATCAAAAGGGGCGAGTGTAGTAATTTATTTATAACCCACCTATTTTCAGCACATTATCTACATTCAACGTCGATAAAAGCCGTTGTTATCACGTTCGTTGAAATACACTCGCAATAAGAACGATATCCAATCGTGAATTGTGATCACGATTAAAGTTTCAGTTAGTAATAAATATATTTATTTATAACTCGCTTAAACTTTCAAGCATGTACTGATTCTGGTAATGTAACTGTCAACCCCATTTGTCCACCAGCTAAAGTTTTATCCATTGCAATAAACGGAGAGTCAAAGTAAGATCAGTCAGTCTCACAGTCCCTGGACCATGTTACACCCCCTTCTACTAAGCGATTACTGTAACGTTATAGCTCTAAATGAAGCAAGTCTGCATTTTCCACAGGTTCAGGATCTCCCGTCTCATTAGGGATCCTTTTCATTTTAATGGAGTTGTTTGTATCTGATAGTGGTGCCTGTGGAATGTTTTTGTCAATTACTAAAGCAACGTATGCTAAAATGTGGGCCTGTGTTAGAACACCTGCTGGGTTATCTAAATACTTGAACTTGTTAAAGTGTAACATAGGTACCCGTCAGGGATGCATTCTTAGCCCACACATGTTTTTAATATTCAAAATATACTTGTACATTGTATGGACAAACCGTATTTATTACTAAAGACTGTCTAGAAATATATGCACTTATGCATGCTGATGACATGTCATCTATTGATACACCTTTAAATCTACAAGAGAAGATTTGTGCCTTAGAATATGTTTGCAACACCACTTGTATGAAGGTAAACTTGAAGAAAACTAAAATTACAGTATTCAACAATTAAATGAAAATTTAATGGTGTATATATTGAAACTGTGTCGTTTTATCGATATTTGGGTATGTTGTTCAAGCCTGAACTTGTTTGGACTAAAGCACTAGCTACTATTGCCGCACGAGTAACAAGGTCATTATGACACTATACAGATATCAAAAGAAAGTTATTCCCTGACAATACCGTATTCAACGTAATAGGCGCCCACGGCGATATTTGCTAGTGAACAATCCCAATAAGCACCCTTCCGATTGATCAATGTACACATATTTATTCGTGTATAATACGCACTCGTGTGCTACATGCACCCTTAATTATGGGCAATTACATTCTGGAAACATATATCTGTCGTGAAAATACGCACAGACTTTTCTTTTGTATCATTTCATTCTGTCAGCATAAAACACGAAATATACGATCTCTCAACTCTTTCACCAAAAATATATTCTAATAAGAGCCTCCTATTTCTAATTTTGAGATCGACCTGGGCGCTTATTTCGTCGAATACGGTATTTATTTAAAATATTTAATGCTATGATTGTGCCTATAGTTTGTTACGGTGCCGAATTATGGGGCACATCATATTGTAATATTATTGAAGATGTACAGTATAAAACGAATAAATGGTTTCTTAAAACGGGTAAAACAAACAAGGCTATGGCTTTGGGAGAGTGTAGTAGAGCCCCCCTCCAACTTGTGTATACGAGGGTTACTGCTCTTGGATGATCACAGACTGCCTCGTCCATGCTATTTAATGCTCAACTCACTAGACGATTCTGGTCGCACCACATGGGCTACTCAATCCCCCATATTAAAAATATTTTGTTTAAATTAGGATTTGGATATGTACGGATAACACAAGGTGTTGGCAATGTGAAGATATTTATTCATCTCTTTAAACAAAGATTACTTGATAACCTTTCATCTTTTCTAACAGTTCTATCAGTAGTATATCTGATATATTTTGTAATAAACATTTTAAATCCCAGTTAAATGTAGAAAAAGATCTGACACTCCCCATTCCAGTACATCTGAGAATATGCATGACTCGTTTCAGATGTAGCAGGTTTAAACTTCGACTCTGCTTTAAGCAGAGATTTCTATTGGATATGGAAAGTCCAACTTCTAAGAGAAACTTAGTCGATTACTTCATTGCCATGCGTAGTTCATGCAATTAAACACTATCTGTATTATGGGCCTATGACCTTTTTACTGAATAAACTGTCATGGATGCCTGTCTGTTTGTTTCTATCAAAATGGACAGAGAATAAATATATGTATTTATTACTCTCTTGTACTTTACACGTTATCAAAATATGAAAGCACGTTTTGATACCGTTTTTATAACGAGTGTATTTCAACGAACGTTGACACAACATCTTTTTTCGACGTTGAATTGAGATACCGGGTAGTTTAATTTGCTGAGTTTAAGCGAGCAATAAATAAATTAATACACTCGATCCCTTTACGAGCTCGTAGATACCGTTTTATTTCAAAACGTTTCTAACTTGCCCAAGGGGCGGTCTGGTAGCCTAGTGGTTAAAGCGTTCGCTCGTCACGCCGAGTGATAATGTTCGATTCCCGACATGAGTACAATGTGTGAAGCCCATTTCTGGTGTCCCCCGCCGTGACATTGCTGGAGCTAAACGCGGCGTAAAACCAACTCACTAAATCACTCACTCTAACTCGCCTGTTCGTTAGATACGTTTTAAAAACCAGTCATTGTAATAAAGACAGTATCTACGGTATTGGTTTAGTAATCAATATGTACACAGCCCCTTACCAGCTGCTCTGCTTACGGCATTCCCAGTGACCTGGTGCCCTGCTGACAACGTTCTCAGTCTTGTCAGTGTTGGGGCGGTCGGGTAGCCTAGTGGTTAAAGCGTTCGCTCGTCACGCCGAAGACCCGGGTTCGAATCCCGACATGGGTACAATGTGTGAAGCCCATTTCTGGTGTCCCCCGCCGTGATATTGCTGGAATATTGCTAAAAGCGGCGTAAAACCAAACTCACTCACTCACTCACTCTTGTCAGTGTTACAGACAGTGATCAACACCACAACGAATTAAAGCCGTGTTAGGGCATGTCTATATCTGGTAACAGTCACAGGAATGTTTTTTACAACTAATTACATTATCACATAAGGAGCAGTGCGGTAGCCTAGCGGTTAAAGCGTTCGCTCGTCACACCGAAGATCCGGGTCCGAATCCCCACATGGTACAATGTGTGAAGCCCATTTCTAGTTTCCCCCGCCGTGATATTGCTGGAATATTACTAAAAGCGGCGTAAAACCATACTCACTCTCTCACTCATCATCCCATTAAGGTAGCTTACAACAATAGGGAGAGGTGTGTTGGGGAAACTGATACAGTGGCTAATGACTTGGCTTTTCAGGTTCGAATCCTGGTTATGACTGGAATGCTACACGTGACATCATACTCACTCACTCATAAAGGAATGAAACAAACTGCAGCATTTAAAACCAAAAGTTTTACTTTGAGGATCTTAATTATATAATATATAATCTTCGATAGGCATTTGGAAGCTTGAAGAACAGATTACATGGCATTTTGTTATTGATAACAAGTTCATAATTCTTTGTTACGACCTTTCAGGGCTACTCCTTGCCCCTTTATCAAGTTGTTATCCATAACACGTGTCATGTATTCAGGACATAATAAGGATATAATATGTCTCTATGTATTCATATTTTCACGTTATTTCTAAACATACCCTTATTTCAGCCTTTACATTTGTATACAATGTGCCTTGCTCTTACATTTAGACCTACGATTAGTCTCTGAAAGTAAATTATTTTCGTCGAAACAAAAAAATTCATTTGAAATGAAAAGGAGATCCTGAACCTATGGAAAATCTAGACTTCGTTTAGAGCTATAAGGTAACAGTAAGGGCTGGATGGAAGGAAGAGATTATGCTTCAGAGACTGTGAGACAGACTACGTGAATGTCTGTTTCTTACTATGGGTAAGACTTTAGCTGGTCATAAGGTTAAGGTGAAGGTTACATTATCAGAATGAGTACGTTTGAATGAGCGAAATCTCCACCTTGCCAACGCCAATACTACTACTTGATTCCTAGTCACACACAACTTTATGGAAAGACTTAATGTGACCACTATATACTCACGTCCTCCATAAAATACGTATCACCTCGTCGACGGCAGCATATGTACTGTCGATTGCATGTAACAAAACTGAACAAGGTGTTCAAACACTACCCATGGGTCGGGGCAGGCCAGGCTACCCGGAAGAAGGTTAACACGCAATCTAAGACTCAACACCGCTATCAAGGAATTAGGTCACGTGATAGTCTGCGACGTCTTGTTTGTTTACTTAAGTATTAGCGCGTGTAAGTATAGCTTCGTGTGAAGTTGAACCGGGTACGCGAGCTGAATTCGGATGTGAATTGTGTAGGGTAGATTGCAGATACTTAAACATGCTGCAATATCTCGGTCGTTACTGGATATCTTTCGGTGTTTCTTATTGAGGTGTCATAAATATGCATCAGACACGTACCCCCGCCCTTTTTCTTATACTTCACGTGACAACCAATATATCGTGTTTTGATCCCCTCCAGACCTGGCGATAGTGTATGTAAACTGGCTATGAGTGTGAGAATTGTCTTGATTTAACAGTTTTGTTTAGCTTTGCCAAACGCAGAAACGTTTCATCCATTGTAACAGAAAGGAATAGATAAAAAAAAGACAAAGCAGTAATGTATTTTATATATCCCATTATTCTCCAAACCAAAAATACCATAAACCAGTCCAATAGATTAATGATGAAATGCACCGATTAATGATGAAATGTACCGATTAATGGTGAAATGCACCGATTAATGATGAAATGCACCGATTAATGATGAAATGTACCGATTTATGATGAAATGTGCCCACTAATAATGAAATGTGCCAGTTAATGATGAAATGTACCGATTAATGATGAAATGCACCGATTAATGATGAAATGTACCGATTAATGATGGAATGTACCGATTAATGATGAAATGCACCGATTAATGATGAAATGCACCGATTAATGATGAAATGTACCGATTTATGATGAAATGTGCCGACTAATAATGAAATGTGCCAGTTAATGATGAAATGTACCGATTAATGATGAAATGCACCGATTAATGATGAAATGTACCGATTAATGATGGAATGTACCGATTAATGATGAAATGCACCGATTAATGATGAAATGTACCGATTAATGATGAAATTTGCCAGTTAATGATGAAATGCACAGATTAATGATGAAATGTACCGATTAATGATGAAATGTGCCAGTTAATGATGAAATGCACAGATTAATGATGAAATGTACCGATTAATGATGAAATGTGCCGATTAATGATGAAATGTACCGATTAATGATGAAATGCACCGTTTAATGATGAAATGCACCGATTAATGATGAAATGTACCGATTAATGATGAAATGCACCGATTAATGATGAAATGTACCGATTAATGGTGAAATGTACCGATTAATGATGAAATGTACCGATTAATGATGAAATGTACCGATTAATGTCGTAAAGTGCTGTTTAATGTCGAAAAGTGAAGGTAGCACCAGAAGGTTGAGTGATCAGTTCGTACAGCCGTAAAGACATAGGTGGGGCCCCTAATCCACACCGGGCTATTACAATTTCTAGGTCGTGTGTTGGACGAAATACGGTTTCCTTTTTGTCAATGTATTTGTTTTGTTTGTTTGTTGTTTAACGTCGCACTCAGCAGTATTCCGGCTATATGACGGCGGCCTGTAAATAATCGATCTAGGTCAGACAACCAAGTGATTGATGTTATGAGCAACGATCCTCGCCGTCGGGGTAGGCCGACATGCAATCAACCACGTCACCGAGCCTGACCACCCGATCGTCCCTTACGACCGGCATCGACTGCCGGGAGACTATTCTAACACGGCATCCCCACGAGGGTAGATAGGACCAATAGAGATCTTCAAACATTTAACATTTCCAGGGCGTGATGTACCAGCCCCTGTCTTGGCACTCACTCCGTAACATTACCATTCTCTGATCGCTGTCATGATCACGTGACTCCATCATTGTCCTTCTATGTCAAGCCGCAATTCAAATTTGCTTGGCTCTTCTTAGAAAATGTGCCTTTTGTAACTGTTTAAACCTTCTGTCACCAGGATTATTTTACATTTATTGCAAAACAGATGAATAATTGTTTCTTCAAATATTTGTATACTTTTCGGTAATTACATCAAATCTTTTTTTCTCAGTACTCCTTGGTATGTGTGGACAAACGTATCAAGCTATTGTATCTGTATATACAAGTGTTAAACGTTGTGTGAGGCTTACCGAGAATTTAAGTGGTTCAATAGGAGAAGAGGGCAACAAATTCAACGAACGCATTACTACTTTAAATGGATTGCATATAGGATGAGGAACGACGATGAGGAACTGTATTAGCCTATAAACCGTATCAGTACTTCTAGCAGAAATATGAAGCAGACCCAAATGCTTTCTTAGAATGTCTTCATAACTGGTGCGATATTAACAAACATTGTGCACCAGGAGAAATGTAAAGTTCTTTCCTGTAGACGTTTGGCAACACCAAGGACAGACTGTCTTTAATGTGGAAATATACTTCTTGAAATTGCTGACAGTTACTATTGATAACAGAGCATTTAGATTACTCGCGCATGGCTAAAGCAGTAGCAAGCTCGGCCAATCGGGAGCAGGGATTATTAATATCCAAATTCAAATTCTTCGGTCTACACAAGACTGAATAGCCTAGACACAAACACTCACATACAATGTGTTCCGATGGGCTAGACGACAAGCTTTATTTAATAAGAACAACTGGATCAAACGTATACGTGTCAAATTGAACGCTATAAACCTCCCTGACGTATTTGATGGTTCCAACGGACTCAAGATTTAAACTATTGTATCTTTTGTACAGAACGTCCTTTTCAAGAAGTATAAAGAAGATTAGAACGAGACAATAAAGTGTCTCAAAATAGCAGAAATGGCAGGACAGGAAATAAACTCCCGGGTTAACCGCGCCTTTAAGACAGACTATGGGGATGAAGCCTTTATTACAGAGAGTATGTCACAAGGGAGCGCTGTCGATGTGCAGACGCGTGGGTAGCCCCCCTACGTGTAGACACAGGCTGCTATACGCCACTCGAATTCATTTGCACGACTGTTGCCCCTAATATCAAAATCTTGCAAACTCTTTATTTGATGTATGTTCAGATTAAAATAACAATTTCTTAAGAGAATTTAAATTATTATATAAATTTAATTTAGCATCTCAATCCCAAGATGAGGGATGGCGCATTATGTATATTTTAATATGTTCCGTATGCACTTTATTTTTAAGGCGAGACTATAATAAACTATCTTTCTGTCAGCGAAATAATGGCAGTGTGATAGCCCATTCATTAAAAAGCGTTTCCGGTACAATCTTGTGAAGTCCATTTTTGTGTCCCCCTGCCGTTTCATTGCTGTGGAAAATGTAAAACAGAAACCTCGATCAACCACTGTATCGTATATGTGGATATTGTGGGATACTTAAAAAGGCGTTGCAAGAACTTACAAGTTAAGCGATTTATTAGTTATAAATAATACATCCACAGCATGTGGCAATGATGATAATGTCCGTAAAACAAAAAAAGCACACATATTCACATTTACATTAAGTGAAAGTTTGAAACACACCTCCAGTGATGAGATATACATGTATGTACACAATTTCAACATTCAATCAAATAAACAACACTAACATTCGATCGAATAATGTACAATACAATCTATGCACTCTTGTCAACATTCGATCATATAACGTACAATCCAATCTGTGCACAATGTCAACATTCGATCATATAATGTGCAATCCAATCTATGCACCCTTTTCAACATTCGATCATATTATGTACAATCCAATCTATGCACCCTTGTCAACATTCGATCATATAATGTACAATCCAATCTATGCACCCTTGTCAACATTCGATCATATAATGTACAATCCGATCTGTGCACCCATGTCAACATTCGATCATATAATGTACAATCCAATCTATGCACGATGTCAACATTCGATCATATAATGTGCAATCCAATCTGTGCACGATGTCAACACTCGATCATATAATGTACAATCCAATGAGTCCGAGGGAAATATGAAACTTTGTTGATCCAAAGAATTTAACAAGGAATCAGTCTGCCAGATGTGAAGGGTGACGAAACATGACACCCAACCTCAGTATTGTGTTCCCCTGAAGATTCCATGTTAGAATTTATCTTCAGCAACCCATGCTTGTTGTAAGAGGCGACTAACAGGGTCGGATGGACATGCTCGCTGACATGGTTCCTGCATGTCCTCGTATCCCAATTGCGTAAATCGATGCTTAGATGTCAATCACTCGTTTGTCTGGTCCAGATTCGATTATTAACAGACCGCCCTAATATACTTGGAATATTGCTGAGAGCGGCGTTAAACAACACACCAACCAACCAAACATGGTGGTGTTACCATGGCCAAACAGTCTGTTTAATATTTCGGGTATGTAATAGTCTCTGGATCATTTCAATTTAGGTAGGTATCTTTTCAAATATTCAAATATGTCTCTTATGTAGGTAAAAATGGACCAAGCCTCGCGTTTCCCAACTATGGCTTCATCGATCTCTTCCTTGTAAGGGGAAGCTTTCGAGCCTTTACAGGGACTCTGGAATTCTTGTGTCAGCCAATCCAAGGCGTCTTTAATGCCTGACCTTGAGAGAATGCTGCATCCTATAATGTTGGCCCCTGGAAGCATGTAAAGTAAACTACGTTTATAACGAAGACGCTTACAACGAATTGACGGATATAACGAACAGGATTTTGTCCCGGCCATTTGCTGTCTATTTTATCTAAAAGAATTGTTGGATATAACGAACACGCTTATGACGAAATAACGAATATAGCGAACTCTCTTTGTGGTTCCATGTGTACTCTGACGGCGACAATGTTTACGTTAATAATGTTTATTATGAGTGCGGCGTTAAACACCAAACAAACAAAATGATGGAAAAGAAAGAAAACAGTATAAGAATAATTTTATCTGCAACTTACTGTGAGCTTTGAGTATTTCCTGGAAGTCCATTGCCTCGGCAACCTCTGGTGCTGTCAGGGCGGCCGGCAGGTCCTGCTTGTTGGCGAGGACAAGGAAGGGGGTGTTCTTGAGTGCTGCATCCTGAGCGTCAAGTCTCAGTTCGTCCTGGGCCTCCTGTATACGGTCCCGGTCGTTGCTGTCTACCATGAACAGGACGACGTCGATGTGTTTGTAGTTGTGCCGGGGATACTGGGGATGGGGGACAATCATCTCATGAACAGCGGCTTGATGCGGCGGGGAGCTGCTCTCCAGCCGTCACAGGCTACTACCATTATGCATTACAGTGTCTAAGCCTAACTTGGGAGTGGGGTAATTTGTTTCAAAGCAACGTTGAATAGTATTTCAGCGCATGCGTCAGCTTGATGTCCGACGAATGTCCGACGCGATAAAATCTTAGACGTTTACCGCTTTGGTGAAAACAACAAACGTAGACTTGATGGCGACATACCAACAAGCATCATCAGGACACCAAACACACACGGTCAGGCACTCGCAAAGGACCAATGGCAATCAAATGGATTCTTGGTCAGAATAAGTCATATGCTTTGCTTGTCTTAAAAGGCGACCTGAAGATTAATGTAGATCACACATTGTGTCGACGTATAAGTACAGCAATACTGAAACATCCCGAACCTAGCCGTTTTAGTCCGTTACATTTTATGTAATTCCAAAGCTTATTTGTGTTGCTGTGTTATTTGAGTAGTTGATCTTAAACCATGTGACATAACTCACCCCACGCCTTCTCTGCCCCCCGTCAATCAGTGTCAACTTGATGTTGTTGTAGACTAATGTCTTTTTGGCATCATCTGAAACATAAACCGCCGTTATAACTGGCATGGCATACAGTCACAACCAACGATGCTTAGTTCAGTTATCTAACCCATGAAGATCCGGGCTTGAGTCGTCTTCAGCAACCCGACTCACGGATCGGATGGTCGGGTGATGCAAGTCATCATATCCCAAGTGTAGATTGATACCCATGATATCAATCACAGGATTGTCTGGTCCAGACTCGATTATTTACAGGCCGCCGCCATAGAGCTGGAATAGTGCTGAGTGGGGCGTAAAACAACAAACAAATTTCGGTATGTACTACATTAACATCACACAACACGAATTGTTCTATACAGTTAATACATAACAAATGAGGTGAAATAAAAATGAACGAAAAAACACGAGTTTTATATTTGTAGAAGCTGGCGAGAGTTTATTGGCATTCACAGATTAATATTTCTTTCGAGTGAGTGAGTGAGTGAGTGAGTGAGTGAGTGAGTGAGTGAGTGAGAGTGTGGTTTCACGCCGCTTTTAGCAATATTCCAGCAACATCACGGCAGAGGACACCAGAAATGGGCTTCACACATTGTACCCATGTGGGGAATCGAACCTGGGTCTTCGGCATGACGAGCAAACACTTTTAACCACTAGGCTACCCGACCGCCCCATATTTCTTTCGATGTATACTTGGAGAGTTAAACTGACCCCAGTGAAATGCAGACTTATAATTTATCATTTAAATACATTGTATTGCAGGGTCCTACTCACAGCGGGTTGGCGGCGTGCCGTGAAGTCGTGATGTTAGCAGGTAACACAGCGTGGATTTCCCTGCATTATCAAGCCCTGAAATATAAGGACACATGTGACTGGATAAAGCGACCATGATCACATTAAGTTCGTTTGGTTATTTGTATGATATTATGATATCTTTATAATATACATGTAATGTGATAATATGTATATGCATTTGTACAAAGGGGTTGTCATTCTGAATTTCCCGTGTGTAATTTTCCATTTTCTTTCAAGAAACATTAAAAATAGAACCATTACCATAATTTACCATTAATTTTCGGCTTTTGTAATCAATATATAGACCCGTGAAGATCTCGGATAGAATAGGTCTTCAGCAACCCTGGCTTGCCCTAAAAGGTGACTATGCTTGGCGTAAAAGGCGACTAACGGGAGCGGGTGGTCAGGCTCGCTGACTTGGTTGATGCATGAATGAATGAATGAATGAATTCAGACTCGATTATTTACAGACCGCCGTCATATAGCTGGAATATTGCTGAGAGCGGCGTTAAACAACAAACGAACTAAACAAAGAAATTGTTATCAATAATATAATATCGTTGCTATAATGATTGCTTAAAGCAGTAATTATCAGTCGGGTGAAATAAACAGAGTTTTAATGAAAGGTCATAAGCTAACTGCTATTTCAATAGTAAAAAACAAGGAAGTTTAAGTAAGTCGACCTGGTTAAAAAACACTGGTCTGAATGGTGTACGTAATTGTAAACCTTTGTAGAATACCTTTAAACGACACGCACTGCAATTCAAACTCAAATCAGCAGAAAGACCAAGATGGTACATTGTTTACTTTATAATTATGGAACACGCTACAGTCCCTTAACTAACTAAATAGGATTCCTTTTAACATTGTTCGTGGATTAATTAACGTTTTTCTGTTCCTCAAGACCTGGCTGTAAAATCTGAGTTTTAAACATTTTTTGCGTGAAATTGTGATCATGCGGAAATAGGAAAATAAAATATGTCACTTCTTTTTTAAACGGAGCGGTTATCGTTTGAAAAATAAAAAAAATATGGATAAAAGATAAACCCATGCTCAATCTTTCAAAGACACAGATCTAACTAGGTAGGCCAATTAATTATTATATTAAATCTAATATGTGACGTATTCAGGTCACGTGTTACTTTTGGTCTTCCAGTCTTTAAATACGACTCGATGACTATCTTGAAGGTAATAAGTACTATATACGTGCCATGCATGAGAACTACCACTTCCTTCCTTAGCCATGGCAGCATACTAATATATTGCCCCATTCCGTCTGTCGACCGTAGCCTGTGTCAGCTGGAAGTTCAAGACACCGTAGTTTCGTAATGCGACCGGTCCTCATCAATAGTACTTGAATATATCGCCAAGTAGGCTGGTGTGTACAAGTATATATATATACCGACCCCACACCGTGGAGTTGTTAACCTGGCACAAACACGCTGGGCGGACGTACGTCACGCTATTTATCGTTGACTGTTATTGATACCGGATTTTGATCTGGACTAGGTCAAAGTACGTTATCTACGTTAATCATGATCATATAGATGCAACATACACTGTAACAAGACAAGGTGATAACGTTGAGTGAAGAGGAGTCTGGGGTTTGATTCAAACAATGTATTTTTTCTTCATTTGTGGCAGAAAACATATAGATCTACTTTCTCCGTCCGTAACTATAAACAAGGACCGTATGGTGTGTTACCCGGTATTACACCTACAGTATTAAAAACAAGCATTGAATGGAATGCAAACACGAATTGATCATGCAATTGTGAACGTCAATCGCCTCAATACATATCGACATTAGCTTTTGTTTCTTTGTTGTTTAACACCGCACTCAGAAATAGCCAAGTTATATGATGGCGGTCTGTAAATAATCGAGTCTGGACCAGACAATCCAGTGATTGATATCATGAGCATCGATCCAAACAATTGACATTCGATGACATGCATCAACCAAGTCAGCGAGCCTGACCACCCGATCCCGTTAGTCGTCTCTTACGATAAGCATAGGCGACTCTTACGGCAAGCATGGGTTGCTGAAGACCTATTCTTTCCCGGATCTTCACGGCTCAAATAATAATGAGACAAATGAGTTTATTCGTTTAATCTTTCAGTTATATATTTTATGAGTTTGGCCATCATTTTATCATGAACACCACGATGGTATATTCACAGAACCTGTCACAGTTATAATGTCTTACGTCCATACACCCTTCGATCGGCTTCAGAAATTAGAACACGCCATGTTGTGCATGTTGTTGTTTGTTGTTTAACGCCGCACTCAGCAATATTCCAGCTATATTACCGCGGTCTGTATATAATCGAGTCTCGACCAGACAATCTAGTGATTTACAGCCAAACATAATATGACATGTTAAAGCGAAAATATAAACGACAGTGTGGATGATTCTAACATATCCCATCACTGTTTGAGTGTGTTGAGAGTTTCTTCAAATTGAAAGAGAAATGAAAATGAAAGTTTTACATTCCAGTAGAAATAAAAAAATCTGTAAGTGAAGTCAGGGTCAAGGTCAAGGTCAAGTTCTCCACTCAGGTTAAAGGTTGCTGCATGAAGTCATTTTGTGGTATCGTGACCACCGAGAACATCCTACATGGCCGGCACCTCGAACGAGGGAATATGATTGCTTCTGTTCCTTTGTACACTGCCAAATGTCGGGCAAGTTTCTTCCCCTGCAAAACACCAACATAGTATAAGTGAGTGAGTGAGTATGGTCTTACGCTGTTTTAGCAATATTCCAGCAATATCACGGCGGGGGACACCAGAAATGGGCTTCACACATTGTACGCTTTAACCACTAGGCTACCCGACCGCCCCGAACATCGTATAAGAGACGCTGTAAATTTTGGTTGCATTTTTAGATGTGACCAGGTCATTTCATACCGACATGGTAGGCCTTTAAACGCCACACAAGTGCCTTCCTTCTTATTATTGTGTACTGTGTCCCATTGCTCTTATTGTGGGAAATATATATATTTAATGGCAGACTTTTGATTCATGATTGAACACCTGTAACTTTTCTTTCCATTAATTGCAAGTTTTGTCATTTTGACACGACCCATTTATGTCTAAAATGAGTGAACAAAGCTTTCAATTTCTTGAGTGAGTCTAACTATGGACACCTATGACACATGGTGCATGTTTACTTGTACTGTTTTTGTAAGGAACTGTAATTGTGTAATTGTTTTACCTCTATGCTTGTTGTTCTATGTCAAAAACATACAAGCGAGGAAAAAGGTCTAATTCCTTTATGTTTGCTTGTTTGTTGTTTAACGCCGCACTCAACAATATTCCAGCTTTATGACGGCGGTCTGTAAACAATCGAGTCTGGACCAAGCAATCCAGTGATTGACATCGTGATCATCGATCTGGGATACACTTGGGATACGATGTACACACCTGATAGTGTTCAATGTAATTTCAAGAAAATAATGTTCATACAAAAATCTTTGAAGTCACATAAAGTGTGCCACTGCAAGCTAGTCTGTCGAAATAACAGTCACGGTTTACTGTTTGAGTATTTGTTCTTGACAAGTAAGCAGACGCTAGCTGTCAGAAATATAGATTACTAAACGAATCCCGTTCGATACCGTATAGTATACAATGAGTGCATTTCAAAACGCATCTAACGAACGGCCGAGTCAGATACGTTTTGAAAAAACAACGGTATCAAGAGGGGCGAGTGTAGTAATTTATTTATAACCCACCTATACTCAGCACATTATCTACATTCAACGTCGATAAAAGCCGTTGTTACCACGTTTGTTGAAATACACTCGCAATAAGAACGATATCCAATCGTGAATTGTGATCACGAGTAAAGTTTCAGTTAGTAATAAATACATTAATTTATAACTTGCTTAAACTTTCAAGCATGTACTCATTCTGGTAATGTCACCGTCAACCCCATTTGTCCACCAGCTAAAGATTTACCCATTGCAATACACGGGGAGTCAAAGTAAGAGCAGTCAGTCTCACAGTCCCTGAACCATGTTACATCCCCTTCTACTAAGCGATTACTGTAACGTTATAGCAAATCTGCATTTTCCACAGGTTCAGGATCTTCCGTCTCATTAGGGATCAATGGAGTTGTTTGTATCTGATAGTGGTGCCTTTTAAATGTTTTTGTCTATTATTAAAGCAATGTATGCTAAACTGTGTGCCTGTGTTAGAATACCTGCTGGGTTATCTAAATACTTGAACTTGTTAAAGTGTAACATAGGTACCCGTCAAGGATGCATTCTTAGCCCACAGATGTTTTTAATATTCATAAATATATTTGTAAATTGTATGGACAAACCGTCTTTATTACTAAAGACTGTCTAGAAATATATGCACTTATGCATGCTTATGACGTGTCATCTAATGTTGATACACCTTTAAATCTACAAAAGAAGATTTGTGCCTTAGAATATGTTTGCAACACCACAGGTATGAAGGTAAACTTGAAGAAAACTAAAGTTACAGTATTCAAAAATAGTTAACATCTAAGAACGTATGACAGGTGAAAATTTATTGGTGTATATATTTAAACTGTGTCGTTTTATCGATTTTGGGGTATTTTGTTCAAGCCTGAACTTGTTTTGACTAAAGCACTAGCTACTATTGCCTCGCGAGTAACAAGGCCATTATGACACTATGCAGATATCAAAAGAAAGTTATTCCCTGACAATACCATATTCAACGTAATAGGCGCCCACGGCGCCCACGGCGATATTTGCTAGTGAACAATCCCAATTAGCACCCTTCCGATTGATCAATGTACACAGGACATATTTATTCGTGTATAATACGCACTCGTGTGCTATATGCACCCATAATTACGGGCAATTAAATTCTGGAAAAATATATCTGTCGTGAAAATACGCACAGACTTTTCTTTTGTATCAGACCGCCTCCGTGGTCTAGTGGTAGAGCGTCCGCCCGGAGAGCGGAAGGTCAGGGGTTCGATCCCCGGCCGCGTCATACCAAAAGACGTAAAAAAGATGGTACTTGTTGTTACCCTGTCTGGCGCTCGGCATTAAGGGGCAAAGACAAGGACTGGTCGGCTCGGAGTCAGTATACTGTGTCTGAGTGGGTTATTCATGTTAAACTGCGGCATGGTATCTCAGTGGGCTAGCCCTATAAATCGGCATCAGTCCGGACTAGTACAAGCAGCCACACACACACACGTACATGCACGTCGCTATATAAGTG